ATCTCCCTCTTTTTGAAAAAAATTCTCCCATATGATCATTTAATATAGTTCACATGTATGGGCCAGACGTTAGACCGAACTAAAAAATGATTGTATGTAATTTCAGGTTCATGAAGGCCCCAAAATACCTTTTTTTGTATCTCAAAAGCATTATATATTTTGGTGTTCTGTTACAGTTACTCATCGACCATATAGTTAAACCATCTTTTGCTTTTTGGTGATAAGTAAAGTTATACTTAAATAGTATTCTGTGTGGAAGAAAAATTACCATTTTGTGTACGTTTTGCTACTTGTATGATGAACTATTTCATATTCAAAACTGTTTTTGTTCTGCATGTGATAGATATCTAACATGCTCTAAATCCATGTTTAAAGCATCATTCTAACACTATCGGATTTTTTTCTGTATAGACAAAGAAGGCCCGAAGCGTGCATTATTCTACAACAATGCACTCGCCGTTCTTATTACCTCCCTGTGTATTTTCACATTGAGGGCGCCATTTTGTTTAAAAAATCTGATAAATAAAAACATTTTTTGTCGAATTTTGTTGTGAAAGCTATCTAGAATGAAAGAAAATGGTCTAACTAAGAAAATGAATCCGAACACCAATATCTTAAATTCAGTCGTTAACGCTGTACAGACGTTTAAAGTGTTGTTTACGTGACGTCACAATATAGCGCCAAACAGCACGTGCAAAACAATCAAATCAAGTACGCTATTTTAATGTCGCAAACAAGTTAAGTTCCACATTTATTTCACTTTTAAAAAATTTGTATTTTCGCTTGAAAAATTATAGAGTGAAATAAATAAACAAACACAAAGTTTTACCAACGTTTTCAAAATTTGTTTTTCTCAAAATGTTTCTACACACGGTAGATTTATCGACAGCTTTTTTCAACCAACTGGGACAGCTCTTAAAGAACGTTTCTATGGGAAACTCTGGGGCGAAAACAAATTAAACCACCAAACATAGAGTCCAACTTTATAATAATAATTATATTTTTTCTTGACGTGTTAGAATGGAAATAGATATTAATTCTTCGTGCATTATTGTATAATAATGCACGTTTTTCGTTCAAATGCTTTGTAATTAATCACTCAGGCCTATCGGCCTTCGTGATTATATTACTACGCATTTGAACTCAAACCGTGCATTATTCTACAACAATGCACTCAGAATTGATATCTATTTCCTAATTAAACACAGGTTTGCATTTTTTCAGAGGAAAAATTGATTTCATGTCTGGGGTATATAATTATTGTCCTTAATGGTCGGGTAGGAAATCAATGTTCAGCTTAAAATGTATATTTATTACGCAGGTTAGTTTACTTTAGGATATGAATGTGATATAGAATTTGTATTAATGAACTATTAAATTATTTCAAGATTTGTGTAAATGAATAAAACGTATGAAAACACAATTGAATTAAATTACTTAAACACAACCCATGTAATATATGAATTTTTATTGAATCTTTATAAAACTCTATTCCCTATGGTCTTAGATTTATTATACATGTACATTCAATTATACGAGGTTCTATTTTATGTAAACACATTTACATACTTGAGTTGTTCTATAAGTTTTGCCGTCCACTCATACTTTTTGGCCGTTTTCTTTTCGCTATGGTTAACGAAACATTTCACTAAACTCTGGAACTCTTCACCGAGCGGTAATTCTTCATCACCTCCTAACACTGTATACTCTGAAAAATAAAATGATTAAACAGATTGTAATTTAGTACCTTGCAAGTTAGAGACCGACAGACATAACCGACAATTTCGATCATAACATCGTTAATCTCGAATTTGATACCTCAAAACTAATTCGTAAATCATACCTCATGACAATTTTACTGTAAAAAACGAAAGGAGTGGTATTTAAACTAAACGATGAAATATAAAAAATATTTTTCATGCATGCATTTATCTAAAACGTCGAATGTATGATAAATATATTGATTTCGGGTTAACATACTTACTAAACCACAGAAGACAGTCATATGTGATGTTATTCTGCTTAAAGTGGGTGGTTCTATAACTTCGATATGTCAATTATTTTTTATCATTTTGTGTTGAAATTAAAAATTTTGTATCACTGTCTATATCTTATGACAAGAACTTGTATGGCAGTTAACGAAAACAAAATTGCTTAAGCTAGGGCTTGCTTTTATATATAATTTTACCTACCTCGGTCAAGGTTATAGCCAAGCTGTGCAGCAACAGTATTGTGGCCGGCAAACACTATAGAACAATTCTTAGTAAACGATCGAAATTTGGCATTTATCTCCACTTCATCCGAGTAGTACTCGATGTTGCCCTAATTTACATAAAAAATCAATTACAACAACGGACATTAAAACACTTGCTCGAATGTTTCAGTCCGGTGACAAAGGTAAAACGATTTATCATACAAAGAAGTAAGATATTCTAATAAAAAAAAACGTTAATGACATGTTGGAACACAAAGTTTTAAAAAGTCAATGTTTGTATACGCGTACAATTATTAAATCCGGGAAACTGTCCAAAAATAAATTTAGCATTATATCATACACATTAGAATTTTAACTATTCCAGTCAAAAATATGTATTGATATTGAAACATATAGTTTTGTTTTTAAATTATAATGATAAAAACAAACATGTATTATGTACCTTTCTTATAGCACTCGATGTGTCTTCAGCTTCTATGCCAGATGCCCATCGTCCTAAGATTGTTTCTATGTTCTGTAAATTATCATGTACACAATTAGACATGTTAAAAATATCAATAACGACATCGTATAAAATCTTTTTCAGAAAAAAAAAACAAATATTTGCCAGGCAGAACTTATTGAACAACACATACGAATGATACAATTATACAATTATTTAAATAAAAGATGGAATTTAAGTTCAAAGAGTGGAATTGAAATTCCTAAAGAACGTTTTGAACGCCGCAGATTTGAAACTGTCGCAGGCTCGATTTGAATGAAACTGTTACAGAATGAGCAATGTAGCGTCCATGGCCTCTTGCACCGACTTACGAGTTATTTAACATTATTCAACATTTAAATATGACTATGGTAAAAGCTTATGATAGGTTATAAATTAACATCATTGATATAACTATCAAAGAAGGCATATAAGTGTTTAAACGTTTGGCACTGAACTTAAAATATCCATATCTTTATTAGTTAACATTCATTTTTTGTAAAGAAAATAGTAAGTGGTATTAAAACTTACAGAATTGGGCATGTTTGATATTGGTACTAGAACTGTAATTGCTTCACTGATGTTCTTCATGTGCAGTGGCTTGTGTATTAGTGGTCCAAGAATCTCTCCAAATAGCTGTTAAGTAATGAGTAAAAAAAATTGATTTGAGTATTATAAATTTAATGACTATATAACCGTTACTGTCATTTGTAACGCTTTGTACGCAAGTATTATTTAAGACAAATTTATGCTTATACAAAAGACTGAAAAATTATTCGTATTCAACTATCACACTATACTTATTAAAAAAATAATTAGGCCATCACTTTTAATTCTAAACCGCGAAAAGTTTCCCAAAAATTGTTTTGAAAATGTAAGAAATGACAGAAAGAATTATCGTGTAATTTACATGATAAATGGAATAATTTGGATCGTCAAATGGTTCGAAAATAACAAACATTTGTGAATCTAAAAAAATGTTGTCTGTGATTTGAAAAGAATTTGTAAAAAGTTTTAAGCACATACCACGACGGCTTTAGCTATATGGTCTGTCTCGTCAAGTTCATTTGGATGAGAATGTCTTTCAGGATAATAAAAATGCTGATAGAATGAAGTAAGGAATGGTAACACCCCTTCAAGAAAGTACAGCATTGTTCCAAACGAACTGGACTCGAAGTCTGGAGCTGCAGCCTGTCCGCTGAATATTTAAAAAAATATTTTTTAAAACGAATATAAGTTAATATCATGTTGTGAAAATTCGAGAATACCTTTTATAAATGTCATATGTCATTGAAATTCATGTATATATTTCATTTAATATGACATTACTATATAAAATGCACACAATGTAATTTTTTATTTATTCCTCCTTATAAAGATGATAAGTCATTTTTTGTCTGATTTTTTTTTCAGTATTTCATACAAAAAATCAATTAATCAAAAATAATTTATTCTTTTTTCTAACTGTAAAGTGATGCAATCTGACATTTTACTGCAGCTGTAAATTATGAACTGTAAGACGGTTGTCAGGGAGGAAGCAGACGGTAGTTTGAAATTGCCACTGCCGTCCATGAATCAAATCGAGTCTGCAAAATTTTCAACTTTGCCATTTAGGGCGTTCTTCAGGAATTCTATTTTTTCTAGCGATTTCTTGACTGATTATAAAATTTAAAGTCTAGGATGTGGGAAGAAAGTTATTAAAACAAGCAGTATCAGTTATTAGTAATTTGATAACTTGTTAATCTTGCTATGTTGATAAACTAATTATCCTTCTTACCTTTTCTCTGGTGCGCAGTTTATATATATAGCCATCTTGTCTGGGTCGGCTTTTATACTGTCTGTAAGTTTGTTCATCTCAAGGGAGACAATCGATATATAATGCCATATTTCTCTGTACAATATTATCATAACATTTATTGCAATTATATAATTTTGTATGCGACAAGATAGTCCTATACGTCAATGGCTGGAGGCATAGAATACACAATATATCTCATTTTATTAGTAAAATACATTAAGTTGCAATGTTCTCAATTAAAAAGGGACTTTTGCACTTTAGTCATAGGCTTAATCTAATTTAGAAATTACACTTTTAAGTTTAGCTGTTTAAATCTGGTCGTAATTCTAACATTCAGCATCATCTAATAAAGCTTATTAACGCGAAACATGTATTAATACAATGTCTTAGTTTAAGAATCTTTTTATCTTATATTTAACATTAGAATAAATGATAAATACTCATTGCTTCAAGATTGGTTATAATAAAAATATAATGATATATCAAAACGACTGTAGACAATTATCTTACTCAAAATGTGACAGCTCACTCGCTCCAGTGTCCATTTTTGTGTCTCCAGTCTTCATGTATACATGGTGCAAACATTTTAAGAATGGCTTCTTGAAGACATTATCCACCTTGTCACTATTCAAGACCATAAGTAGGTCATCAATAGGTAGAATAGTCTGACATAGGGATTCTATGAACATGTTTTCTCCCTGAAATACCGCTTCATATATTATAATCAAGGACATAATATTGCTTAAATATTTACAGAATTCCTAGGTATACAAAATATTTTCATTAACACTACTATCTGAAATATATCTATATATATGTAAAGACATTTTTTCTGTTCTGACAGAATTACATGTATTATGTTATTACCTTTCTGCTAATTATCATAATTTCATATCATTCATTTTTAAATTAATATAGTACCTAACCCAGCGATCTCCGGGTCGGCCTAGAATATAATGATATGCATGCAATTCATCTAAGGTATACTGATATACTAGTAAGAATATACGTTACCTCAGCACATGCGGCCAACAAGTCCAGTAAACTAATGTAGTACCGTAACCTAGCGATCTCTCCTGGGTCTGTCAGTATAGTTACCCTGGAATATAATGGCATACATGCAATACATTAAAAATGCTCAAAGTCGATATATACTTACAGCTTTAAATAAAACAAATGCGTTATCATCTTTTAATTATTCTTATTCATAATACTTTGTCCAATTCATTTATTTCGTCTTCCTGAAATATATTGACTTTAAGATAAAGAAAGCATACATTCTATTTTATATACATGTATTTCTATTTTTTCTTTTTGTAAACAGCTAAAGACATGTTTACATGTTTTTTTTCTGTTTTACCAAGTTATATTCATGTTCTTGTCATATTTCCTATCGCTATTGAATATAGCGAAAAACTGTTTATCAAAAACCTTCTGTCATCAACATATTTATTTATACCTTTCTTCTCTAGACATATCAAGAACAAAAGCCACCCTTCGATAGCTCTGCATAATGTATTTCATGACGTAAGCCTGGTTCCTTTTCAGGGTAAGATTGAGACCAGACACTTTGACGACCATACCAAGTAGATCAAGAAATTCTGGAGCTTTCTCTTGAAGTTCTGCGATTCGAGTGACAATTTTTTGTATTTGTTTCTGTGTAATCTTTAGGCAGGTAAACTGGTTTCCATTGAATACCTAATCCAAAGAGAAATATTTAAAATCATATTAAACTTCTGACTGCAACAAATAAACAATTGCAATCACTATATAATATTTCATTCGTAATATATGTATTAAAATAACATCATATTAGGAAAAATCATAATATAATTCAAAATTTATAAATTTGATTCATTGATTGTTTCCATTGTAATCATTAAATCTTGCTTTTGTAAGAATCAGCGCAGTATAATGCGCAGGAATATAGATATTATTGTTGAACAATGTTTTATTCAGTGCAATAAATATCTGAAATCAAATTAACTTAATGGAGCACTGCTCTATTTGTTAACGTTTCTGCTTCTTAACCAAGAGATAATAGGTTTGAGCTCTCTACTGAAGTCACGACCATGTTTGCTCGTATGTTAGTTTCAGGAAGTGGAGAAACAAAGTGATTCATATAATTAACTAATTCAAAATCAAGCTTAAGAATATCTTAAAACTTAACCTCTTTCAGTGCGATGGCCAGGTCTGATTCCACAACTTTGACGTTCAGCATGATGTCCAGTCGTTCCATTATCTTGTACTGGACACTGAAGTTCTCCCTCGCTAACAGCTTCAGCAAGTAGAAAGATTTCTTAAATATATCCGCCATTCCTCCATATACACTCTAGTAATAAAGAAATATAAAAAAACTTATGATATTTAATGTATCAATGATGTCAATGATATGATTTTCGGTTTTTTAGATACAGTAATTTCAATTTTCCAATTATTGTATTCATAACTTTGGCTATAATATGTTTTACATTATTTCTGTCACCAGTATTTCAATTATCCAATAATTTATTAGATCAAACACAATGCTTATCGTTCTCTAATTTCTAACTATCTTCAGATTGTTTAAAAATCTAGGTAATAAAAAATAAACTAAGAATAAAAAAAACGTTGACAAAAATTTTACTTACCATCAGTTTCGGATCAATATCTTGCTCAAGTATTGTAAACAGCACGTCGAGGACACCTTGTATGATAAAAAATGAAGATTTTTAATTTAAATATGGCATTTACTTTTTTCTTATTTTTTTCTATTTACATTTTTACAAACGTGTTACAAATATATAAAATATAACATGACACAACATAATAAGTATGTAGTGTGATAAAGTCAATGTAAACATGGTTAAAGTTCTGATTGTCCATACTTTTACATCATAAACGGGGTAATTTTTTTATCTTCCTAAACATTTAAAATAAGCGAAAACAAAGCAAAACTAAAGGTAATACCGTTGCTTATGAGAATATTCTGATTCATCGGATGTGGCTCATCAGGTGTCATTGGTAGATGACAAAACCTGTAACAATAAAAATGAAAGTGTATTGCACAACAAATGGTCAAATTTTAAAAATGTATTTGAACTATACCGCAAAGTTTATATACCTGTGACAGATGTAACAGAAATATTACTTAGAAATTGTATGTAAAATAATATGGCTTACTCTGCGAGATCATCGAGTATGCTGCCCATCATTTTTATTTGGAGGTCATCTAATTTGGCATTTGAAAGTCTCCTCAAGACTGGCATGTTCTTCAGCACCTCTCTGTGCACACGTGCAGAATCCTGTGTCAGCAAGATCTAGGACAAAAAAATAAATCATTGCATACATGACAATATGTTTTTACTAGAGCCTTTATTATAATATCTTAATAACGATCAAACAAAGTTAAATATATGTACATGTAATAAAAAGAATAAAGAATGATTGAAGGTTTCTAATATTTGCTTACCTGGGCTTGACTGCCGATGTTAAACATGCAACTCTTTGTCGAGTATAGTTTGTTCATGATAGTCATGGATTTTAGCACCATCTTGTTGTCTTTGTACATCGACAAGTCCTATAGATAATGAATGACTAAGAAATTATTAAGTAAGAGTCTGGAGTTTATATTCTTTTATCAGCATTGTTTCTGTCATGAGTTATATAGCCAAATTCGGAATCGGTATCTTTTTGTAGAAGAACCAGTACTTCAAATATAAACTTTAAGATTTTACAAAGTTTTTAACCGAGCCTGCAACATCACATTTCGCCGTTCACAGTGCATATCCATTAACGCAGGAATGTGCATATAACGTAAAAGTAACGCCGAATCTGTGCAACGCTATTGCCCAAACGAATAACACAGTAAGAAAACTTACAAAATGTTTTATTCTAAATCAAATTTAAAGAATTGAATTAGCGCACACGGCTGCTACGACATTATACTTTAACCAGCATTACAATTTTTTTCAGGAATATGTTTTCTTCTTTAGATCATTCTTGAGAAAGACAACCTGATTACCGTTTTGAAGGTGACTTTTGTGTTTTGTCAAATAAAGATATTAATATTTTAATGAGATAACCGCCTCAGTGCTTCATTCACGAATTCAGCGTTACCTAGTAAAAATGGTCTAAATTACGTTTTATCTGCTACATAAAGTGTAATATGACACACGTACATTTAAAAAAATACCTTAGGTACACTGAATATAAAAGAATCATAAAGTAATATGTATAATAATTGTGATATTAAGATATCAACGAAACTAAAAAGGGCCATCAATACGCTAGTGAGGTCGTCATTTTCACGAATGATCTTCAAAAATAAACATTTGCAAGGAAATATTTTTGATGAGGTTTAAAGTATAATATCTCAACAACCGTATGCGCTAATTCATTTATTCTAATTTTGTGTACAATAAAAAATGCTGGTCCATTAACTTATCGCGGTGCTCGTTTTGGCCACTAAATTGCACAATTCTGCGTTACTTTTGCACAATTCCTGCGTTATTTGCACATTCCTGCGTTACTGGATATACACGGTGGTTTGGGGCGTTCTTTAGGGATTCTGTTTATATCTATTTTACTATTTATGTTACAAGACATTAGATGATATACTTCCATCAAGTTGATGTTCTATAAAACAAGTCATATATACAATAATTTGCTTTAGTGTGCTGTATTTATAAAGCAAAATTTATGTTATATTACCATGAGAACTTTAGTAAGAAATTCAAGGTCAAATAGGGCAGACAGCTTGAACATGTCGTTCAACTCCTTGTTGACTTTCTTCTGCACACCGATTGCTTTCCTTAAAACAGCAATAATGTTCATAAAATGTACATACAGTTAATTACAAAATGTTCCAAATGTTTCAAATTGTATCCGTTTAAGCATATTAATACTCGTATATCAACTGAACTGCTATATTAAAGAAAAACCAGTGAAATCAATAACGTATTTCAAAATTCTAAAATATATAACAAGCAACTGACCCATAGGACATGAATACCCATACATGATACATTGTATTTCTACATATCAAACTTCTTTTAAGCATTTATCATTTATAGATCTGAATTATTTTTATATCATCATCATACAAAATTACTACAATTATATATATTTTACTTTATGATACATGTTCTATTGTGATGTTCAAACAAATATGTACGTCTACAAGTATATAATGATAACTTACTTGCTCTGGTCGTGGGGGTTAAATGTGTCATACAGTAACGGTGTCATGATCGAGGTTTTCCCCTCGCCTTCAAGTTGTTCTGCTATTTTAAATTTTCCCACAAAACTCTAAAACAAGTATGGAAATCAATCTTTATCCCGAAAAAACTTGTATCTCATGACTAAGAAAAAAATAATGCGTTATCAAAATGAATTAAGATAAGTCCTCTTCAATGAATATGTCCGTCAAAAAATTATTTGTTTCGGCAATTATAACATATTCGTAATAAGGTCAAAAGTAAATTCCAAACCTGAAGTCTCAAGTTCCTCTGATATGTTAACAGCAAATCCAACACTTCTAGCACCCTGAAATACAATATAAATGGTTATACATATATTTTGACAAGACTGGAGCACTGAAAGGTCGACAAACAATGCATAATTGTAGACTTGCTTGATAGAGCCAGTTTCTCGACGGCAGTGGAAATGAACACTTCCTACATTCATAGTAGTATAGCGACTTAAGCCGACCTCAACATTTAAACATGAAAATAGTTTTATGAACAGATATCTTAATACGCCTATACATTAGTTTGCTAACTTTTATCAGTTACTTTTATGAATGTGTATAATAGCTATGTTCAAGGAGGTGTATTAGTTTGTACTTATCATATCTCTAAATTACGAAAACCATTAAAGTTTAACACACTCTTATCTAATTATATCAACAAATTAATAAGCAAAAGTCATTGTTTACGAATGTAAGGTTTGATAAAATAAATCTATAGTATATTTCAACAAACATACTGGAACTTTGCACGACTAATCGCCTCAGTTTCTTTTGTCTTCTCAAACCTTGCTGTCATCTGATAGGCATGTACCTTTTTCTTTTCTTCTTTGTTGTAACCTGTTATAATAAGATAAGATCAGATATTATGGTGACTTATGTTTTGACAATAATTACAAAACTATTTACATAATTATAATAACACCGGCCAGTCACCTTGCTCACAATGTATAATATTGTTTTTATGTGTGGAGCTCAAGTTATTGCAAATAAATGATAAGTTCAATCTCAATTTCAGATAGTAGTTCTTATCACTAAAAAGATTAAAGCCGGACATCATTTCAAAACATATTTGATACAACTTCATTTGCTGGATTTGTGGTAAGGGCCATGAAAGCTTTTGGAATAACAATGTGAACGGGAAATATTGATACAGTTTTGTAGAGATATCCTGTCATTGGTTTGATGATACTCGTGGTTCAAAAACGGAAACATGTCAACACAACCGTAAAACTATATTATTATATAAAACGAAATATCATATTTTTTCCTCTGCATACCTTTGTCTTTAGCAGGGAATGGATAGTCATGTCTACCATCAAGAAGGTTCAGTAAAGGCGGAAGTAGATTGTCAACATCTTCGGAGTCCATGTAGTAACCAAACTTTACTAGAAAATACAGAAGTCGCAAAACCTGCAAAAAGATTAACATTTACATGCCTTTAAATAAGACTAAGACATAATTCATTTTGAAAAAATGTGCCCTTATAACATGAAGATCAAAATGTGGGGTTTATTCTGCGAAAAAGCAATTTTAAAAAAAAATCAATGCAATACATTCAATGTTTTAAGATTTTGAAAAATGATATGTAATTCTATATTAAGCTCCATGGTATATCAAAGGAGATGACAAAATAAAAATGCACAGTTGCTGTTTTTTTCCTATTATTCATTTCTTTCACAATTACCTTTAGGAATGAAACGTAATAAAGCTTCTGACATACTACATCAACTTTTATTACTACAGACCTGTTCAATCAGCATGTTGTGACCAATCTCTGATGCATACATGCACAAATTTTCCGATAAAAACTCTGCAATCCAGTCTCGAAGTACAGGGAAGATGGCAACAAGCTCTTTCATTATCTGCAAAATTAGAATACCGGTATATCGCATGACGGCTCTTGTTTTCAATGTAATTTTACCATTACGAATTGTTCTTTTTATTAGAGACACATTTAATTTGCAAATATTGCCTGTTCAGAGCCTAGTTTTGTCTTCTTTTTTCGACGTTGTCTGCCGTTATAACATCATGTGATAATTCATTTTTGGTAAAACATACGTTTATTTTTTCCTATTATAATACTGCACGTTTGTAACGTCATTTTTCATTGGATAATCGTGACGTTTATATAGTTATATTATACCTCATTTGCATACGCCCTTCTATATTTAATATGACGTCACCCGGTCCATAAACCGCATACAGACCGGGGGCGGTCCATAATTCTTATATGGACTGGATGACGTCATATTAAATCTTAAAGTTCGTTTTTTGCCTGTTTAATTTGATTTTTAAAAATTGAATAACAAAAGAAGAGCATGATTTTTTTTGCTGTATCGCTTGAAAATTGTAATAATAATTCCGACTAGGGTTTGAAATATTTCACACACTGAACAAATAAATAATTATTTGAAAGTAAATTATAGTAAAAATGTCAGCAACAAAAGGGATGAAAGGATTTAGATTCTGTATAATATAACAAATAAAACATGGCCTTTCGGGCAAAATGCAAGTTGCGCTTCGGGCCATATACCTTCCGAGGTCTGACCAACCAGTACGTAAACTTGCATATTGCCCGAAAGGCCATGTTTTATTTGTTAAATATAACCTGTCAACGATATTTATAACTAATATGATATAATAAAACTTGTCTCCGGCTAACTTTATGACACTTCCCTTGACTTGAGTGATATCAGTTTAAATGTAATGGCATCTCATGTAAAATCCTATATATTGATAGATTTATCAATGACATATTTAGATATGACTCTGTGTTTCAGTTCCTTTAAACCTTTTCCCTTATATAAGCGTGTTTCGACGGCTATCTTGCCCCCACCCACCCCCCCCCCCCCCATATTTGAGGCCTCAAACAGTGAAAAAATGCCCTATTTAGGCCCCAAACCTTGTTTTTGTTTGAGAAATGCTGCTTAAAAAAGTGACCACTTTTTCGGCGCGGCCCCCCAACCAAATATTACATCAGGGGGTTGCCAGAAGGGGGATGTGCCCCCTTCTGTTTGGGGGGTTTAAAACACCAAAATTTTAATGTGACTATGCAAATGATGTGTGACTCTAAAAACATTCAATGATTAACCTTTTCCCTTATATAAGCGTGTTTCGACGGCTGTTTGCCCCCCCCTCCCCTTTTTGAGGCCTCAAACAGTGAAAAAATGCCCTATTTAGGCCCCCAACGCTGTTTTTCTTTTGAGAAATGTTGTTAAAAAAAGTGACCACTTTTTCGGCGCCTTCCCCCATCCAAAATATTACATCAGGGGGTTCCCAGAAGGGGGATGTACCCCCTCTGTTTGGGGGTTTGAAGTGGGGCGGAGTCCCCCTCATCGCCAAGAAAATTTTGGACATGTGACAGGCTAAAAATGGCCTCAGGTCGATCTTAGGGTAACTAGTAACCGACGCTGAAAAGCCTTTCACTCTATCTCAATTCATTGAGAAGTTGCAGCACTTTGAAATCACTTTTGATGGAAAAAAACAATGCAAAATAGTGATTTTTGGCAATTTTGAGACGTCCCCCCGTTGCCATGGTAACAGGAAATTTACCATTGAGCATGCTGTTACAGAGGCTATGGTGTAGTCAACATTTGTGCCAAGTTTCATTAGTATTGAAGCATTTTTCATAGTTTCATAGCAGTTTGAACTTGTTACAGGAGGCTTTTCAATGAAAACGGCCATTTTTCGCAATATGCTCAAATAACAAATTTTATTTTGAAGTAACCAAATTTTTACATGTCATTTATTTCAATCTTAATTGGTTAACCTGATGAACAAACAGTGAAGTTCTACTGAACGATCAATTTTTAACTGTTTAAAAACATTTCAGTATAAAAAAAACCCCATAAAACATGGATGTTATTTGTTAAAAATGTATACTTACAAAATCTCCTGCACTTTTTTCTTCATCCTTTGAACCAACATAGTCATATACGAAGCAAATATTCGGGTATGCCAAGACAGAATAGTTGTTTCCAATGTCAACAAACAGATCTTAAATGTATTGAAATGTAAAGTTATTTCTAAGCAAACTGTAAATGTGACATTGACTACGACTAAGTAAGATTAATCTGCAGTTAATTTTTGCTAAGTAATTCTGTAATTAAAAATGTAGTGTAATATTCACCGTCGGATACCCACGACTGAACCATTAACATTTATTAAATGTTGATCAACCGTGGGTATCCGACGATGTGTAATATCATCAAATAGATAAATGTAATAAAAATGAAGAAATAGCGAAGAAGAAGAATGACTTGATGATAATTGATATGAATTCTTTTCAATAGATCAAAATAAGATTTTAACTGAGATAGTGTACAATGATTTTGATTTGTTATTGTGGTTTAGTCAATTATCGACAATAACAATTTCTTATATGCGATAATAAATTTTGCAAAGCTATTTGTAAATAAGATTTTGTTAGAAAAAAATAAGTGAAAACAGCACTTACTTGTTGTGATATCACAGTACTTTGCTCGGATAGCATCTGGTAAAATTGACGACCTCAAAGCTAGGAACGTTTCCTCCCAAGTTAGAAACCTCGACTCTTTTGTTATGATGTTGATAGCAAAATCATTACGACCCTTGTTTATTAATAGTATAAAATATAAAAGAAGTCTTGCAAATATGATTATAAAACATGTGTAAGGTATATTAAAACATTATGTGCAAAAATAAGTGTTTTTATTTAATCATAGTTTATAACACCTCTTTTCATTTTTAGTAACTTTTTTAAATATTCAAAGAATAATTGAAGAGATTTCTTAACATGTTGATAATATTGCAGATAATGCATTTAAGAAATGTTCAGACACATGTACAATTGGGTATGTTCTAATATAGACAAAATTGTTCTTTCCCAACGTATTAAAAAAACTTCTGTTAAAGCAATTTTACAACGAATTAACTATATAGGGCAATATTTTTCACAAAGTATTAAAAAGACTTATTTTAAAGCAATTTTAACAACTAGTTTACTTACTTAAACCGACACATTTTTAAAATCATGAACATTTTACGTAAATTTAAACGTTGGCTAGAACATACCTTACAAAGAGCAATGAAAAGGTCAAGCTGATGTAGCAGAAAATCGTGTTTGTCTTTCTCATACTCCTCGTGTTCTGGCTAAAATTATCAAAGAAAATTGCATATTTCAATGTTCACATGATTATTCCGTTTTATTTAATAACATGTACTGCTTATTTCTAAATTTATATAAAACAGTTCTTATTTGTATTTTGATAGTACACAAATCTGCTCAACCATTGATGAGTGTACAAATTTTTAAAATATGAAACGTAAGAAAAGGATGGTTTTTTTATAATTTGTTTGTAACAGTTCTTCGGGGTTAAATTATTGTATTATGTACAATTTAACTGGATGTGCTTTTTTATCACCATATTTTACTCTGTTTCTGACGCAGCTACGGCTATTTTTCTATGCATTCTAAATGCATGTCTAAGACATGCTAAAGCCGATATTTTTGTATGCTTGACATTTCTAATACTAATACTTTTTCAAAAGTGTTTTTGGTAAAACATACATTGACAAAGTCGTGCAAAGCAGACCATGTTTTGGCATCGTCCGTTGTAATGTAGAGTATATTAGGCTGCTTGTTGATATCCTGACCTCTAGCTGTCAAAAATATTCCTCTCTGTAACAAATTCGTGGAGATATTAGTACTGTTCTTTAATATCATTTCCTGTGTTATTTATCATATCAACTGATGAAGTTCATGAAACATTCTTTGATAAACTGTGTTTGTTTGTGATCTTTTTTATCATATAATTCTTTTTAAAACTTAAATGACTGATTTTTGTTGTCTGTCCTACGACAAGTTGTACAAGTAGTCCTTGAAAGTGTGGGCACTGAAAATGCATTTGTGAAAGTCCTGTATCATACTGCATTTCGTTCTGTTCGTACAACGTTTTTGTACATTTGTTTTATATTTAACAAGCAGATCAAAACTCAGTTTAGATCTTTTTCTCGTAATGACGGTCCAACATATGTTTAATTCGCTTATTCTGCGAAGTAGAATGACATTTATTTAAAAGTTTAACAATATTAAGCATTAGAAATTACTACTTAATTAGGCTTTTCTTTAAAATCATTTGTAAAGCATATATGCTGGCAATAATGTTTGTATACGTAATTTAAAATTGAAGAAATATTACGATATGTACAAAATGTATACAAATTCAACAACAGTACCTTAAATAAATGCTCAACATCACTGAAATATTCAGTGATCATATTGTATATTTATCGTTTTGGAGTTTTGATGGACTTACCGGTTTGTCAAGCATCCATTTTTGCACGATGTACACTTGATTGTTTGGAATAGCAATGTCATCACACACGCAAAGCACGTGCAGTAAATCTAGAAATCTGTAATTCTGGTTCAGAAATAAAATACATGTGTTATTCAAATTGTATCTAGATATCAAGAAAATATTTCGTTAAAGTATGTCTTAATTTTAAATACGGCTATAATTACAAGTTTTTGTAATTAAGGCCGTGTTGTAAATATTGATTGCGGAATATGCTGTCTTTCGATAAAATTAATGTTATAACATCAACAATGTTTTAGAATAAATTTATTTCTTAAAAAACAACATTTTGTTTAATATTTGCTTACCTGAGTTTTAAACGAATACTATCAACCATATTCAAAAATAAATTTGTGTCGTAAAAACAACGTTTTTGAATATTTGTTTACCTGAGTTGACTGTAGAAGACCGACAAATTCGTCAATCTGATGATGCGATATTCTGTCAACGATCTTTCTCTTGTCTCTTATCAATTCTACAATCATCTGAGCAACGTTCAGACCTATACCTCCCTGTTTAATATGAGATTAGATATTTCAAGATAAATAATTTATGGTCAATTTACAATCAATGGTTTACCAGACGATGAAAAAAACATGCACTGAAAGGCATTGGTTACTAGTATATTTTTCATTAATAAATACCAAAGTATATTTTTAGTCTTTTATTTATCTTTATGTCGGAATCCAGTAGGAATCTAAATTTGTAAAATTAAAATTACATACCTACTCATGAACTAGTATTTCAAAAGTAAAAAAAAATCAACGTTTCCGTATGAAGACATACTCTGATAGCTGTTGTTTACCTTCTGTGTAAACTGGGTCTGGAAGAACTCGATATATTTTGCAAAGTAAAGGGCATTTTTCCTACTTTTGCCGATCATGTACGTGTACAATATCTCGTATGCCTCCTTGAATACTAGAATGATTGCATGTTCATCCGCAACGCCATCTAGCGGAAATTGTAAGATCTTCACCAGCAAATCTATCACCTGTATAATTTAGAATAATATTTTTCTCTTAATATACAAATTTATCAATGTTAGATCGAATAAAACCAATTCGGATTATGAAAACAAAGTCACCTTTAAAAGCATAATTTGATAGTTTCATTTTATGATTTTAATTGCTTTAAATATATGTGTTTACGAAATAAACTATCATTTTCAAAAACAAATGTTCTTTTATTTAAGAAAATATCGTCTGAAATGCAGAACTTAATACATACGTACATTTCCAAAACTAAAAGAAATGTGAATGTATAAGTAATATGTTCAGTTAACTAATGTTTGGTACAGATTTGAGCCGAGTCACGACAAAACCAACATAATGGGTTTGCGACCAGCATGGATCCAGACCAGCCTGCGCATCCGCGCAGTCTGATCAGGATCCATGCTGTTCGCTTACCAACTCTATTACAAGTAGAGAAACTGATAGCGAACAGCATGGATCCTGATCAGACTGTGTAGATGCACAGGCTGGTCTGGATCCATGATGGTGGCAAACCCACTATGTTGGGTTTGTCATGACGCGGCTCATTTATGTTTCATTTAGTGTTTTATACTGCAAACATATTGCAAATGCAGAATATATCTTACCCTTAGGTTCCTCATCAGTTTCTGTCTTTCTTTGCTTGGTAGATTTTCCACAATCATGAAATGTTGAAGTTCGTCCATTGCCTGCAAACGAAGATAACTTATCATCTTGGATATTCTTAAAATAATAATTTGACGTTCACTCGCACCCTTTATATTAAGATCAAGGTAATTTATATATGAAGCATCTCCAGTCCATTAGAAATGTGGTTTAATTTTATGAATTCTATTTTACCAATTGACAAAGGCAATCAACTTTATAGATTTTATTGCGAAATTAACATTTATCTATTCAAATTAACAACAAATTTGTCGCGGATCTTTTACAAAACATGCCATGTAAGAATACTCGTAGCAAAATGCTATGACTTTAAAATGTACAGTGCAACCTCTGTCTCTATAGAACAATACCCCTCAAACTTTACAATACAATAAACCTCTTTATTACTTATTTTCTTGTAACATTTTCTTAATCTCTCAATGAACGTTTGTTACCGACATTAAATCTAAAAGCAATGTTGCATACATCAAACAAATAAATTCAAATTAATACAATATATTTTACCTGTACAGTCTGATGTGTCTTTTTTGAATTAAGGGTGATCCCAACTTGCCTCTGAAGCAAAATAAATCTTAAAGAGAAACCTCCAAGAGATTATGTAACACAGTAAGAAACATTTTCTCTTTCATTTCTCTATATAAATACTTGAACTACTTGTCATGAAGTAAAAGATGTGATTTCATGTTTTATATAGCATTATTTTTACATTCAGATGTTTACAAAACACCCGGATAAAGAGCAAAATGATAGTTGGCTGCTCCTGCAAACATTAGCTATATGTTAAAACAAATATTACTTCTTGGAAAAAAAGGTATTTCAAATGACATTCTAACCTGATATTTATAATTTATTTTCTTATCCGTTAATTTGAACAAAATGTGATAATTGTCATGTAACGTGTAGACAATAACTTACATCTTTGATCAGATTCTGTAGGAACGGTACCATACCAGCCACGTAATTAAATTCTCGAATATTCTCATCTTCAACTCTCTGTATTGTGAACGCGTCATCGTACTGGCTCTCACTACTTCCGGTCACCTGCGGATACATTCGAATAATTACCAGCATACATGAGCCGCGTCACGACAAAACCAACATAGTGCGTTTGCGACCAGTATGGATCCAGACCAGCCTGCGCATCCGCGCAGTCTGTTCAGGATCCATGCTGTTCGCTTACAAACCCTATAACAAGTAGAGAAATTGATAGCGAACAGCATGGATCCTGATCAGACTGCGCGGATGCGCAGGCTGGTCTGGATACATGCTGGTCGCAAACGCACTATGTCGGTTTTGTCGTGACGCGGCTCATATGTTACAACATGAATTCAGGAACGACAAAACTTTGTAAAGAATAGTGACACATTAATTGTTAGTATAAGAAACCAGGGTTTCGATTGGGACTGTCAAATGAACAACATTATCGTACAAAAAAATAAAGATTTATTTTATTTCTTTTATTTATTTAGTTTATTTATTGCTTAACTAAAAAAAATATAAACATGTCCGAACTGTTAAAGCAATATGTATTTTGAGTCCTCAGTTACTAACCCGTTTAACTGGGGCGCTGGAAACTCTTAATCCTTTTAATGATTGGTCATTGCAACTTTCCTCGTTACGAAATTGTTTACGAATGTATTCTTCGTCTGGATAAAAACAAAATTGAAAAGCACATTGGTATACATGTACTGTGATTTCATTACTTATTAGCTTTTACCTATCTAACAGAAACCGAATGATTGAAAAAGTATTTTAGCAATGACTTGTAATTCTGATTTTTTAATATCATTTAAAAAAGAACTGATACACGCATAAAACAAATGCATTGCAAATTGGAAGTACATGTACTTGTTTATGTCAATTGAAGTATTGTTCTGACCTTTCAGTGCATGCAGCCACGATCCTGTTAGAACATGTTCGATCCTGCAGTAACTCTCGAATCTGATCTCGTCTCTTTCCTTAAAACGGTAGGTATAAATATTTAAATAAGAATAAAAGTATTGAATGCACAATCTGATAGGCCTGTACAGGTGTGCAAGCTAAACTTACACTATACTGATGGTAATGGTCTGTAATTATATTGCTAACAGAACTTTAACTCTTTCCAGCCTCAATATCTTAAATGGAATAGTTCAACGTTCTATCTAAACAAAACCAGGGAACGTTTAGGGAAAGTTTTAAATAAAGATGTGACTGAATAGCGAGCATCTTAAATCATTATTAGACGGTAAAGATAAATCTTGGTCTGCACTGGCCCTGTTGTCATAAGGAGGCTAAAGAGTATGGGTAATGCAAGTGGAAATCGCAGCTCTAAAATGTTAGTGCTATATTAAACATAATAAACAATTGTGATAATGGAATAAATAGAACATAATAAACAATAATGATAATGGAATAAATAGAACATAATAAGCAATAATGATAATGGAATAAAAAGAACATAATAAACAAAAAATAGGACATAATAAATAATAATGATACTGGAATAAATAGAACATAATAAACTCTTATGATAATGGAATAAATAGAACATAATAAACAATAATGATAATGGAATAAATAGAACATAATAAGCAATAATGATAATGGAATAAATAGAACATAATAAACAAAAATGGCAATGGAATAATTTCCAACATAATAAATAATAATGATAATGGAATAAATATAACATAATAAACTCTTATGATAATGGAATAAATAGAACATAATAAACTCTTATGATAATGGAATAAATAGAACATAATAACCAATAATGATAATGGAATAAATAGAACATGATAAACAATAATGATAATGGAATAAATAGAATATAATAAACAACAAAATTTGCCATTATTGAAACAAAAGTTAAAAGAATTAATTTGCAAAGTTGTAAAAACTGATATGTACAATTACATGGCATGTAATTATAACATTTTATTACGAATGGATTTCTAAAAGAGGGCGTACAAGTTGACGTAACCTATTTGATTGATACAACTTACGTTAATAACGCTGTGAAGTCGGAACACTGTTCGCGGGTCCTCGTTACTGTCTATCAGTATAACCTCGTGCTCTGCTGTGATACATATGTATTTTCTTGTTGTCATGTGACGTAACCGTATCTGCTGCTCCCATTGGATAATCTCACCTTACCAGAACAGAACAGAACATAACTTTTTATGGTATACAACAAAACAGTTACAGTGCAATTTATATAATTCAATACAAGATGCAAAATTACTGCATACAATATCGTTTTAGTATTGATAAGGGAGAACATCGTTAAATATATTGTATTGTTAAAATGGTTACTTTAAAGTAATAGGTCCACTGTATAATTCACAAAAGTTTTAATTCAGATTCAAAAATATTTCGAAACAATTTACTGGTGTTTTTTTGTTGTTTTGTTTTGTTTGTTTTTTGTGTGTGTGTTTTTGTTTTTTTTTTTGTTGTTGTTTTTTTTTTTGTTTTTTTTTTTTTGTTTTTTTGGTGTGGTTTTTTTTTTGGGGGGGGGTGTTTTGTTTAGTTTCTGTTTGTTTTTTGTTGTTGTTTTTTTAAATAACTACACGTCTTTGACATTAAAATGTTTACATTGTATTATTATTTATTATTTGTATTACCATGAAAGATTGCTTTTTCCGCTTCTATCACCCAGAATGTGTTACCGGAAGTTGGCGGGGACAGCGTTCGCGGCTTATGCTGGTCCATTACTCGGACACGGAAATGAACTAGAAAAGATTTTTTTTAAAGGGCATAAAAGGAATAACAATTATTCTTCATTTGAAGAAAATACTATATAATAACTTGGCAGTTAGAATTAAAAGTATAGCAATGGTATGATTATACATGTATCAAAAGTCTTTAGACCCTTTCATTCAGAACAATTTGCAAAATAGTTTAGAAAATAACAAGAATAATATCCAAAAATGTGAAGAAAGTATGTTCACAATTCATCTTTCACAACAAAAATATATCTGTACTTAATTTTTTTTTTAAAAATAGTATCATATAAAAATTACAGTGGATGCAATATGAAGAACGTTTTTATCAGTACCATCTTCTGTGATTTCATCCTCAAAAAGACCTTCGGCAACAACGTATGCTTCCAGTTCTTTGTGAAACAGCCGAATAATGTTTCCTCCCTGAAATTTATATAAATCACTGTTAAACATTTTCGTAATATTCTTATATAATTCATAATATACTGGTTAAGAAACCAATTTTTAAATTTGGATATCTTGTGAAGAAAGTGTAATTTACAGAAACAACGATCTGAGTAGTCTTGTTTATTTCTTTAGATATAGTGAAAGCGTTGAATACAAATGTTTTTTTTTTCCTTCTGTTTCTAACAGATTTAAATAAACAAATAAACGTAACGATGTCGAAACAGAGAATTTGTATGAAATATGTTTATGTATGTAATTATACATGATTATATGGTAACATATAAAGATTTTATCCAGCTTTTTATGGCAACGTTTCAAACAAACACGTATTTTATTTATTTCTATGTTACAATGTAAAAACAAAGAGAATGAAAACTGGTCACAAACTTACCCGGATATATATAAGTGATTCTGTCGGTGGTCGTTTTCTGAATCGTATCAATGTAAAACCTGATCTTTCCACACCAAGGTTAAATTCCGACCTACAAGAGATTTACTGGTTATTTAATTGATTAATTAATTAATTAATTAATTAATTGACTGATTGATTGATTCATTCATTCATTCCTTTTTGCTTGATTCTTTTATTTACTCATTCATTCATTCATTTATTTATTCCTTAATTGTTTGATTCATTCATTCATTCATTTATTCATTCATTTATGATTTGATTCTTTATTCATTTATTTATTAATTGATTCATTCATTCATTCATTCATTTATTCGTTCATTTATTGTTTGATTCATTTATCCGTTCATTTACTCTTTGATTCATTCATTCATTCATCCATTCATTCATTGTTTGATTCATTTACTTATTCATTTATTGTTTTATTTATTTATTCAATGTTAGATTCATTGGTTCAGTTGGTTGGTTGACCAACATTGCACGGAATCAATAATTAAATAAATGAATGAATGAATGAATGAATGAATGAATGAATGAATGAATGAATGAATGAATGAATGAGATGTAAACCAATTTTTATTTCCAATATAGATAAATATAGAACATAAGTTAAAATTTATTTTTCATCACATAGTAAATTACATTGAATTTTATGAAATCAAGACAAGAAATTAATTAAGGATGTGGAGAGCATCTTATATTAATAGATTTATTTACAATATTTACCCGAATGTAAAGTGGTCAATCTGGAATGGTGAACTGGCATGTATAAAGTGACCTGGAGACTTCACACTTTCAAACACAATTTGATCGTATATTTGTACCTGAATAAAACAAACTCAACATTTAATTCTCCATATTTATATTGATAAATGCTTACAAACATATTTATTAATCTCGATTTTGTCTTTATAAATTCTCGATACCATTTCTTACATGCATTTCAATAGCTCCCGTCCAATATAGGTTTTTAACAGCTACGTACTCGTCCAACAGAATTTAGTATTGTTCTCAACGATGTATAATGACATCATACTATCAGAAATGTTCTAATCATAAACTTTTATAAAACATTTTTAGTTTTAAGTCGTTACAAGAAGCATTTCACGAAAACACAAAATATATAATAGTAGATTTATATCATTTTTTCTCTAATTATTCGCTCTATTTTGTTTTACTTTTTACTTGGCATTTGAATCCAAATTTCATAATGTACTTGCAAAACAAATGTTTTATTCTATATTTTAATTATATATAATGCAAAGGTGTTCATTTGAAGTGGTTAAATTTGATAGAAAAGGTGTTTAACTATGGCACATGGTTTGATTAAGTATGACACATGGTTTGATGAAGTATGGCACATGGCTGGATGAACTATGGCACATGGCTTGATGAAGTGTGACACATGGCTGGATGAACTATGACACATGGCTTGATGAACTATGGCACATGGCTGGATGAACTATTGCACATGGCTTGATGAACTATGGCACATAGCTTGATGAAAACAAGAAGGTCAAAAACATTCACCTGCGTAGAAAGATTTTACGAGGAACAAAATGTTTAATCAAAATATCTAAAAGCAGAAATAAATATTTTTTTTAAAGAGATTATATTTTAAAAGTTGAAGTTTACAATGATCAAAATATTAAAACATTAAAATACCTACCACTTCACCTTCAGATTTGACCTTATATTGGGGCAAAATCCTAAACTGAGCATTTTTCGCATTGTATTCTTGGAGCATAATCTGTAAGTAAAAAGAAATATATGTAAAAAAAATACTAGTTTGACTATGATAGAAATACTATTTGTTTCCATTTGTGGTGCTCTTTGGCTACAAATATTCCTCTCATATCTTTAACATTGGGATAGATTTCTGCATTTTCCTTCTACATCAACATACATGTCTAATTTGCATGGCTTTACCGATGGCTAGACAAACAGGAAACAGGTCTACTCTAAAAAAATAATAACTATTTTTCGAAGTGAGTCCCTGCGAAATTAATCGTCTAGTTCTTAGTCAACATGCACGTAACAGAAGATGGATGGCATTTTCAATTTTTATTTGAAATAAATGAGCATGCGGTAGATTTAATTAAGCTGAGAGTCTTTAATGGAATAAGTTCGTTAAGTCCTTGGAAAGCTAAATCTCATTGGAATGGCCATGTGGTATATCTTTATTAATGATGTCAGTCTTGAATTGTGACATTTCCCGAATTTATATAGACATACTTAAAATCTAAGATTTTTCTTTTAGATCTGACAATTTATTTGTGACTTTCCAACTAGTATGGTATCACATTTTATTACGCATTTTCGTAAAAGAGATTATTACTATAGATAGAAAAAAGTTATTGTCCCGCAAGTAAAGCAGGATTATAGCCAACCATGGTGTAAGTGTCATTAATAAAAAAACCCATCAAAATAGAAAAATAGTTGCAAAAAGTCTTGTTGTTGTTTTTAACATAAACCCAAGCGAGTTTCCTTATAGATGAATTTTAGTTATCCGGTCGCAACTGGAGCTCAATATCCTTCTAAAACTACAAAAATTGCTTATAACTCTTTCAAGCAATGTAACAAAAATGTGAAAATTTAACGAAATGTGCAGAACATCAAAAATACTCCACATAGGTATTATTTTTTTTTTACTTTTACTTACCACCATGTTGTTTTTATCGACTTGTGACGTTTGAGATGTACATGTGTGTATGTATTTATTTGTAAACACATGTTTCAACTGAAATAGAAATAAGATACGAATATATTTTTCTCTTTTTTCAATTTATACGTTACCCCTTTTCAAAGATATTTATGCATTTTATGCCCGTTTAGGAAGTTTATGTTATATAAATAATCGAATAAAAGTGTTCAAAAGGTTATTTTTCTTAGTAGTTAAATTAAACTGATTACTGACTTATTGACAAAAACAACAAATATTAATAAATTAGAGATTAGAGTTTAGCTTTAAAAGACCACGTTCAATTCCACTGTGTCTAATATGCTATATGAAATACCTGTACAATTTCACCGTATCTAACCCGTTTACCAAGTTGCCGTTTCTGTTCCTGCGCATTGTCCATATTCTCGGCCTCCGCCGCCATCTGTAAATTAGACATATAGTGTCATTTTCAGAAAAAAAATGTAAATCGTACCATCTTTTATTATAATGTTAATAATTAATTATGTGATCTCATAATGACCTTGTTATTGGGATGAGGACTGTCATATTAGCCTGAGGCCAAAGGCAGCAATTCAAAATGGCGACTTTTTTCAATGACAAAAATGATTCATAATGACCGAGCTGGAGAGCCAATCAAAATTCTCTCCAATCTCATGATAGCCGACTTTTCTCAAAAAGGCCGTACTTTTTGCATAATGGCATAACGTGCACGGTACATTTTTGAGGGTTGGTATATTGATAAATGAAATACATTATTTGGGTTGGTATATTGATTCGTCCGATTCATTATAGGGGGTTGGTATGTTGATAAATAACTTTAAATAAGATACATTATAGTGGGTGTTATATTAATACAAAATACAGATAATAAGGGGGTGGGTTATATTGATAAGTAAGATACCCACCTTGTGTTGTCTGAGAAGTGTTTCATCTTCATGGATGGTCCCCTCGGAATTTGCTACCATCGACTTGTACTTTCTAAACTTCTTGTTCAGTTTATATCTGTTCTGCAGGCCAACAATAAACTCACATGCTGTGAACGACAAATGTAATGATTTACAAAACAAAGATAGGTTTGAAAACAAATAGCTTGAACAATAAATATACCTTTCTTCGTTTAAATAACAAAACTCAATATTTAAACGCAATAGGAGAGAGGTCACTGTTCTAATGAATTTTACAATTGAGGCCGGCAAAACTTGATGACAAGAAAAAAGTTTATTAAGTTTTCATATAGACAAACAGTTTTGCAATGACAGACTGTATATGAATGGTTACCTTGTGCACTTGGTATTTTCGTTGGTTTATCTCGGTCCTGGTTTTGATATATGAATACATGGCTATGTACAGAACTGAAATATATACAAACATTATACATTATGTTACGCGCATTATGTATAGCACTCTTTGTTCGTCTATAAGCACCATATTTATGGATATTATATCCAAAAGAAGGCTATGGTTCCATTTTACATTTAAAAATACGAGTACATTATTTTGTCAGCTTAAATCGACACTTTTAATTTTACTATTTTCATACTTATTGCAAGAATTATACGATATGTAATTCCTATAGTACATATGATTTATCAACCAATAAAATGCTTAATCTATCAAATTGACCTGTCCCTTTGTCACTCTGGACAAAAGTATATATTCATAGTTTTAGATATGTACTGACTGTAAAGCGAATAGTGTAGACAATGTCAAGACAACACAGTTATTCACACTGATTATAGTCTGCACTGGTCGCATCGGTATACTAGTATTCATTTCCTACCATTACCAGTGTTTTTGTTGGGTTTTAAGTCGCATTAACACTGTAAATGTCAGAAGGCGACTTTCGGGCTTTACTGGTCGAGGAAGAACGCAGGTGACCGTATTTCAGACACGGACGCGACCAAAGTGTTGCTGATATGTTCATTTTATCAGCAAAATGCTTTACAGACATGTCAAAAATAAAGTTTATTTACAAAGTTTTTTCACATTGAGTGACGGAATAGGTTTGTTAACTGTACGTTATCTTTTTATTTGATATAGCTAAAGATGCTATCTTCCACCACCACATCTCAAAAACTCTAAAAAAATCCTTGAGATATTCTACATCTCTTTCATAGTTCTCCCTTGATCCCCTTATTCCGGACAGACATATGTGTAATTGGTTCAACACTAGTATCAATCTATTATAATTTTGCATCTACGTTTATCATATCAGGGCAGTAAAAATTAGAGAAAAAAAACAAAAGTCTGAAACAATAACTTACCTTGACTGGAGACTGTAAGCAAATCCTTCTGTCTCCACGGAAAACAAACAAACTGAGTCACCGACACACAGAAACTCTCCTAAGTTCTGTGTCATCTTGCTTTTAGAGCATCTTACATCTAACTATCTACTTTGAAACACGTAATAAAAGTCTAATATATTTGAATTAAATAGATTCAAATGCTTTTTCATCTTTATATGATATGATGACAATAACATGACTTTTAATTAAAAACATGTAAGGCAAATATCAAATAAAATCTTCGCCAATATCTATATTCATTTCAAATAATTTCTTTAGGAAATTCTTTAACAGATATTAATGAAATCAAAGTAAAATTGCTAGGTTATCATTTTACTTAATATATATTTTCTATTTGGATTGTTCTGATATGAAATCAGCTTTCCACAATACTAACTAAACACAATTTAAAATATCTAAATTCACTGAGCATTAGATACTATTTAAAACATATTACTTAATTAGAATTAAACAATATAAGAAGACAATATTTATTTACTGATATAATTTATATTCCGGAAGATCTTCATAGTCTTCCAATGTTTCGTATGAAAGTTCATTCCTATCAAACCTCGTATCTTTTCGGGACCAGACTTACGTTAAAAAACGATTCAAATTGCTGTCTACATGGATTTTTGTCAATCGAAAAAAATGCTAAGTAATTAAGCAGATAGCTTCTATGTTTTTGCCCATAGGCCAGTTCAATAATTTGAATGGGTTTCGGTCTTTTATATCTGAATGTAGATCGGTCTTTTACCCTACGATTCGTGATATTATGCATTTATTTTTTAAACATATTTATCAAATTTGATGACGAATTAGATTGTTTTATTATCATTTTATTCTCAAGTAATAGTATTATGACTTCTTTTGTTTTGTAAATATCGAGTGAATATTCAAAATACATAGATTTTTTTCAAATTTTATATTTCAGTTAAAATATGTCTATGCGCATGACAACATGCTACTAACTGCTTAAACACTTTTAATCAGAAATGAAGAAAGCAAGTCATAGATTTAATGAGGCTTCTTTAATATTAAAATAATCAAAACGTAAATTAGTTTTATATTGAATTAGCAATCATACTTTTGTACTCTATTCCAACTTTCCAGGAAAGAAACTTACATAAGTCTTTGACTTTCTTTTCAATTCAGTATTAAATCATGTAATGGTATATAATTATATATGTTTGAAGTACGTGTATTTGAAAAACATACTGTTTAAACCAACTTTCCATGATGTTTTATTCTCTTGGACTTACAAACAATAGAGGGACATAAAACCTATATAAAGATATTTGGCCTAATCTGCAAGGCAATAACAAGAAGGATGAGTTTTACCGTTGTTATTGCATTACGTATTCCGTCTAAGGACCACTAACGCCACCAGGATGTGTTCAGGATAACGTCATCATAGAAAGAAATATTGAAATCATCCATCTTTCCCGGCTGTTTTCATGTCTGTAGTTCTTTTTCATGTTACTAATCATAAAACATATTCTTAACTATTTCTGGACTCTTTGTATGCAACAATTATATAAACGCTTTCGGATCAAACCTTTGTTTCTTAATGTCGGTAAATTTCGGAACAATTCGTAATTTATTCGGGTGCTGTACTTTATATAAAAGTATGTCCGTCTTTTTTATTGGATAAAATGTACTGAATGTATTGATCTTTATAATTACTTGTAGTATCGCTTATGTTTTCTTTCTTAGTGTTTATTGAAGACCTTGTTGAAAATAAGATTTTTCATTATATATGTTATCTTTGGCAACGCCGGTGAACGATGTTCCTTGATGATGGCTTTTCCCTTTTGAAGTCTGTACATGTGTTACATGTGTTAAGGAAGTGTAAATTTTCATACGCTACCATTAAGGGACTCCATTAGGTCATACATTCGCATTGTAACATGGAAAATCAATGTGAGTGTCTGACCATTCAGGTTTTAAGAAATGACAGGACTGGAATTGATGTTGCAAGATTTTTTATAGCATTTGATGGAGCTTTTTACAAATAAATAACTTGTGCGCAACATTTGATATCATTTGCTTAAATCGTTTTTCCAGAATATACACTTTTATTGTGCAAAAAAATACCCTTTTAAAAACGACAATCGTTTAACCCTTTTAACTGTAATCGGTCTAAGAACCGCTCTATATATTGGTATCTTACTGTGCTATCTTTTTTTTTCTTCATATTTTATCTTTTAAAGTGTGTTTCAAGGTTTTCATGGACGTTATATGCTTTTGGATTATAGCGGAGCTCTTTACCTCCCCCCCCCCCCCCCCCGAAACCAGTTCTTTCTTCGTGAAATGCTATTAGTGCTTTAAACGGTTTTGTGATAATTGCTATTTAAATTGCTGGTTTAACAAAAAATCAATTATTTTCACGAAATAAAAAAAAGTTCTGTATATCTTAGATATAGATATATTTTCATGTTGTGGTGATTGGCTAGTCTTCATTATCCTTATATCAACGCAAATCCCACCAACTACATGTATATTATCAGATAACTTCATTTCTTACGATTTCGATCAAAAGACGGTACACCGGCGCTCTTTTTCATTCGGATTACTCGGGGATTTCCCACACACGCAATGTCAGCCCGGATCATCGGAAGAAAACTGAAACAAATGTCAAGAATTGGAACGATGGCTACAAACTCTGCCAGTGACTTAGAAGGAGAAGTTATACGGTCTTTTATTTCCCTAGAGTCATTGGATCCAAATATTTTCAGGTAACTTTATTTTTATGTCTTCTTTTAATCAAATTTTGAGAGAGAAATATGTCAAAAGTGTAATAGTGCTCGGACATGAGTAGTCTGTCGTTCAAAAGATAGGACGCAGGTGTATTTAGTTCATTATCTTATCCAGTACGTGTTGAATGTGAAAGTAAATTATTTCACATTTATGATTTACCAATGTTTAATAGAATTATAACATAAAGTACACATGCCACCATCCCTAGACGAGATTAGGTAGGTGTCTATGAGATTGCCATTTACAATTGAAAATGATGACTCAATAAAATCGGGAAAAAAAAGAAAAAAAATTACATATCAAAATTTAATCAAGATATTGTAATTCCAATGTATATTTGTGTGTCATGTTTCATGAATACTCTCAATAAACAATAAAGCTATTTCTGTTTTCCATTTAATACTTTATATGTCACTTTCATTTTGACATTGTCTAGCAGTACTATAAAACCTGTTTGCTGAAGTATCTTTAGCTAGAATAAAGCAAGTGTAAAAGAAATATCTTCTTTGCTATTCAAGAAATATAAAGATTTATGTTGTACCTACTATATATTGGTTGCGTTTTTTTTCACAAAGGCTCCACGGCCATTCTCAGTTAGAATTTACACCCCTATCAAAATTTGATAAAAAATACAGATTAGCAAAAACGCAAAACTGTTAGTCTTTTTACAAACTGAAACTATCTGTGAAGTTCTACTGAAATTATTTTCAACATCATATAAGTAGTTTTTGTAAATCGGCGGTTTGAAAAGTGTATCCGTTTAACCTTTTTAAAATGCCGGAAATGTTCGTGACAAAGTACCTTTTACTTTAAAAAGGGCTGCTTATAATTACATTGATGATATCTTATTGGAATTTACTTTTAAATATCACATGATACATAGATTTCTAATTGTACAATTGATATTACGAATTTCTTGCCTAATTAAGCTTATATACATTTTTAGAAACTCATATGCAAAAAGTGCAAATCAAGATATACTGCTTAACTGTGATAACGATTTGTCTCATTATTATAAGAGCTAGGACCCAGTGTAATTAGTATAGTTCTTGGCATAAATAAAAACCGTAGTATCACTCCTAGCAATTGTATGTATATGCTTTATTATTAGGTCAATTGATCACCTTACTAAGATTTAAGTACTATGTAAAGCTAACGAACCTTTCAACCATAAACACAAACCAAAAAAGAAGCCCACTTAATACCCCAAAGCATACATATAGACATCCGACAATGATATTTAGTATAAAACACATTACCTTTCTTGACTTTATAGTATACTGGTACACAATTTGTAGTAAAATAAAGCATCAAATAGTATTTAATATAAAATGATAGTAACTAAAGGAATAGCAATACAGCATATCAGTCTAAAACAATTGAAACAACAACACCTTAATTAAAAGATAAACATTTATCAAGAAGTAGAACAGTTTACCAGATCAAATACATTGCTGAGGCTAAGATTTTAATCATATATTCACTTTCTTTTTTCAATTCAGATATGGTATATAAAATAACGAACCTTTCATTGTCAAATCAAAATTTTGATGCTAATGTTGATACATATATATTCAGATATAAAGTTCGGATATAGACATTCAAAAACAATTATATTTATTACCTAATGATAGCTATAGTAATCATTTCATTTCTCAAAAATGATATTAAATTGGAATGGCATCTGTAGTAAAACAATTTATAAATGTTTTCTGAAATCTATAACAACTAATTCAATCCAATGAAAACGTATCAATAAGGTAATAATACTAGATTCTACTTTTAAAACAAATAAACATAAGCTTTTTACGAAGAGAGACATTCAGCTAGTATAAAATATTAGCCATATAACGCAAGCATATCAAATTATAGGATCGGAGTCAATTTCGCTAATGATATGTTCGTTATTCACTGAAACTGCTTTTTTGCAGCAAACAAAGAATTGACCAATTCAATGTTGTCACCTCCCAATTATTTAAATGACCTCCGCGAATATCTTGTTTCTCTTGGCTTCATAACCTTTTAGGGTGTGTCGTTGGGTTCAGCCATATCTTTTCTTCGCCTACAGGACATTGCAATATGTCACGCAAATTTTAGTTTTCAAAAGGTTAATCACAATTTCACTACATTGAAGAAGCAACGCATTTTTTCATGCTTGTAATAATATATTTTTGATATTTTTTTCGGATCTTCTTGTTTTTTTATTTTACTGAATTACCGCATGTTTTCAGGTTTAGATTTCAGCATAATTGTCTGCACTAAAAGTAATTCCAAAGCTACATTCGTCTAGCTTGAAAAAGACGGTTTTTTTAATTGAAAGGTTCGTGGCCCAAGACAACGAACCTTTCATTGAGTTAAATGTTTATTTTATCATGTTTCCCTCATCATAATAATTTATCTTTATAGAATTGTTTTAAATTCACTTCATATTTTGAATTTATAATCACACAAATATAATGTTTATTTGTTTTTTTTTTATAAAACAAGCTTTTCAGGCGAGTACGAGGTTTATTTTTTACATAAATCTTTTTCAGTTGTAACGTCTTGTAAAAATCAGACATTCTTTTGATGTTCTTTTTCTGTATAAATAAGATATACTCACAAGATTTTTCTTAAATAATATTATATACATTACAGGATAAGATATATTATTTTATTCATATAAATTATCGTAGGAAAGGTTCATGACTAATGGTCACGAACCTTTCCTTGTTTGTAATCCGACATGGTATTAATAAACATCATAAAAATATAAATTCGCTTATTACATTTGAAAACAACATCGTTTGTGATTCAGTAGGCAATAGAAAATTTTCTTGAAATTTAATAATCACGAAAAGTATCAAAATCACTTGCCAAAGGATTTTGATGGGAATTTCGATCATGTTTATTGCATGTGCTGCGAATAATAAGCAACCATTGTATAAAGAATTGAAACGTTTCAACCCAAATGACTTCATAGTACATATGTTTGTTAACCGCAGCCGTTTACAAACAAGCATTGTGTATGCGGCATCGAGTAAAATATATCACCGCACGAACCTTTCATCACGAACCTTTTCTCAGCATATTTCAGATTCAAAAATGTTGTTTATACAACTACAAAATGTTTCATTTTTGGCATAATATACTAATTTTTACTCAACTTAGAACATTTCATGTGCTGGGAGTACATATTGCAATCATAAACCCTTAAAATCAGATAACGAACCTTTCAATTTTAACCCAAACCACATCACAACGTTAAATTATACATAAATAATAACAAAATTGTGCACACTATGAACATGGTGATAATATGAAAGTATTGTATTGTGATATTAATACAAAAAAGAACATGTAATGTTGTTTCAATGATAAAAACACTTCACTTGCAATATATGGTTAAAAGGATAACGAACATTTCATACTATCCGGCGACAAACACTAACCCCTTACCATTTTTAGCTCGACTTTTCTATGAAAAGGGGAGCTATCCTACTCGCCCCGGCGTCGGCGTCGGCGTCAGCGTCACACCTTGGTTAAGTTTTTCGTACCACCCCACTTTATTTCAGAAGTATTACAAGTATGGCTTTGAAACTTACCATACTTGTTCACCATCATAACCTCCATCTACAGACAAGAGTACATAACTCTGTCAAGGTTTTTGACAGAATTATGGCCCTTTTTTGACTTAGAAAGTGTATTGAGCTTGGTTAAGTTTTTTGTACCACCTCACTTTATTTCAAAACCATTGGAGGTATTGCTTTGAAACTGACCATACTTGTTTACCATCACGACCTTCATCAACAGACAAGAGGACATAACTCTGTCAAGGTTTTTGACAGAATTATGCCCCTTTTTGACTTAGAAAATACATTGAATATGGGTAAAATCCACTTATTGCCTTAACCCTTTGAGATATTGCTTTGAAACTTTTAATGCTATTTCACATCATTACCCCATCTGTACGCAAGAGAAGGTAACTCTGTCAAGGATTTGTTTTAAAAATTAAGGCCTTTTATCGACTTAGAATCTTGGTTAAGTTTTTAGTACCAGTCCACTTTTTGACTGAACTGTTTGAGATATTAATTTGAAAGTTGGAATACTTGTTTACAATCATGATTCCCAAACATGTCCAGGAGAAGGTAATTTCTGTCAAAGATTTTATTTGAATTATGGCCCTTAACTGTCAATGTTTTGTATTATAGGCAAGCACTAAAAAACTTAAAAAATCTAAAAAAATTCATTCCTATCCACTGAACCTGCAGTGTTCAAGGGTATCACACAATTCAGTAAAATAATTCTTCACTAAATATCTTAATGCTCATGGCCATTGTTCACTTTAAAAATACAGAGATTCTTGTATTGCCTTTTACTGCAAAAACTTTTTTTATTGGCAAGCAATAAAAAAGTCGAGCGCGCTGTCTTACGGACAGCTCTTGTTTATCAGTTATTGTTACTAAGATCTATTTTACAAATTTATAGTCGCGAACTGTTGCAAAATAATACGGCACGAAACAAAATTAAAACAATACAATTAAAGCTTCTAAATACACGTTCACTTTTTATAAACTGGACGGCGACAATCACGAACCTGTCATTTTCATAACTTTAGGTGAATATTATTAAACAATTATTCATGATCAAATGGCGAGTTATTGTGTGTTATTTAAGGTAACATCTACCTTCTTAAACCAGCATAGATTTACAGGCAAATAACCAGCAATAACGAGGAAAGACGGTGGCAACAAGTAAAAACTAAGGGTGTAAATTCTAACTGAGAACGGCCGTCCAATGGGGCATCGGTAACAAACATTCCAAATTATATAAACAAAGATAATCAATGAAATGAAATTTATTCTCTTATACACAACTGCTAAAATCAAAAGGTACATCTGCTGAATGAATTATTTCCACTTAAGAAAAAAGTCCTTAGATCATGATTCAATATTACTTTCTCATCAAGGTATTAAAGGTATCAGTTTACAATCAGTCTCTTACATGTGATGCAATTAAATTTTCAAGGGTTTCAAGAGCAGTATATTGTTTTAATTTTTTATTCTTTCTTTTTCTTTTCTTTTTCTTATTTTTTTTTGCGGCAGCAAACACACCTTCAAACAACCTCCTTATTATAAATAGCTCCTAAGCTGTAAGGTAGCTTACGACAGCATTAGATGGTATTGGTTCATTTTATCTGGGGTTTCTATTGTTTTGTTTTGCTGATAATTTTTACACAACTAATTTATGAAATTGTGAAAAAACAGTTGTAATATATGAAACAAGTGACCTTAGTTACGGGGGTATAACACTGGCTGGGGCAACATCTTGGGACATGTCTGCAAAAAAATCATCTCGGCCTAACGGCCTCAACATTTTTTCCCCCCAGCCAGTGTCATATCTTTGTAACTTACTCTTTCATATACTGTAACTATTATATAATCTGGTATAAAATGAAATATAAAACTGTGAAATGCTAAATGGAAAAAAATTGGGGGGTTGGCAAATAATACCAATTAGTTATTTTTGATTGTAACTTATGGTTGCTTTATACAAAGGTAATGATTTTAAGAATGAATAGCCATTTATACATTAAAGAATTAATATGTTTATAATTTGCATATTTTTGTCATTTTTATCTCATTATCTCTCTTACCTTCTCAAATTGAGATTTACATAAGATCTATATAAATGATTTAATATATTCTGAAAATAAAAACTATGTAATTATACTGGTAGTATGACTATGAAATATGCATAAAGCTAGGCTATAGAATACTTGAACTGACATGGATATTAACCAAAAGATTAGAAAATCTTTCAATTCCGTTTTTTGAGACAATAAAAGTCTTTTTTTATGCATTGTAACATATGCAATATGATTATTTATATGAGTTTATAATAAAATGCAAAAACATTTTAGTTTTCTTTTTTTTCTTTTTGTACTACTTGTAATGAAATGTATTGCACCAACTTCAAGGGAATACAGTATTTACATTGCCATTATGTTATTTACCCTGTGGGTTCTCTTATCAGGAGTGTACTAATAATATAAAAACATAATGCAAAACATGAATGACTTGCATTATTTTTATTATCATACAAACTTGAAAAAAAAACCAATGTTTGGCTCAAATTTCATTAAAAATTCGCCTGTAAAAACCTGGAAAGAATGCTCGTGCATGTTGGTCATGCATACGGAAAATATGTGTCAGGTATCAGTCCGAGTTGCATAATCTTTTAGGTCAGTCAAGCTCATCATTCATTTTTATCCATGATGCATTATAATGGTCTCATTGGCCTCCCGTACATCAAAATTGTATCATCACAAAAATATGCATTCTTCTTTTTAAAAGTCCATCATTTATAGCTATTTTTAATCATTAGGAAAGCATTGTAATATTTTTAAAGCATCTATGTTTTGCACTTACTGTTTACATAATAGCAGGACTGTCATTGATGGAAAATTTTGAATCGAGAGACAAATATCGATGATTTTAGCTCACCCTGAGCTTTTAGGATCGTTGAATATCCATCTATTGTCCGTGTCTGTCTACCATTTATTTGTTAACACTCTAGCTTATTGGTTAACACTCTAGCTATCACTTTTTTGCCTCAATCATCATCAAAATTTGTCAGGATGCTTGTCTAGGTAATATGATGATTTCTAGGTCAAGTTTGAATATGGGTTACCTGGGGTCAAAAACTAGGTTACAAAGCCCAAATATGGAAAAACCTTGTTAATACTCTGGTGGTCACATTTTTGACTCAATTGTCATCAAACTTGGTTAGGATGCTTGTCTAGGTAATTACCTGGTTGAGTATGATCATGGGTCATCTCGGATGAAAAACTAGGTCACAGGAACTAAAAATAGAAAGAAATTTTAACACTCTTCTGGCTTCTGTTTTGATCCAAATATCCTGGAAATTGGTTTGAAAGTTTGTTTTGATGATTTCTAGGCCAAATTAGAATATGGGTCACTTGGGGTCAAAAACTAGGTCACACTGCTTAAATATGGAAAATCATTCTAGTGGTCACATTTTTGACCCATAGACTTGGTCAGGATGCTTGTCTAGGTAATTGCTTGGATAAGTTCAATGGGTCAGGTGAGCGATCTAGGGCCATTTTGGTTCTCTTGTTTGTCATTTTTGTCACTGACATTTTAAAACAGAGTTTTAAGTTGAAAAGTGACTTCTCTTATTAGGCATAATAGAGAGGTGTATTCACTAACTGGAATAAATAAATTGAGCTTGTATCAATATTTGAATATAGATGATAATTATATCGATATTGAGATATTCAATGACATTCCTACAAAATTGGGTTTTGTTTTTTTGTTTTATGTTTTTATTAAAGTAGCAACAAGTTATTGCAAGATAATATTTGGCATGGAGGTTAGTCATGATGAGTAGATGACCCCTATTGATTTTGAGGTCTGTCAGCAGTTTATTGATTTTGACATTTGAAGCATGTAGACTACATAGCACTGGCTTAGTAACCTCAGATTTAGCAGGGACCTTGTCCTTGAGCTCTAAATGGCCACTCTTGATTCTGACAAAGTGGTATGTGGGGGTATTCACGCAATGACAGTGGCAGTTCTAGTTTGTATTACTTTCTTTTTTTCTTCCAAATTTCAGAGCACCGAAAGAAAATCTTTGGCACCCAAATAGAAGTAGGTTTATTTTTGGTGGCCAGGTCGTAGGTCAAGCTCTTGTAGCAGCCTGTAACACAGTATCTCCAGATCATCTTGTTCACAGTCTACATTGCTACTTTCTAAGAGGAGGTTTGCATATTTCTGTTTGATTTTTGTATAAACTGAAAGAGGCTATATTCAATCAAATTTTATTACAGTTCCCTTGGTAAGTTGCTTTAGTCAATGAGGAAGAATTTACTTTTAGATTGACATGCAAAATTTGCAATATCAGCAAATTAAAACTGAAACTTTGACTGATTTGTGGATTAGTGGTTAATTGGGGAAACAATCTGCCTGGTATTGAAGACCCAATTAAATATTGAAACATTTGGTAAAAATGCATTAGTTTTCAGTTGAAAATTTGAAATAACTAAATAATTTTGATAGGGGTGGGTATTACCCATTTACCTCTGAAAGCTTATCTGAAGTTCTGTTAAGGTAGGTAGATTATATTTGTATGATCCACACAAAAAAAACTGTTATTAGTTTTTTATCAATTTCACTGACTATGGGATTCCCATTCTGCTTTATTTTTATACAGATGTCGGAGATAATGTTAAATAAAAAATACCTTGCATGAACCTCTCTGATGTGGTCAAGGTCACTGACATTAGAAATAGAAGTTTCCCTCAACTAAACATGAACAAGAGGTTTAAAATGCAATATTTTGACTCTTACTGTTGGATAGGGTTCAAGTATTTCCTTATTGATTTGTTAATGAACGCAATAAAATTAATGGTTATGCCTGAAAATTTCCAATTTATATGTTATATGACTTATTAATGCTAGCTGATTAAATTGAATTTTGTGACAATTAATATGCTGACTTAGCAGCTAATATTGAACAAAAGTGAAATATTTGACAGATGGGCAGGAAAGTAGGCTTTCTTCATACCAACAGAAAAACAATGAATAATATTATATGAAAATGTCCTGTTTTAAAGCATGAGAAAAAGACCAAAAATGTATAAAAATGACAAGTTATCATTTTACTCCAGGTGTGAGTTATCATTTTACTATAGGTGAATTATCATTTTACTCCAAGTGTGAGTTTTGAGTTATCATTTTACTTCAGGTTTAAGTGATCTTTTTTCTCAAGCCAGGAGTGAGTTATCATTTTACTCGAAGTGTGAGTTTTCATTTTATTCCAGGTAACTCTAACTGGCCAATCCTTTACCATGTAGACAGAACACGTGATGGGGAAACCTATGCCAGTAGATCTGTAAAAGCTACACAAGATGGCAAGGCTATATTTACCATGCAGAGCTCATTTAAGACGGATGAGAAACAAGTTTATAGGTACACCATGGATATGCCTAAAGTGAAAGGGCCAGAGGAATATTTGGATGCAAATGAGATTCTCAAAATGAGACTAGAGTAAGTTATCATATCCTAAATTCGGTGTATTTACTATTATTATATATGTTGTTGTTTTGTTGTTGTTTTGTTGTTGTTTTTTTTGTTTCATTATTAGTGCAAACAATTAGTAAAAGATCTCTTCTTTATTTGATGTTTGATTTTGGTAAGATTTGTTTATTCCATCAAAAGGTATATTTATACATGGTTGGACATATTTGACCATTTAGAGAAAAACTTAAATCATTAAAAAACAAGCCAAGCAACATAAAACGACAGATAATTTCTTTGAACATTTTGCAATAATGTGTGAAATTCACATTAATTTATACAATGTATTAACATTATTTGTGACCTATTTTCACAACATTTGAAAGATTTTAAAATTGAAGTTGAACTTGATTGTTATTATTGATATATAGGTCTGAAAATTGAAGATATGCCAACATTCTAATATTGCGAGCATTTGTCAATTTACATTGTCATTGTCAGCATTTTAAATTTTTACAGAAGTTGTATAAATTTTGTCAGTTTTCAAAAAGTTAATGCTATTTGAAATATTTGGTGGTCCTCAGACTTGACATCATTGGTCAATGTTATAAATAAATTGACTATAAGTATTAAACAGTCTTTCATACACCCCTACTAAATGGTGGCCTTTGGTGATCGAGCACTCTAATTTGAAAAGATCAATATAAATTTTAAAAAGTCACTGTTTAGTAGGGATGTCATAGTTATCATTAAAAACATTTAATTTTTTTCTGTATAACCTTGTTACATCATTTAATTATTAAGGAAAAGAGAGCTTAAATAATGGTATTTATAAAATTTTGCAGTGAAGATGGTGTTTCAGATAAAGAAAAAGAACATATAAGTAGAACACTAGCGGAAGAGATACCCTTGTTGATAAGGCCAACAGAACCAGAAAGCTATTATCGTATAAAAACTGGAAAACCAGAAAGACTTCTATGGATGAGAGCCAACGGGAATATTGGTAAATATTTAGTTTGCTGTTTATTTATATAATTCTTTTATTGTAGAGTAGAGGGGTCGTCAATAAAGAAAGAATGGGAACATTATTTAGCGGAGGAGTTGAAGATACTTATACGTCCCACAGATCCAAGATTGTTTTTCAAACAGAAAGATGGAGAACCGAAGAGACTCTTTTGGATGAAAACCGATGGTGTTATTGGTATATACATGAACATCAAGATGTCATATTTATTGAATTGTAACATTTATAGGTTACAGAGATTTTTTTTTTCACTTAACAACAGTTGAATATTTATAAAAGCACATTATGCCTCAGAAACCAATAGAGTTTTACTTCTTTAATTAGGAAAAGCAAATATGAATTGTATATATATTAAATTAATTATTTTAAGTTTGAGGTTTGTTACCTGTATAAAGTAGTGCTAAAGGTGAAATAATTTATCATAAAAGATTGAAGCAAAATGTTAACAAAGTAGTATTTTGACTTCTATACAAAATACTAATTCACTATAAGTATACCATTTGCCAAAAAGAACTAAAGATGCAAAGAATAGTTCATGTATAAAGTAAAGGAGTATATTTAAAGGAATTGTAACAGGATACCAAAAATAAATGAAGATTATAGTATTCCTGAGACATAATGGGCCTTTAAATAAAATGACAATTATTAACCTTCAGGGGATGTCACATAATAGGCCTTTAAATAAAATGACAATTATTTACCTTCAGTAGATGACACATAATGGGCCTTTAAATAAAACGACAATTATTTACCTTCAGTAGATGACACATAAAAGGCCTTTAAATAAAATGACAATTATTTACCTTCAGCAGATGACACATAATGGGCCTTTAAATAAAATGACAATTATTTACCTTCAGCAGATGACACATTATGGGCCTTTAAATAAAATGACAATATTATTTACCTTCAGTAGATGACACATAATGGGCCTTTAAATAAAATGACAATTATTTACCTTCAGGTGATGACAATAAACTTCATCAATGTGTGGCAGCATACATGTCAGATTTCTCCCTGCTGGGGACAGCACTACAGCCCGGTGGACCGAACTTTGAAACTCGATTTATGACCTCATTAGATCATACGCTATGGTTCCATAATCCATTTAGAGTTGATGAGTGGATGCTGTATGAATCTTTTAGTCCTCATGCTGGTAAGTTGTAGCCTGGGTTTCACTCTTCCAGTCTGTCTATTTTTTTTCTGTGCTTCTGTTTGGCAGTTATCAAAAACACGAACGAGTATGAAATAGCGTGTATGTTATGAATAAGCAAATTATATCAACGTCTCAATCCCAGGCTAGGTTAGTTGTTGAATTGTCAGGAAAAAAGTACCTGTTAGATTTGTGAAATGTTTTTTGGCCATATATTTGAAAATTTGAGTTTAAATGGCACTAAAGTGTCTAATTAGAGGTTCCATTATAACCGCCATATGAACACAATTACAGATTATGTTAATTAAAAATTTTACCATCTTTATGTCTAAATGTTGAATTCTGTTAAAGGGTGATTAACATGGGTATAAATTTCTACTTGTATTTGGGCCGCGTCACGACAAAACCAACATAATGGTTTTGCGACCAGCATGGATCCAGACCAGCCTGCGCATCCGCGCAATCTGATCAGGATCCATGCTGTTCGCTTTCAGTTTCTTTACTTGTTATATGGTCTGTAAGCGAACAGGATGCGCAGGCTTGTCTGGATCCATGCTGGTTGCACACCCATTATGTTGGTTTTATCATGACACGGCTCATTTTTATTGTGTCGCCTTTAAAAGGTGACATATAGGGGTTACTTTTGTCGGCTGCGTCTGTGTCGCTGTCGGCTTCCCCTAAAGCTTGTCCGGAGCATAACTCAGTCAGTATAAGTCTGATTGACTTCAAACCTGGTATGCATGCTTTTTTCAATAAAATGAAGTGCAGTGCACAAGGACCTGTACTCTGGACTTCTTAATTTTTGAGTTATTGCCCTTTGTAAATTTTCATACTTAAAATTTTGTCCGGGCAATTTCTCCTAATGTATAAAAGCCATGGACTTGAAACTTCATAGGATGATAGGTCTCATTAAGAAGAAGTGCAGTGCAAAAGAACAGGTACTCTGCATTTCTTATTTTTTGAGTTATTGCCCTTTGTTTATTTTCATACTTTAATTTTGTCCGGGCCATTTCTCCTTAAGTATAAAAGCTATGGACTTGAAACTTCATAGGATGATAGATCTCATTTAGAAGAAGTGCAGTGCACAAGAATCGGTACTCTGCATTCCTTAATTTTTGTGTTATGGCCTTTTGTTCATTTTCATACTTAATTTTTGTCCAGGCCATTTCTCCAAAAGTATAAAAGTTATGGACTTGAAACTTCATAGGATGATAGATCTCATTAAGAAAAAGTGCAGTGCGTAAGAACTGATACTCTGCATTTCTTATTTTTAGCTCGACTATTCGATAAGAATAAGTAGAGCTATTGCAGTCACCCGAGCGTCGGCGTCGGCGTAACCACTTATGTTAAAGTTTTTGTAATAGTTCAAATATTTTCAAAGTCCATTGACATATGGCTTTGAAACTTTGCACACTTGTTCAACATCATGACCCCAATTTGTAAACAGGAGGAGGTAACTCTATCAAGCATTTTGACAGAATTATGCCCCTTTTTCGACTTAGAATTTACGTTAAAGTTTTTGTAATAGTTCAAATATTTTCAAAAGTCCATTGACATATGGCTTTGAAACTTTGGCACACTTGTTCAACATCATGACCCCAACCTGTAAACAGGAGGAGGTAACTCTATCAAGCATTTTGACAGAATTATGCCCCTTTTTCGACATAGAATTTACGTTAAAGTTTTTGTAATAGTTCAAATATTTTCAAAGTCCATTGACATATGGCTTTGAAACTTTGCACACTTGTTCAACATCATGACCCCAACCTGTAAACAGGAGGAGGTAACTCTATCAAGCATTTTGACAGAATTATGCCCCTTTTTCGACTTAGAATTTACGTTAAAGTTTTTGTAATAGTTCAAATATTTTCAAAGTCCATTGACATATGGCTTTGAAACTTTGCACACTTGTTCAACATCATGACCCCAACCTGTAAACAGGAGGAGGTAACTCTATCAAGCATTTTGACAGAATAATGCCCCTTTTTCGACTTAGAATTTATGTTAAAGTTTTTGTAATAGTTCAAATATTTTCAAAGTCCATTGACATATGGCTTTGAAACTTTGCACACTTGTTCACCATCATGACCCCAACCTGTAAACAGGAGGAGGTAACTGTATCAAGCATTTTTTTTACTATCAAGCACTAAGAATAGTCGAGCGTTGCTGTCCTACTGACAGCTCTTGTTTGAGTTATTGTCCTTTGTTGATTTTCTTACTTTATTTTTGTCCTGGTCATTTCTCCTCAAGTATGAAAGCTATGGACTTGAAACATCATAGAATGATAGATTTTATCGATAAGAAGTGCAGTGCACAGAAACTGCTGCTCTGCACTTATTATTTTTTTAGTTATTATCCCCCGCCGGAAATTTTCGGCGGAGGATATAGAAATAGTCTCCGTCCGTCCGTCCGTCAGTCCTTCCGTCCGAAATTTTTGTCCGGAGCATATCTCTAAAAGTATTTGAGTTATCAACTTGAAACTTCATAGGTGGATAGACCTCATTGAGGAGGAGTGCAGTGCACAAGAATGATAACTCTACCTTGCATGATTTTTGAGTTATTGCCCTTTGTTATTTTTCAAAATTGATTTTTGTCCAGAGCATAACTCCAAAAGCCTATGAGATATCAAAATGAAACTTCATAGGTGCATAGATCTCACTCAGGAGGTGTGCACTGCACAAGAATGATAACTGTACCTTTTATAATTTTTGAGTTATTGCCCTTTGTTGTTTTTTTCATGCTATTTTGTCCAGAGCTTATCTCAAAAAGTATTTGAGGTATCAACTTGAAACTTCATAGGTGGATGGATCTCATTGAGGAGGAGTGCAGTGCTAAAGAATGATAACTCTACCCTGCATTATTTTTGAGTTATTGCCCTTTGTTATTTTTCAAAATTAATTTTTGTCCAGAGCATAACTCAAAAAGCCTTTGAGATATCAAAATGAAACTTCATAGGTGCATAGATCTCACTCAGGAGGTGTTGCATGCACAAGAATGATAACTGTATTTTTATAATTTTTGAGTTATGGCCCTTTGTTATTTTTCATACTTAATTTTCCAATTCAATTTTTTTCTCAAAAAAAAGTATTTGAGGTATCAACTTGAAACTTCATAGGGTGGATGTAATTTTACTGAGGAGGGATGCCAGCACACAAGAATGATAACCTACCCTGCATTATTTTTCAGTTATTGCCCTTTGTTATTTTCTGCCATCAGTATTCACATAGGTTTCAAAATCTGTAATCACTATAGCCATCAGTTTTTCATTACCAAAAGACCTCTTAAAATGGAATTATTCTGCTCTACTACATATACATTCTTCCAATGAGCAAACACATTCGGCGGGAGATGGCCATGTTGACATGGCTCTTGTTGCCCTTTGTTATTTTTCATATTTCATTTTTGTCCTGGCCATTTCTCCTAAACTACAATTGTTCACAAGGCGACACATCCGACTCGCTGAGTTCTAGTTGTACATTAAAACGAACTTACAGTTTTCATGATGTAATTTGTACAAACTACTTATTTTGATCATGTGAATGTCATGTGTTATGACTAATTGATTTTCATGTTTGTTTCATAAGGAAATGGAAAAGCTTTGGTGTTGGGAAGAGTGTGGAAACAAGATGGAACACTTGCCATGTCTGTGGCCCAGGAGGGTGTGGTCAGAAACACCCCTGTGTCAAAAATGTAGAATGTTATAAATGTTCTACCTATAAACAATAAAGGTGTAAACCTGATTTGATGAATATGAATTCTGAGAATAAAACTATGGAATTGTTCATTTTATAAAAGGTTGAATCAGATAGTGATAGTTAAATGAAAAGGCTTGTGTAACTGGAAAGAACAGATTGAAAATTCAGTACAGAATGGGTGTATCACATGTGAAATAACGAAAGAAATGCAACAGTATTGTACTATGTAGTTGTATTAAATAATAAGATGAAGGCTTTAAATTGGATTTTGGAATTTTCGATAGCAACTTTTATTTACATTATACACAACCATTTATTTTTGAGAAGTGGAAAAGCAAAAATTCTATTGCATTGTTTAGTAGTTTGAAGGCAAATAAAATTTCCAAATTTTGAATTTATATTTTTGTATTATTATTGAAGAAACTTAAGATAACATTTCACATTTCAACATTTTATTAACTGTGATAATTTTTATTTAACATTCTTTTATGTCACATATTTTATCAGGTTGTATCTGGGAAGATGGATCTGTTGTTGATCTTCTCAGGTTGGATGTATTACAGGAAATGAAATATTGTATTAATGTTATTTGTTATTGTTATGAAAATTTTGACTTTGCAATGCATGAAAGTTACCCCTATGCTTATTTATTATGTATGCTTGTTTTTATTTGCATTTTGTTAATAGACTGCATACAGTCCCTACAAAATGAAAATGTTAAAAAGACTTCACTTAGCTTTTTTTGCATGACATGATTTGATTTGGGTTTGGACTTCAAAATTTCAGATCATTCCCCCAGAATAAAATTATTTTTTCAAAATGGCCAAAAAATTAAAACCATTACAATGCTTTCCACTCAAACGGGGGATAAAATCATGCAAAAATTTTATTTTCAGTTTTACTTTGAGTCTATTCCTTTATTATTTTTTTGCAAATTTTTCTGTTTATAATGCAACGCTTAATCTATGCAAGAATTTCAAATTTCATATTTGGGGCTTTTGACTTCAGTATAGCTCCTTTAAATATTGTTGTCTTGGATACAGAGTATCTTGGATGGCAAGGGTAAAGACACCAAATACACACTGAGTATCTAAACACCACAGATTATTATCTCCATTATTGAAAATATGATAAAAGGATTAAAAACAAAACAAAAACACAATAATGAATTTTTCAAGAATTTTTTTCGATTTTATTCAGCTATCTCAGTTGACAAATAGCAATTGAAATGACGTAAACACTCTTAAGAGATGTTTAAGTTGAGTCTTCATATTTGGCACCAAATACATGTAAATATTATACAATAAAACATCTATGAATGTAGTGTCATTCTGTATTACTGAAGACAAAATTGCTGAATATTGAAAATTTCAGAAACAAACTTGGTATGGTAGAACATGTTCTTCAAAAGGAAAAGTTACTTCATTGTTATATTGTTATCCAATTTCTACTTAGTCAAACATGTGGCCTGTCTTCTTTTAAATATGCCTGTAAACTTTGTTATTGTTTTAGACTTTAATTGTTTTTATCATGCCCATACACTGTTCAATATTTTTTAATGATACTGTTAAAAGATTGAGAGCAGTCAAATTAGATAGATTAGGTAAGTATATCTAGGGGTTTCCTTATTGTTTACCTATGTAATTTATCATTTGCAATTTAAATTTCTTTTTCCGCCTTAATTCTTTTGATTTGACAATTATATGAAACAGTTTATCTAAAATAACATAGTCAATCTTTAGAAATGTTGAAGTCTGCTTTAACATGTCAATCCTTTACAAAATACAACGTAAACAATACAATTTTGTCATTTAGACAAATTTAATCATCACCTTAGTGTAGTAATGGGTTAACTCCTATTAAATTTGATATGAGGTTAAAAGTAAGCTCTTTGATGTATGATATCTTGTTGAGCATATTTGCACCAAGTTTTTACCCATTGATGTGAGTTTCAGTCCTATTAATGTCTGTTAGATTTTATAATACAAATCAAAATATGTGTAAAGATTTGATATGTTAAGTACTTTTATGCATAATGTTCTATTCTGTTACATATTTATGGTGTCAGTGTTTTGTTTGAAGTACAGAATACTTGTTTTATTACATAGTCATTGTGACAGTGAAATTACATGTACACTTATGCATGTATTTTACTTTGATATCAAATTTGAAAATACTTGTGTATTTTTATAAACTGTTAATTTATATTGCAAAATAGAAATGTTAGGAATAAAAGAGAATATTTGTTTTCCTTTTCTATTACTTTTTATATGCCCGAAAGAATTTCGGACATATTATGTTATACCCCCTGGCGTCCGTCCGTCCGTCCGTCTGTCCGTCCGTCCGTCCGCACTCACAGGAGAGTAATTATGTGGCTAGAGGGACAATAGGTAACTGTTCTTTCTCTTTGATGTCATTCATTCCGTAATGCTTTTATGTGGCTATTTTATTTTGCGTGGCTAAAAAGAACAATAGAGAGAACAATAGAGTAGCCACATAATTACTGTCCTGTGAGAACGTCCGTCGGTCTGTCCGTCCGTCCGTTAGCAAATTTGGTTTCCGGAGCATAACTGAAGTTCCCATTTGGCCCACATTATTCAAACTTCATAGGAAATGATTGTCCATATTGGGTAGAAAGACCCCTATTGATTTTTGGGGTCATGAGGTCCAAAGGTCAAGGTCACTATGACCTTAAAACTGAAAAAACGTTAGCAATTTGGTTTCCGGAGCATAACTTAAAAGTTCCATTTGGCCCACAAATATTCAAACTTCATAGGATGATTGTCCATATTTGGTAGAAGACCTCTATTGATTTTGGGGGTCATAAGGTCAAAGGTCAAGGTCACTATGACCTTAAAACTGAAAACAGTTTTTGGAGCATAACTTAAGTTCCATTTGGCCCGCAGTGTTCAAACTTCAATAGGATGATTGTCCCATAATTTGGTAGAAGACCCCTATTGATTTTGGGGTCACAAGGTCAAAGGTCAAGGTAACTATTACCTTAGAACTGAAAACAGTTTCCGGAGCATAACTTAAGTTCTATTTGGCCCACAGTGTTCAAACTTCATATGATGATTGTCCATATTGGGTAGAAAGACCCCTATTGATTTTGTGGTCCAAAAGGTCAAAGGTCACTATTACTTAGAAATTGAAAACAGTTTCTTGAGCCATAACTTTAGTTCCATTTAGCCCACAATATTCAAAAACTTCATAGTATGATTGTCCATATTGGATAAAAGACCCCTAATGATTTTGGGGTCACAAGGTCAAGGTCACTTTTACCTTAGAATTGAAAAACAGTTTCTGGACATAACTTAAAAGTCTATTGGACCACAAGTTTTTGAAACTTCAAAAGGAGGATTGTTTATTTGAAGGAGGTAATACTTTATTTTAGTCCCATGTCTTACAAATGCTTCATCTTTACTAAAAAAAAAAAAACACTTTCGGGCATATAATGCTCCGCCTACGGTGCTCTTGTTTTTAAATACTTTTATTTGGTAAATTTTGGTGTAATATACTTAGTAACTGGCATATTGTCGTACAATAGTTTTAAACCATACACTGCTGAAACCAAAGGAATTTAAGCCTTTGCCACTATTATAGATCCAGGCCTGTGGCTGAATGTGTGCGTAGTCTGATCAATCTCTATACTGGTTACTGGCTAATTCTAAATTCCCCAAAATGATAATGGACTGTCCCAATAATTGAATCTGGACTAGTCTATTTAAGAAGTTTAGCAGGTTTAAGTCAAACTCTTTGAATGCTGGAAATGATAACAATAGACTTATAAAAATAACAAATGTCTATCAAGATCACAGTGCATATAAGCAACCCGAGAACTAAAATAACACCCCGATAGACATGTGTTATGATTTTCATTATACCAAACCAACATTTTAATATGTTAGCAAAATGGCCAGGGGAGAGAACTAAAACATTATGTTTACTTAAGTCTATAGACTACTCGCCCCTGGGGAATATTGCAAAAAATATTGACTGGGTGATATTCATTTGCAGAATGATAGAATAGGTGATAACACCATGTGATATCATATTAGGCTATATTGTAAAAAAAATAATGCCTATTTATAGACAGGTTGTTGACTGTTTATAAGTATTTTTATTACTGATATATACCTCCAACATTACACGTGTTAGATGAAGCCAGAAGTATTTATTCTTGCATATCAGACTTTTGTTTCCGTTATTTTTACTCATTTACTGAACATTTCATCTGCTGTTTGGGGGGGTGTCCAGATGAGTTGCATGTAAAACAATGTCATCATTCAATACGCACAATTTAGGAATGAACTGCATTTAAATGATGCAATTTCAGCAAATTAAAATTTAAGAATGAAATTGTATGCTAAGGACTATGTCATTTTGCCGTTCTGAAATGATTCGCTATTGTAAGAAAAATGAAATGATATCAATTTTATAAAAAAAAATTTATTTAGGTTAAGAATTTAAAATATGATAGAATATGCAAGAAAAATTATCTGACATGTTCGCGGTTCAAAGCATTAAATCAATATGACTATTTCATCAATTTCCTTGACTTTTATATTTTCCTGTTCAACTCATTCAGTCAATGATAAAATATCACAGACCTATATTTACATCTCAACTATAAGTCTCAGACAATATAAAATATAAACATATAAATGTATACTTTCATTTAAGGAAGTCTTTCCGCTACAAACTTTATAATGGGTCGTCCTCTTTTTGCTACTCCTTTGGGTTAAATAAATTAAAAGAAGAGTATTCAGACCGTTACACTTTTTCATAGGGTAATATACTCAAAATTCTACAAAAAATATTATTATCTTCTATTTTTCATAGAAATATAAACAAATTAAGTATATTTACAATATTATTTTTTAAGTATTTATCGCTGGAAACAGCTGTTTATTTTATGAGAATACGCAGAAAATGTCTCGTTAGTAACAAGTCTACCCTAAAATACGGTAATGGAATAATCCAATAATTACATGTACATTATTTTTGACAGCGGCAGAGGACTTGAAACATCTGGCTTGTTTTTTAAAATCTGGACATGTCAAAGCCACAAATCGACGAATTCCTCTTATTTTATTTCCCAACATCATTTTCATCCCAAAAGGTAACTATAAAGCATGCATTTATCCGAAAAAAATCACTCTGAAAATATGACCTTGCTAAGATGAAGTGAAGATATTTCGGATAAGAAATATTTCGGACAGTTAACACTTGGTTATGGCTGTAAAAATATTTATTACTTTGACCATGTAGAATATTTGTATAATTGAATTTTGGATTAATTTTCACCACAATCATTAAAACATGTACTTTCAGTAGTAGTGATTTATTCACAAGAAAGTATTGGTTCACTCTTTAGTCTTGTCTGCTCAATAATTATTAATTTGAATATTGACCTTATCTGCTAATTGCAACAGTTTTGTGCACTGAGATATGTAAATTTACTCATAGGCCAGTCATAATAGAAATTAAGGTAAAACTAATTCCTTCACAAATGTTTTCACGATCAAATAAAAGATAAACATTATCTACATTTTGAGAAAAAAGTCCTCAAAAAATCTCCTTGCAGAATCCTGAAAAATCGATCATAAAGATTTAGTAAAAATCGATATTTAAATGTGTCTCTTAAATTACACCATACTTTAATTTTATGCACGTTCGGTGACGTAACGTTTATTATATTTCGTTGAAAAGATCTGAAGTTACTTCAATTCCAGCATTCCTAGTGCAAAGGTGAGTATTTTTAGTCATTTTTATATTCTTCTGTATAAATTAGGGAAAAAATATGTCAGCAGATAGATATAGTTGACCACCAATCAATCGATTATGCAGATGACAAAATGTGTCATATAATTTCGCGATTTTAAACGCAATTTTGAATGAAGTAATCATAAAAAGAGAGTTTATCTTTTACTCGCTGTTCTACATTGTTTCCTTTTGTACAATTATCTAAAATGACAAAGAATTAACCACACATCTTACTGAGTATTTAAAAAAATGTGTATGCACAAAGTTATGTAAATTTTTCTTTCTACGGAAGCGTGCTGTGACCAAAATCACGAAAATCTAGGGATATTTTTAAAATGTTAAATTTGACTTATTTCAAAGAGTTGGCATGTTTTATGAATTGTGGAAATCATTATCAAAACAAATAATATGTTAACTTGATGTAAACAAATGTATTTCGTAATACATAATGCATTTCTAAGCGAAATGATAATATTCCAGCATGTTATATGAAAAATAGACAGCGTATCCAATAGGGTGTAATCAAGCTAAAACTATTACCTATTAATGAGGAAGTTGTTACTGGAACTTTATACATTACTTTTACTTCTAAACAGAAGACATGGATTTAAAACCCAAATTATTATGCCAATCATTTGATTTTTTTTGTAGGCTCAATCATATCATATGCATCTGAGAGTATGGGGTTAAAGCAAATCAAAAGATAATTGAGCGTATTCACTTGAAATATTGTAAAATAATTTTAAATGTTAGAGCCAATACAAGCAATGTTCGTATAAACTCGGCCGTTACCCATTGTATATACATGTAAATCGATACGTAAGAGTACTTAAGTTTTGGTGCAAACTGATAAATACTGACAATATAACTTTACGGAAAACATATGAATTAAGTTTATCTGATTGTTATAAAGGTAAAAAACTGGGTATCAAATGTTAAAGAAATGCTAGACATATATGGTTTATTCGAATACTTTTTTGAAAATAATATCGTAGATAGTAAATTATTTCCAAAAATATTTAAACAACGAGTTATTGATAATCATATACAAATATGGCATTCATCTGTAGAAAATAATTCTGTTTTACAACTTTGTGTAGCTTGACAATCTACCCTCATGATACTAGTGCCAGTTGTATGTGTATTTTAAGTAATGTTTTCCATGTTGTTGTCAGCATTTATAGAACAGTTGATGTATAATTAGTTAGAAGATGGATATACACGTGACTTCTACACAAGGGGCAATGGGATGTGAGAGAGTGAGAGAAAAATGACTTTTTACGTAGATATATCTTATTGAATGAATGAAAACAAAACAATTGGGTGTCTTTCAGGTTTGTTAATACAACAGAAATTTATATATCAACACAAATTTACATCATTGTTTTACAGCATGATTATAATAAATGCACATACAAAAGAGTTTGCTCATACCAACATCTTCTCAGGCGGTTCCCTATTATATCATTTCAATACTATTTCTTTTGAATATCTTTTTGATAATGTTTAATGGACTTTATATATCTTATTTTCAGAGGAAGGACTAAACAATAATAGGACAATATTTAGCGAGAGTCCAGTCTTTTATATTTTGGCAAACAATCCGTTGATTGGATGTGGCAAGAGTTTTCCATATTTCCAAGTTAGGTTCTGTTTGAAAAGATCCTGCATTTTTGAAAAGTAATTAACAGGTAAATCAAAGAAAAACCTTCTATATATTAATACACAGTTGGAGTTGGTGTACCAGATTCAGTTTTGTGTGCTACTGCATATATAACTTTTCTAAAGGGAATTCACATTTGTAAAAGTTAAATGGTTTTCTTTTAAAAGTGTTTTATTTTTAGTGTCCAAAACTGCAGTTTTCTTACATTCTCGGAATTACTAACATCAGAGATTTGTTTGTTGGTTTTTATGTCACATCAACACTTAAATACGGGTCATATGATAACTTTCAAGCTTTACTGGTGAAGGAAAAAGTGTGACATATGTATTATTTTTAACGCGTAGAACCACCAATATTCTATAAGTCAGTTTGGGATAGCTACGTCAGATAATAGATTCCAAAACCCAGGCAGGACTCGAACCTACATCGTTAACACCGTAAGAAGCAAGTGTTTTGAAGTCAGTAAAACACTCGACCAAAACTTCCAATTCAGTTATCTGTATGAAAGTATAGGTGCTGTTTTGTTCAGTATTTCCTACTTATATGGCACATTATGATGTTTCACAGTCAGCGCTTATTTCAGCCGATAGGCAATTTACACGCTTTATAAATTTTGTTATAACAATATAACATGAAACATATTTTCTAAAGAAGAAAGCTGAGGCACGTTTTTGCTGAGGCTAAACGTGCCTCATTAATGTATGAATTATTTGAAGATAATTCAATATAAAAATATAAATCTAAAAGCACAATCCTATCTTGCTTTTCATAGTACCTAAATTTTCAGTTTGACATACAATTGTTTTATTTTAAAAGCAGAATGCAAAGTTCGCATTTTTATTCATCATGTTATGTTGTAACAATTTTACAGATGCGAAACAATGTGTCTCTGTGAAAAGGGCAGGCTAAAAGTTTCAACAGCACCGGCCGAAAAAGTGGAGATGTAATTTCAGCATTGAACAATTAAGGGCAGGGCAATATGTATATATATACATGTGTAGCGTTGTCAGACTATATGGATAGTCGGGCCTCGGTGACAAAAATGATGAAATAACATTGTGTTTTTTCAGTGTCTTAACATTCAGAAGATTCATTTTATTTTAAAATGTCTTTTTACATTAATTTATTTTACAAAACTTCCATGGTAAAGTAAGTGCAATTAAGCATTGGTAAGATATTTACTTGAAGGATTGATTTTCAGAACAGAAATACAAATACAATGCATATAAATAATAATTATTCGTGTAAAATGTATTGCAATTTTGAATTATAATATTAATTTAGATAGATTCATACAACTTTATTCTTGGTAGAGCTAACTTGTAAGAATATTTAATGGAATCTGACTTAAAGTAAAACAAATAATTTTATCATTAGTGGGTGGGGTAATGTTTTATACCAGTCTAAATGATAATGTATAGATTATGCAGTGTTGCGACTTTTTGAATGTAATGAACATTGGTTGAAGTGTTTTAGATTAAATAAAGCATGTTTGTGTATTAAAGTGTTACTTTGTTAATGATCATATTTGCGTAGAATATCTGGGTTATTTAATTTCACAGATTTTTCTAATTGAAAACACATGATTTCAAAACATGACATTTTTAGCATTTTATACTTCGAATTTTTTTGAGGACTTTTTTCCTGTAGCAACACATATATAGTAGGTAACAAATATGCAAATATCTTTTCTGAAGGAATTTGTTTGAGGTTGGGTCTTATTTTTGGCTAAAATGCCTAGCCTATCAGTAAAGTTTAAATAATGACATTATGTTTCATTTTATGTTTATATGTACATCATGTGTAAAGACAGATGCTGATTTTATAATAAAGCAAAAGAACAATAATAATAATGTAGCAATTAGCCGATTAGAAAGGATTTTCAAGAGTCATTTCTGCCCAAGACGTTTCAACCCCAAATGATAATTGACTACTAGACACATATTTCAACAACTTCAAGGTGTATGCGGCTGGATAGCTTAGTCAGTATTGCCGCGGTAAAATATTATTATTTTGTGCTAGGAGAAACAGCCTTTATCCGGCTGTAAATTACAGGAAAAAATCCACTGTTTCCTCACCCTATGACAAAGGCAAATACATTTACTCCTCTCAAATATACTTTATTTTCACTTAAGAACATCATTCGATCATTACACTTTTTCATAGGGTAATATACTCAAAATTCTACAAAAAATGATTAAAGCAAATAAAGGACTTTTTTATATAATATGAAAATGAAGAAAACAAGTTATTATGGATCAAATACACACATGTATTATACAAGGGCTGATGTGTCTGGTGTAAAATGGCTGAATCATCTGTTTTGGGGCTGATTTTTGCATTTGGTTAGTAGATCTAGTTTTGGGCTGAAACATCCTGTTTGCATTGATCAGAAATCTGTCTGATAGACTTTATAAAGTTAAATAGCGTTTTGGACAAAGAAGGAATTTCAACTTATTATTATTTCTTTGCCTTTGTAATTACAGTCGACTCTCGTTATCTTGAAGTCATCGGGACTGTCCAAAAACTATCGAGATAACGAAAAGTCGAGATAACCAAATTAGTGTTTGATTAATGCAGAAACTGATTTTTACAAAAGACATGTGCATACCTTATGTCAAAAAAACAGATATCCCCATGTCTTGTTTTCATAGGCCTAGTCAATATTTAACAAAGTAAGATTAGCGGATGTTTACCAGCGGAAATACGGGTGTTTGTGATAAAAACCCATAGTGAGGTTTACTCAGTAATACACAAATATAGTGAAAACATTGTTTTCAGGGTGGTTGATCCGGATATCCTCCCGTGTTATTTTTCGGGTCTTTCTCGAGATTGTTCGACCGCTGATTGATTTGGTGGTGATGTTTTGAAACAATATTGCAACGATAGCGTTTCTATACTTTCACTTTTTCATTTACACTTAAAGCCATTATTCATTGATTCAGTGTTTGAATATTTATAAAGAACGTAAAATTCACTCGTATTGGACCTAAGGCAATCAACACGCTTAATAGATTAACTTTTATAAAAACAACTAAACTTGTTACAAACATAAGCATCATTATGACACATGCTATTGAGCAATTATCGTCTAGTTTGTGTTTTTCACACGTCTGAAGGGAACAGACGAAAGAAAACTATTAGTCGAGATAAACAAAGGATAATAGTGTGGAAATAACTGTTGGGGCTGAAATTATACATCGAGATACTGAAAAAATCGAAATAAAAATATCGAGATAAACAAATATTTCCAATATAGATTAAGAAGGCAGAAAATCGGGACTTTCAAAATTTTATCGAGATAACGAAATATCGAGAAAAGCGATGTCGAGATAACGATAGTTGACTGTATATCAACCTGTGTATAGTAGAAACCCTTATGATGAGTGATATAGATATCTTTGCTTTATATGAACTTAAAATGTTTTTATTTTCATAGGTACTGTTTGCATTATTTGAAAAAGAAGTAACCTTCAAGCCGCTGTATGTGAGTTTGTTTTCTGGTCAACATAATGAGCCGTGGTATATGAGGTTAAACCCTGATGGAAGCCATATACCCGTATTGAAACATGGGAACAAGGTTATAGTGGAACCAGCGGCAATAATTGACTACATTAGTAAATGTACAGAAAATGCTGGTAAGATATTGAATGTGTTTGAATACATAATGTAAAACATGATATTTATATTTCATTATGGTCACTAAAGTTGATATAATTTTATCAGAGGGAAAAATTTTTGCCTTGATAAAATCAGAACTTGAGAAGTTCTTTTTTTTCTTTCTTTTAAAACTATTTACACTTATCTTTATTTACACTTAAAGCAATCTTGAATTTTGTAACTTGACAAACAAGACAATGCAGATAACCTGATGAAGGGTATATAGTACCCGAAACCAGTAGTTTAAATAAATATAGAAACCAACCTAGTGTTTTGATGTGTTGTTCTCCCCTCCCAATCTTTTAATTTATTGTTTAATGCAGATAATAGTTAATAGTTAACCTGCTGAAAGGGCCTAGTGGTTAATGTGTCTGCCTCTCAACCCAGGGATCATGTGTTCAAGCCCTACTTGCGTCACGACCATGTTTCTTCATATGACACCAGCACTGGTTTGTTCCAGGAAGTGGACTTGAAAGTGATTAATATGATATAATAAGTTGCAAGAACTTGTTTTGCAATCGAGCTAAAATAAATATGTTTAAACTAAACTTAACCTGCTGATTTTGCCCAATTTTGGATTCAGTAGACTTCATTAAATTTTAAAGTTTATGTGATTTCAATATCAAAATGCAAAACTTGAAGGAAATCCACTTGATATGAAGGGACTCGCTGGAAATACTATTTTTTAGATTTAAAAACCATTTGATTAAGCCTAACTCCATTAATTCTGAATAATCATTTTAATTAAATTATGCAAAATGACACAAAAATGAAAAGAAAAATTTCACATCATTATCTCACTGTGTTTTTTAGAGAATAATCTTTTTAATTAGGCAATATGATCCAAAAAATATAACCCCAATTTTCCATTAAGAATTGCACACAAAAAATTATTTTCAATTATGTCCAAGTATATTTCTTTATTATCTATTTTTTTTGGATACAATTGTATGTTTTGGTTTTAAGTGCTCTGTTTGATCTGTGTAAGAATTATACATTTTATGTTTTTAGATCTCTGTCGAGCTCCTTTAAGCTACTTGCATTAAAGAGCCTGGTCAGGCTGCACACCTGATTGCACATCTGGTCTAGTTGCATACTGGTGGCAAAAGCTTATCCCATTTGATTCCAGCATGTTTAGGGTTAATGTTGAGATTCTGTTACATTCATATATGTGTCTGGTTTTGATTTCTTTGTGACATTTGTTTTATATAGGTCATCAATTGGTGCCAAGCCTTGAGTCACAGCTAGGGAGAAATGTGCAGGAATTTCGAGAGATGATTGACAGTGTCCCTGCAGATATATTGACATATGGAGTAATATATCATCCCCAACTGTCAAACTCGGGTTGTAAAATACCCAGTGCAACACAGCTTAGTATGCAGGGTAAGGCCGGACAACAAAAATATACAAAATTTTCTGTATTAGATAAAGACAAAATAAGTTTTAATAATACTTATAAAGTGCTTCTTAGTATATTCGCTACAGTTTTTAGATAGATACATAGGGGTGTCCGTGGTTGTGTGGTTAAGGTCATTGACTTTTAATCACTTGCCTCTCACAATTTTGGATTTGAATGCTGACAGAGACTTTGAATTCTTTCATGTGTGGAAGCTATCCAGCTAGCTTATGGAATGTCGGTGGTTCTACATTTGTGCCTGAAATAGTGCACGAAAGGGGGGCACCTGAGGTCTTCCTTCTTCAGTAAAGCTGGAACATCGCCATATGACCTATACTGTGTTGGTGTGACGTAAAACCCAAGAAAAAAAATAGATACAAAGGAGGGATGAAAACTGTATTTTTAGTATTATTGATTTATCATTGTTTTAGAATACATGTGTGGTAACAGAAACATTTTGCCCATTATGCCTCAGAAATGATTTTATTTTTAATTTTCAAAAGCTCTTAATTATAGTGTATTTATATTCTTCAAAAAGTTACTTATTGACCAATTAATTGAACAACCTTTTTCATCTGTTGCTTTTGGGCAGTTTGTTCTTTTATAGTGATATAGTATTTTGTACGGAAGTAAAAATACTACTTTGTTTACATTTTGCTACTTTTATGACAAATTATTTGTCATTTTCCACTACATTCCTCAGACTACAAGCATCTAACATGCTCATAAACCATTTTTTAAACATTATAAATTTCATAATTGTCCTTTCTAAGGAAGTAAAAGTGCTCAATGTGCCTTTAAGTAAAAAAAAGGTTGTCAACCAAATCTTGTTTTTTTAGTTAACTTCTCTTGAATTGCTTGCTTTATGTAAGAGTACTGTCATGGTACTACCATAATTAAAATATGTACCTCAAAAAAGCTGTATATAACTATCAAAGTGTGTTTTGTAGTGATAGTGTTATTTGTGTATCAAGATGAAATTCATTATTGGATACGATATTCGTTCAGCTCAAATGTTAATATCAAGTAAGATTTGTATGAAATTATTTTCCGATGTACTTCTACTTTCTATTTTTCGTAGAAAATTTTGCGAAGAGAATGAGTATGTTAACGGAACTAGCAACAAAACATCCTGACCTACGAGACAGCTACTTGACGAAAAGCCAGACTACGGCCCATAAATTTGACATCATTACAGAAGAGGCCCAAGTTGCTGCCCAGCTTGACAGTTTAGAACCTGTTTTTATGACTATTGAAAATCAACTGAAGAAAATCAAAGAAGGTAATGTATTTTCCTTCCAGGTTAACCATAACATGGGTATAATGCTGCATGTATGCCTATGGTCATGCTGTTAGTAATCTGCGAAGTATTTGTATATAAAATAATTAAAGCGGCCATCAGCTTTTATTTTTTGTTGGAAAAACAATTCTGTGTTGTTTCAAACTAAGTATTTCAGTAATTTTATCTTGAAAAAATGCATTATTATCACTGTTAAGTCTTCTTCAAAACGGCATCCTGAAAGCTATTTATAGGGCATCAGTGACGTTCATTTCTAAAAATAGAAGATCAGGGAACCAATTGTCCTTTTTACTAATTTACATATAGAGAGCAGACCGGTAGATTGGAGGTATCTAGGGGTTTTGTGTTGTTTATGTATTTTATTGACGATAAAATTCATTTTTCACCTTAATTCTTTTGATTTGACAATGATATGAATCAATTTATCTAAAAATAACAATATTAACCTTTAGAACTGCTGAAGGCTGCTTTAATAAAATGATACAAGATACCAAAGTATATTTATTACATGAAAGACGTAATATTCCTTGAAAGTAATTGTCGTATGGAATAGTATATTTTGTTAGAGGATGTTCTGTATAGTTTACATATAATACTTGTATGTATGTATTCACATGCACTTAATAATAGAAGACCAATTTGTTAGTGGTAACAATGGGTTATCAAGGTTGTTAAGTTCTTAGCTAGACTATCAGGAGAATAGAGCCATTGTACTCACACAGGCGTCAGCGTTACACTTTGGTTAAGTTTTTGCATGTAAGTTGGTATTTCCAAAACTACTGAAGGGAATGTGTTGAAACTTCACACACTTATTTGAGAGCATAATAATTATTATTATTAAGTCACTGACAAAGACCCATAAGCATTGATTTTGACTAATTTATGGCACTTTTTGAGCTTAAAAATTTCTGCATTATCCAGGCTCTTGTTAAACAATCAAGCACTGGGAATAGCTTTTGTTACAGAAATAATTGGATTTTAATTGTTTTGATAACTCTAATTTAAAAAAAACCATCATAAATTGAACATGGCACAGTCTGTTGAAGATATACAAATGAGCCGCGTCACAACAAAACCAACATAATGGGTTTGCGACCAGCATGGATCCAGACCAGCGCAGTCTGATCAGGATCCATGCTGTTCGCTTACCAACTCTATTACAAGTAGAGAAACTGATAGCAAACAGCATGGATTATGATCAGACTGCGCGGATGCGCAGGCAGGTCTGGATCCATGCTGGAAGCAAAACCATTATGTTGGTTTTGTCGTGACGCGGCTCAAATTAACTTGTTTTTGGTTGTTGTATTGTAACTTATAAGCAGTTGTTAGGTGTTTTTGGTAAAGATTTGTATTAATACTGTGTGAATATATTACATTTACAGAGGGTGCCGATTATTCGGATGAGTTATGGTTGTTCGGACCGATGTTTACTGCTGCAGATATTAGTCTTTCAGTATTACTAAATCGTCTTTATTTACTCGGACTTGATGGGCGATATTTTTCAACGTCAAAATGCCCGTGCATTCATCAGTATTATTGGCAGGTGAAAAAGAGACCAGCGTTTCAACGAATAGAAAAAGAGATTGCGAATCTTAAAATGACAATGTTGTGGGACAGTGTGAAGACTGCCTCGCCATATATTGCAGGGGCAGTAACTCTTGGAGCTGCTGTAGGGACCGGTTATTATATATATAAGAAATTAGATAGCTGAGCCTTGTTTTACGGTATATATATCACAAATGTAATAGTTCTATATAAATTTGTTACGCAATATGTAGAGTAATTTATACCATTCACAAGCCATTCCCTTTATCGTGTTAAGTGTAGTGTTTGAAACGTTTTAACGTTTAAGATAAAAATGGATAAAAATCTTCAAGTTGACACAAAGTGAATCTCACTCTTTTTCAGAAAACAAAAAAAGTATTATTCTACTGCTTTTCTTTCTTTTATTTATAAAATCAATGCATTTAATAACCTGGCCTGCCTGGTTCAATTCATTCACAATATTGCTATGATATAATGATATTACTCATGTATAACTGTTATGTACATGTACAGCATTTTGATTATAATTTTACTCTATTCATATTGTCCATCTAGCTCATTTAGCGCAGTAGGTTATATGTAAGGTGTATGATACATGTAAACTTGATTAGTTTGAAAGTAGTTATGAACATATAGAATGGATTGTGAGTTTTAAACTCTAAAAACTTTAATAAACCACTGTAGACTCCACTCCAACTTCTACTCAAATAATGCATTCAGGGGCACTCCGCCATATTGGAGTTATATGAAAAAACATAGCCGTGACTCTAGTAGGACATAAATTCTTTCATTAAGAAACAGAATTGATAACTGCCACTTACCTTAAAGTTATTTGGTTTAAGATTATAAAACATAAAATTAGATAGAAATAACATATCTTAATGATATTTACATGTTCAAATTTAACTTTAGATAAATAAATCATATTTTTGTTGATATTTACATGTTAATTTGATTTGAAAGATAAAGTAGTATGTATATATATGTATTTTAATGATATTAGATTTAAATAATAGATTTTTATTGATATTTTATACTTATTTGATATTATAACACCAAGATCTGTTAAGCAGCACATAATTCAAATACAACTTTTTAAATTTTTGAAGGGGCGTCCTTGTGCGAGTGGTTATGGTTGTGAACTTCAAACCACTTACCGCTGTGGGTTTATATCAGTTCTACTGGGTGCGCCTATAATAATTGCACAGAGAGGCACCTGAGGTTTTCCTCCACCAGTAAAGCTTGAAAGTCGGCATGTGACCTGTGTTTGTGCAACGAATAAAGAAAACAAAAATATATATTGAAATTATAGTTTTTTATAGATTTTTGAGTTTTTGAGGGTTTTATTTGCAGGAAAATGTTGATTTGTTTTATAAAGAGTGGCTGAAAATTTCAATATTTTCAAATGATAAAATATAGTTAGTGCATTTTTATAACATTAAGATTCAATGTTTATTTATATTTCTTTATACATGTGACATGTATTTGTATTACTATGTATTTAAACTTTTTATTAAACAAATGTCAATACGTTTTGTTATAAAAAGAGGTAATTGTATATTTTATTGGAATGAATTTTGAAATGACTTAATTTTAAGGTTGTTATAACTTTATAATAAGGTTGTTACATGTATAACTTTAAGTTATGATTTTTTTTATAATTTTTTAACAGAGAAAACAGCAGGCATTGTTCTAGTGATCTAGTCATGTAGAAGTCAATTTACAATAAATATGTTGCATGAAGGTTTTATTTTGTGGTTTTCACTCACCTATTTGTAGAATAGGGAGAGCTTTTATACTAATGTCAACGTCAGTGTCACACTTAGGTTAAGTTTTTTATTGCAAGTTGATATCTCCCAAAACTACTGAAGAGAATGGGTTGGAATTTTACAACTTATTTGAGGGCATAGTAGGAGATCAATGTCAAAGACCCATTACTCTGGAATGATTTTTTGCAGAATTATGGCCCTTTTTGAACTTACAGAATTCAACATTATCCAGGTTCTTGTTTAAAGCACTGTGAATAGTCAAGCACACTATCCTACCAACAGCTCTTCTTTGTTGTTTGAGTTGCTTTTTTGTAATAACTAGAACCTGTAGGTTCAGTGTATTCAGTTAAATTGTAAGTGGTAGATGTTTTTTAAATAATGCTCAGTTTGCTTTTATCTTTTCTATCTTTATTACTTTTAAATGAGTTACTTTATGTTTTTATACATTTTTGACTAAGTCTTAATAAATCAATGAATTATGAATATTTAAATTTGCAAGTGAAGGTGCCATTATATTTGTGAAAATCCCACTGTGCGGTATTCAAACTTGCGCCATAAGATATTCAAACACAAAATGACACAATTCTGTATACCACTGAGCTAAAGAATCAATATAATTAATTCAAGCTTGCTTTAAGGAAGTTCTACTCACACACCTGCTTGTGAAATAATGTTCAATGGGGCACCTGTAGTTCCTCCTCTACCAATAAAGTATCATTATACACTACACAACATTTGATTCTTTTAATAAAATTCCATGTCTACTGTCTTATTTTACAAGATATTTTATTCCTTTGTTGTTTTTATTTTTATGCCAATCTTGCTTGTCATAGGTTTTATAGATATTTTTTGTTTGTTTATAAATAACACTGAATGACCATGGCATTTAAGGGGTGCATAACATTTTGGAAGGCTTTCATTTATGCTTTAAATTGGCAATAATCAATTAAGAAAAATATTTTCCAGAAGTATATTAATAAACAATTACAAACTGTCCAAAATTGAAAAGCAGATTTGCAGAATTTTAAAAACTTTATCTTGTGACCAGAATAATATAATTTCTAAGTTCTTTACAATTGAGAATATATGTACATGTATATAGTTTAAATACCAAGAGGTTTAAGATAATATAAGAGCCAATGGACCATGTTTTTTTTTTTTTTTTTTTTTTTTTCAATTGTAGTCTTTATATTTACCAGTGACACAAGTTTATGATCTGCAAAACAATTTCACAATATGTTGTTACAGGAACTAATTTCATTTATTAACAGCTGATTATATACATGTTGATTTAACTGGTACCTGTATGAATTTATGCTTTAAATTGATGTGATGTGATGTGATTTAAGTGGAAAATTTTCTCTCCAACTGAAAGTGTTAGTATTTTATTTGACAGTTTGAGTGTTAAAAAGACTATTTTTAGCTCGACTATTCGATAAGAATAAGTAGAGCTATTGTAGTCACCCGAGCGTCGGCGTAACCACTTATGTTAAAGTTTTTGTAATAGTTCAAATATTTTCAAAGTCCATTGACATATGGCTTTGAAACTTTGCACACTTGTTTACCATCATGACCCCAACCTGTAGACAGGAGAAGGTAACTCTATCATGCATTTTGACAGAATTATGCCCCTTTTTTGCATTAGAATTTATGTTAAAGTTTTTGTAATAGTTCAAATATTTTCAAAGTCCATTGACATATGGCTTTGACACTTTGCACTCTTGTTCACCATCATGACCCCAACCTGTAGACAGGAGGAGGTAACTCTATCAAGCATTTTGACAGAATTATGCCCCTTTTTCGACTTAGAATTTATGTTAAAGTTTTTGTAATAGTTCAAATATTTTCAAAGTCCATTGACATATGGCTTTGAAACTTTGCACACTTGTTCACCATCACGACCCCAACCTGTAAACAGGAGGAGGTAACTGTATCAAGCATTTTTTTTTACTATCAAGCACTAAGAATAGTCGAGCGTTGTTGTCCTACCGACAGCTCTTGTTTATTAGCTTGTCTGTTTTGAAGAAAAGTAGAGCTATCCTGATTGCTATGGCATCATCGTTGTGCAAAAACTTTAATGTAGCCAATTATTCAAAAAAGTTATCAACATGAAACTTGAATGAGAAGGTGCAGTTGTAAGACAAGGGAAGTAATTCTTAAAACAATATTTTTTGAGTTTGTCCCTTCTTTAACAGAGGAGCGTTAACACAGCATGAGATGCTCTTGTTTAATGTATGACTGAAGGCTGTTCTAAAAATCAATGTACTCCCTAGCAATTATTTATTTATACACATCTTTGGTACTGCATTTTAATGTGTTCTTTTAGCCATTCACTATTTTTGATCCATTTCATTTTATGTGATATACACGTGTTGTGTAATATGTTACTATTTATAGTTTACGTTTAATAAAGACATTGAAATATGTATATTGCTGTTGAATTATGCTTTTATTGTCACGTGTTCATTGTCACGTGTTCAACGCGTATTTAAGCATTTCTTTAACAACAGACTTGTTCCTACTGACAGTGTGTAATAGAAGTATACATAGATGAGTGATGAAGATCCCAATAATTGTCACGTGTTCATTGCCATGTGGAACACATGTATTTAAGCATTAAAAACAGACTTGTACTTTACCTACTGACAGTGTGTAATAGGAGTAAACATAGCTGAATGATGAAGATCCCAAGCTTATAATTAAACCACCCCCCCCCCCCATTTTCCTGTTGTGTACTTAAAAATTCCGCCAAGCGCTGAAAATGAGTTTAAAATCACTTTTAGAGTCAGATAACTGAAAAATAATAACTCCTCTTATACCACTGATGCAGTTTCAATGAAACTTTACATGATTATTTGATAGCTCAAGATCTTGCGCATATTACACGTGCTTACCGGTTGAATAATTTTTGGCACAGTTATGGCCCTTGAATAAGAATTACACGTTTTGCCCTGTTAATGATTTTGTGTCTACACAGTAGCTGCAACATGCAATTAGCTATCAGGGGGCGACGCAATGTTATCACTGATAGCTCGTGTTTGTTTATCTCCCTATTTGTATTTTTAAATTTTCCTGATGTGTGAAAAAACATCAGATATAATCACGTCAAACTTGGGAGTATTTGTTTTATATTTAAGGGCAGTAATTCCCCAATCGGATTTTCATAATTATGCCCACTTTTCTAGTACAATGTATTTGCTTTTATCATACTATCCTGCGTTGAGAAAAGTGGAGCGCGCCGCTCCCTATAACAGCTCTTGTTTGATATAGCAATGCCTCATATACTGACATTTGAGCCGCGTCACGACAAAACCAACATAGTGCGTTTGCGACCAGCATGGATCCAGACCAGCTTGCGCATCCGCGCAGTCTGATCAGGATCCATGCTGTTCGCTATCAGTTTCTCTACTTGTAACAGAGTTGGTAAGCGAACAGCATGGATCCTGATCAGACTGCACTGATGCGCAGGCTGGTCTGGATCCATGCTGGTCGCAAACGAACCATGTTGGTTTTGTCGTGACGCGGCTCTTTTTTTTTTTTTTTTTTTTTTTTTTTGTTATTACCTATTTGCAACTGCGTATATCTTATCAATTATTTGATTTCATTAATCAGGATACAAGTGTGAAAAATACGAAAACTTTGCGAGTCCATTTGAATAAATATGGTCAATAAATGAAAGTATATGACAAATGATGATAATTTTATTAGTTTATAAGGGTATTGTAGTTTTATAAGTTATCACATAATCTATGGTGAAATAAAGTTCATGCTGTTTTTTCTTACAATACAATAATAGAATTATAACTTGAACAGGAGTAACATGCTATAAACAGTATATAGTAAATTTAAAATGACATTATGCCTTCCAAGGGTATATGTATATAGTTAATGAATAAGTAAAAGTCGAAATAAGTTTACATTTTGTCATAATTCCTTTCAATTTCATAATTTGCTCCACATGAACGATAAATAACTCGCGTGGCTTAAGTAATTTGCTGTAAATGTCTATCTGAAATTATCTGTAACGTAAAAGTCGTTCTATTTATTAACTGTTGGTCAATCACCAATATAATTAATAGTTTATCTTTTGAAATACCGGTATATAATCAATTCAGGCCAACTTGACCATGAAAAAAATGAGCATAATGTTGCTCTGATTTTGAAGAAAAAAAATTCTTTCAGACATTTCTGTTAATCAGGGTCTTTCAAAAGACCCTTTGTGAATAATGATGTCAACATTTTCTATTGTATAATGGCAACTTTTGAAGGATAATAAATAATCTGCTTTGGAAAAAGTTTATAAGCTTAACCCGGGGTCGTAGGTCTGAGCCCTACTTGTACCATGGCTGTATTTCCTGTTAATATATCGAGGTCAAAGGTTTTAAAGAAAATCCCTAAGCTTAGACCTCATGTATTTGATTGGTCAGAAACTGTCACAGAATGTACACTGACCAATGAAAATCTTGATATTTGTGACAGAACTCACAAAAAAAGTTTTTTATAACATTCAGGCCAGTACTGCATACCTCTTGGAAGTGGATTCAGACCTGATTCAGGTGACCTAATTTCTTAAGTTCGAATCCCGCCAGGAAACTAATGATATTTTATGACAATGATGTCAGAAATATACCCATCCAGACAACAAAAGGTTGATGTTTCTACCCGTGCATGATCTCCGCTCCAATCGTAAAGCTTGAAAGTTGTTAATTGATTTTTACAGTATCGATGTGACTTAACACCAACCGAAAGAAGGTAAAATAATTCTAGGATACAAAATATGTTATCCTTTACCATTGTGGATTTAAAATATGTGGTCAAAGAAATGTACTTATCTCACCGGCTCCAGATTTTACAAAGTAATAGAACATTTAAATGACGAGAAATTAAGAACGCCGCTATTTTATGTGTTTGACTTGACTTGACTTGGATAGACAAAGGCTGAAATGCTAGCGAGTCATTTATATAAGCTCGATTTCGAAACAAGTTCTTGCAACTTATATTAATCACTTTCCAAACCAACCAGTACTGGTGTCATATAAAGAAACGATGTCATGACCCGATTAGGGCTCGAACCCATTATCACAGGCTTAAGAGGCAGACACCTTAACAAGTTGGCAACCGTTTCCCTTAGTCAAATCTTGCTGCAGAAAACCATCAATAACGAGGCATATTTGAAATAATATCTTTGCGAAAATTTGGCCTATTAAAGTTGCTTTACTGTTTGAAGCATGTGGTTTTTACATAATCCATAATTTTATAAATGACTCCTGTAAATTCTAGAAAAAAAATCTAGAAATCGCTGCGAAGCAACTAACCAGATTTCCTGTTCCGGGAAGGGGTTTTTAACAGCTTACATAAAAATGTCTAACATTGGTTTTAATTTTAATATGACATTAATTATTTCTCACGAGTGGTATAATTTTAACAAACACCCTTACTGTCATTAAACAGTCTCCAAATGTTTAATAAATAAATAAATAAATAAATAATTATAATAATAAATAATACAATAACTAGATAAATGAACAAAAGAATGAGCCACCTCGTTGCCAGCAATAAAGTAAAAGTAGAAAAAAAAATCTGAATGAATGTAATGATATTTCCGGTAAAAATTTGAAATAATAAAAGATGTAACCGACCCTACAAGATGATTTCGATGAAACTTCATTTTTATGCATCATCAGAACTTTCTTACATAGTGAGATCGTCAAAATCTAATCACTTTGTTCTTGTGAATAAGCCTTATCAAATTTCCGTTCAAATTAAATCTTGAAATATTTTTGTTTGTATTAAAGTCAAACTTCGAATGAAATTTTTAAACATTTTTGCACCTGCCAAGTTCAACAGGAAGTATATGCGGAAGCACTTTAAGCATGTCCCTGATTCCCTGCTCTACAGATATTGTTGACTGGTACCCGAGCTTCCGGATTTTTGCATACGACACTTCATAGTCTCTTTTGTCTTTATCTACGCCTGAATTTGACTCAGTAATTTTGCAGCCTTCAACATTTTTCTGAATAAGCTGTGCCACTTGTGATTTTGTCATGTTCATTTTTTCGTCACCTACGTTATAGGCCTGTCCTTTCATTTCGGACGCATGCTCAACGGCAAAGATAAAAGCTAGAGCTGCGTCTTTCACGTGCAGGAATGTGCGCCGGAAGCTGCCTTCGTATAGGTCGAATTCTTTAAGCGTTAGTCCTTTATATGTAAGATCATTTATAAGCAGGTCTAACCTAAGGCGTGGTGACAAACCGAACACAGTTGCAAGTCTTAGCGCGATTCCACCAACGGCAAGAACCATTTTCTCCCCTTCCGCTTTGCTGCTGCCATATAGTGTCAGTGGACTTATGCTCGTCTCTTCCGTACACAGTCCTTCGACAGCGCCATAGCATGAGCCTGTGCTGGCATAAACTAATATTTGGTTAGCAGTTTTGAATTCCGTAATATTTTTTGTACCTTCGATATTTGTGTTAATGGCGCATTCTGGGTCTTTGTCACATGCTGGGTAGCCGACAATAGCTGCTAGATGAACTATGGCGTCCTTTCCCGCCATCACACTAGAGAGATGTTCCCTATCACGGATGTCACCTTTGATAATGTGAAGGTTTGCGTCGTCTGCTATTGGTAATAAGGGGCTTATACCCCAGAAGAAAAGGTCATAGAGCGTGACCTCGTGACCTTTTTCCAACAACATTGGAATCATTGTTGAGCCGAGATATCCCGCACCTCCTGTTATTAGAATCTTCATGCTTGTTCTTTAACTGGTTCCCTAAAAGCAGTAAATGAAAACATAGGTAATAGCTTGTTCATTAGCAAGTCGATGATGTCACCGGAAGTCCAGGCAGGACCATTTTCATGCATGCACTCGAACTCTGTGCTTAGCAATAATCATGATAATGGCGTACGAAGCTCGGTTATTCTTTTAACTGGATCACAATATTATCTTTACAAATAAAATACAGAATTACGTCATGTAAGTTTCGGCTGGTCTAAATATTGTAAGGAACCAATTGCAGACACTACATAAAAGAAAATGCTTTTATCTATTATCGGAAGTCTGACGGAAAAGGCCGAAAAGTTGCGACTGTATATTATGCTTTCGTCTCGTTATAAATTAAAGACAACTGAACAAGAAAACGAACAAATGAACGAACAAAGAAGAAATTTGGACATGAGTTGCGAATATCGCTTTATGAGCTTATTTTGTCATAAAACACTGGGCCGTTCAATCAAATTTTAAAGAGTTTACATAAAGGGACTCTATTTTATATTCATTTGTATTAGAACAAAGACAAAGGACAAGGTCAATATTTGCATGAAACATTTAACATATTGACGCTGACAAGCATGGTCAAACTAAAGATAAGTTGCCTTCTACAAAAAAAATTGTTTCAAAATTGCCGAAGAAGATAATGAAACGTAGTCTTGGATAAAAGCTTCAAATACAGTATAAGGATTTGATGCTAACAATAGTTGAGTTTGATGAGTTTGATAAGATTGAATAGGAATCAAAAACAAGTGAAAATGTCATGTATAAAATATGTAAATGTAAAGGAATCAAATGCAAATGTAATGGAAGCAAATGTTAATGTTAATGTTATGGAAATATAAGCGTCGGTAAATATCATGAGTGGTCATTTGCGTCAAATAAAAGAAGATTATATTTTGTTTAATAACACGACGGGTTGTAGAGCTTAAAATAGTATTTTGCCTTAATCCTGACTTAAATGCTGTTTTAGTTTTCAAAACTGACGCTATCTTTGGCTTAATATCCCTTATGACCTCAAAGGATCTTACATGTATTATTTTGAAATAGTGTGTCCACATGTTATTGGGACTATTATAGATTTTTGTCATACAGGTTTCACAGACAAAAAATAACAATGAAATATCATATTGTTGAAAGTTACTTTAGAGTCAGAGTAAAAATAATGAGTACACATAAAAATGTCCTAAAATCTAATTAAATCAACAAAATTATTTTATTTATTTTTATTATTAGATATATTGTCTTCTAACCACTTGCCATGCACCGCTGTGGAATTGAATCTGACCCACAGGCCCTCAGTAGCCCATTCGTGCCTAAATAATGCACGGAAGGCACGCCGGAGGTCTTCCTCCACCACTAAAGCTGGAAAGTGGCCATATAACCTTTGTTGTGTTGGTGCGAATAAGCGACGTGAAACCCAACCAAAAGAAGAAGAAAAACTTTGTACGACGGTTTAATCATCTATTCGGTTTCATTTATAAGTGCATATTTTTTATGTTTCAATAAACACGACACGATGGGTAGGCATCAACATTTCTGGTACTTACAATTTTTATTAATTAATAGAAGTATAGAATAATGAAATTGCAAACGTGTTCTTTCATAAAGATCGTCTTCCACAAAATGACTCACGTTCCAAAAAATTGTTTAAGGTAAAAGTTTGATATTTATCTTCAATCAAATATTTGTTAACCCAAAAGGGTTAAACATTGTTTTATCCGAAATTTATCAAAGCAAACAAATACCCGCCATTTACATAAGAAAGCAATTTAAACTATGGCATACGTCATTCCCTTCCGTCTCACATCAAGGTGCAATCGGATTGTCTTCGGCTATCATTCATAAAAACCGAAGACTGGCGGAAAGGGCCGAAAATATGCGACTGATAAATTTATGATATAGGGCATTTAAATCGCATTTTAATCAATTGTAGAATTAAAAAAAAAAATAGAATATAAATGATATTCTTTTCGAAAGCAAATTATATTATGAAACATTATAAAGTAACTTCCATTAGCAAAAGTATCCATAAAAAGCCAAAATTTCCAACGTCATCTTGAGACTTTCAGTGTTTGTGTATCAACGTGTTCTTGAATTTATGTTTTTGAAATATAACTATTTCATTTCCCATACAAATACCAATGAAACAAACGAACGAATGCACAAAACAAACAAATGTGCGCACGGGCGGACAAACGAACGAACGGATTTACAAAAGAATGAATGTAAACAGTCTCTCAAACAACAACAAAAAAACCAACAAACAACCAAAATAAAAATATAAATAAACCCTGTTTAATGCAACTAAATAACAATTTTTAAACGAATTTTATTTATTTATTTATTTATTTATTTATTTATTTATTTATTTATTTATTTATTTATTTATTTATTTATTTATTCATTTATTTATAAAAATTAAAATGTATAAAAACTATTTTTGTAATGGTACCTTTTTAAATTTCCCAATTTCAAACGAATCACTTTAAGTTAAATATCTAAAAATATATTTTAAGTATAAAATTTTAAACCATTATTCCTTTGGTAAAAATATAAAATGTTTTGACAATTATAACTATTATCAATTAATTAAATCTTACCATCATAACGTGAATGTACGTATATATATTTTATAGACAAAAAAACGAATTGCCCATACATGCTTTAGGGCTTGATTTTAATTTAAAATATGATTTTAGTGGTCAATATTTTTCCTACGCAAACAAGAATAAACAACCACCTCTTAAACAAATATGGACAATTATTTATGGTGAATTTTTGATATAATCTTAACAAGAAGTATCTTTAAGAAAAATACTTGGTCAAAGTAAGCGAGGTTAACTTGTATATTATTTCTAAGTCTTCGATACTTATCTATTTGACAGAATAAATAATCGGGTTCTTTCTTTTGAAAACTGGAACACTGCAAGATGTATGTGATCCTAAATTTACCTGGCGTGTTTCGGTAGGCAGTCGGTAGGCAATTCTTTTTTTTTTTATAAAATTGCTTAGATTTTATCAAAGATACAAAAAATATCACCTCCCTTTATTTACATGAAATATCTCCCTTTATTTACATGAAATGTTAAATTCGGTAATACCTTTCAAATAATGCTTTTTCAAACTTACAATATTGATAAATCTTCATTTGAGTATCAGATTTATGATATGAAATCATAAAAATATGCGTTACAGGATCTTTAATTTAATATGCAGAAATATGCGCAAATTATTAACATTATATCAATTGAACACATCAACGATCATATAATATATTGGACACTTTTTTAGCATCATAAACTTTGATTTTCGATATTTTCATGTGCATGAACAAAATAACATGATCGTGAACGTAATTGGTGGTCTCGTTCTTTTGGACAAAACTTATAACTGAGTAAGTTCCTATTTGATAAAAAGTTTTATTTTAGAACTATCCTTAAAACTTTATCTTAGAATGGCAAGAACTATCATTTACATTTCATTTTAGAATGGCCAATGAGATTCCAGAATTTCATTTTGTAATTTTAAAATAAAAATTCTTCTTATAGTCAGTTCTTCCCTGTAAATTTTACAGGAAGTTAAATTGATTTCAGACTGGCTGTCGACGAAAGAAAATTTATATCATAAATTTAGATTATTTATAGATTCAAGATGTTACAAATATGCAAATAGATGATGTTATAATGCGAGATTATAAGATTGACATTAACAAAAACACGGGTTTAGAGGTATACAAAGCTCTCAGATATTAGACACTTAATGTACATTAAAACTGAATTTGTCTGATATTAAAATACTCCCGCCTCTTATGACAGCTAATGTTTGATTATTTTCCTTGAATATTTAATATTATTACATATTAATCATATTTCGGAAACAAACTACGAACAATTATTTCCATTAAGCACTTTTTCTTATAGTAGCTTATGTGTTCGTCTCCTGTTTATGTTTTGAGTATTTATCAAATATTTTCGTTTAAAAAAGAAACTGGAAGGATACAAACTGCGCGTTAGGCGAGATATGTAAAAAAATCGGTATATTAATATATATATAAAAATGATATATAATTATTATATCGTCATTATGTTTATTGTACATAGATCTACTTTTTTCATTATTTGTTTATTGGACCGCCGAACATGACCACGGACATTGTGAGAAAGTTTTGAATCTCTTGATATTACATGTATTTAACAAAAACTTGTTAATTCAATAGAAATATCAAAATAATTTATTTAAAACTGGCGCAAGAAAAATAAAAAAAAACGCCATACCAAGAGGAGAAAAGAAGGACAGTTATTAATGTTGATATAATGTATTATGTTTATGAATACATAAACGTACCATTCTGATTTAATTATGTTATTTGTTAAAAAAAATAAAAACTAATCTTAAAAAAAAACTCTTTAATTTTACAATTTATTGAATTGCCTTAACTCATCGTTTGACAAAAGCTCTTTTAATAAATGTATCCGTACACGGATTTATATTACAATATAAAAATCTGTGACCCGTAGCATCCCTTTCTTCCACCCGAATGAGTCTTGGAGACTGTGACACATTTTCGGCAAAAAACAATCATCATTTTTTGTCGTGCCAATAACAAATCTTTTGAAAAATGATCAATAATTTATTTTAAAGTGTACAATAGTACTATAAAGTGTACAATAGTACTATAAAGTAAGTATAAAAATATTGTACAATTTAAAAGAAATATTAACCTTGTCTGATTCATAAATTAATCTCGTGCTATGGACACCGGCTAAAACAATTTACTGTTAGTTAGCTTTCACTTTTTTTCCCGTGATTGACAAATATGTAAATATGGTCTAACGAGGTAATTAAAATTTTAAATGACTTTGACAATATATCTGACGACTGAATTTCGAACGAGGATGAAAAGTTCAATTTCATTACAAAATTATGATTTTGTTCCTGCCCGTGGCAGATCAACTCTTATACTTCCATATCAATCAAGTTAACATATTTTGATCTCAACAAAAAAATGTCACCCATGTAATATCATTCGAAAACAAGCGACCTAATTCAATCATATTTATTTTTAAAATTGAAACCATAGCAACGAGTTCTAGTAGGCCTGTTGACATACACTATAAGTATACATTTGCTAAAAAACAATACATAAAAAAATAATAATTACTGACCAAAACAAAAACAAATAGGAAGAAACGATTTTAAAATCTTTAATATGCTGATACTGATATAAAAAAAGACAAGAACAAAATGTATTATTACCTTAAAGTTATCCCCAAAATATGACCCTTCTATACTTGTGTCCAACAAGTTATGTGGTGATTTTGTTTAATATGCCCGTTATAACCCGATTATTTCATAATGCTATTTTATATGCAGAAATTGGTGTATTTGATTGGATTATCAACCAAGTAATCGAGAGGCGGCTGTTTGTTTAAACCTGTCTTTTTTCATGTTTTAATTTTGCAAAAAGGGGTACAAGAATTGCAAAGAGCCGAGTCGGTCAGTTTTCGTTCATTCCAAATTGATTTAGCACAAAAACGAATTTTTAACAGTTAGTTTTATATTAACATTATGGAGGGATAATAAAGTATAAATTATGTGACAATGTTTTTAATAAATAAAAGAGAATGAAAATAAAATGACCTAAGTCGTGAATTCTGATCTGCAAGTTTAACTATAATCCGCTTATGGATGTTTAAATTTCAACAATGAGAATAATCGCGGACTTTTAAGTGAAAAAAAATAATCATAAAACTGATTAGGGAAAAAACATATTATTGACAGATAATAAATTATACTTTTCTCAAATTTGATATTAGAAAATATGTGATGATGTGTTCCTGTAACTAAAAAAGTAAATTTTTCAGTAAATAAAAAAATAGAATAAATTAAATCTGCAATATATAAATTTGAAAATAAGAAGACATAGTTTGAAAGGTAAAGTTATATATCTTTGATACCGGCAAGTTCCGATATATTTAAGGCGTCCGGTTAGCTCAATAGGTAGAGCGTTGGACTGTGCATCAGGCGACCCGAGTTTGATTCCCGGACTGTACAGGTCACTTTCGTCTAGATTGATCATGAAGTCTTTTCTACGGTCATTTGCAATGTACCTCTGTTCTGGCATGTACAGAAGATTCAGTTCCTTGCGAAAGTAAAGGCAACTAGTACTGGTAAACTGCTGGAGAGCTTGCCCATGAACGGTGCGGTGGCTGAACATTCAATGTAGCTTACTGCCGTGATACGGAGTGAAAACTACCAATTCCACTACCTCAGATATATTTTGTTAACTAAATAAAACAACAACAACAACAAAATAGTTCAACTGCATGCAAAGTTGCAAAGTTGCAGTCAAGAAATAGTCAGAAAGTGTTCTTTTGTTCAAAACGGTAGAGAGGGGAGTTGTTGTTGTTGTTGTTGTTGTTGTAATCTTAAGCGGGTACTTGTGGTTATTTGACATGACAGGACTGGAAATATTATTTCGGGATAAATGTTCATTTAGATGTAAAACTAGCTCCATAACTTGTATGCAAAGTTTCAGACAATTGCTCACTCTATTTTCTATAATTATTCTAATTGTGTCAAATAGCCATAACTTGAAAAGTTTGTCAACGCTTTTCACGCAAATCAGGCAAAGAATAGCACAAAATACGATTTTTAATTTATTTTTGAGTACATATTTCTGAATAATCTTTTGCATAAAGTTCTGTGTGATGTGCCTCAGCATAATTATAAGTAAGAAATTCAAATGTTATGTTTTTAGGCGGAGTTCCTTTAACAAACCATTTAATAGATCATGTATTATATATATGCATGTGTTTCAAACCCTTGCAGCCCAAACAAATCTTAGATAGACCTGTCCATCTTTCAGTCATAACAAAACCATTTATCATTTATAGGGATTTTTTAAGCTGCATGCCTCCAGATCAGCCAAAATATATTTGAAGAAATTTAACCTTGAGGGAAATTTGCTAAGATTTTAAGAAAAGTAAAAATATTCACAATTCAAGAAACAATTTTCATGAAATATGCAATTAATGATTGATTTTGGAGTACATTTATCACCATATTTTTACTGCATGACTAACGCATTAATGGCTATTTGTACACATTCTAACGTATTTTTGGCCATTTTCATAGTTTTTAAGTGTGCTTGAAATGTATAAACTACTTTCTTTACTTGACAATATTTTACATTTTAATATATTTTAAAGAAGAAATATGTTCATGCTTTAAAATATGTACTGACTGAATAGTTAACAATGCGGACCTGGTGTACCGACTAACCTTGATCTGCACTGGTCATATGTCAGTTGCCACTGTAAAGTTTTCATATAAAGATACATGATTGTATAAGCAGGAATGAAAACTCTTTCATGGGATTAATTTAGACGTGGCGTGACCCCTTAAAACATTAAAAACACAAAAGAACAAACAAAACATGAATAAGCCCAGGAGTTCCGATTGTTGGCCCCATAAAATTCTTCAATCCTTAATAATGAAAAAAAAACTTATAATAAACTGTAGCAAAATTACTTTAGGAGATGTACAATGTTTAACTTCTTTAGATAAAAAATAAAGTTTAAATGAAGTTTAATTATGAAACGACAAGTTTATCTTTTTTATAGACAGTCGACCTTTTCTTGTAAACAAGCTGAAAAATAATGATTTCCGTCATATGCAATGGCAGATTTGATAAGCCATATAAAAGCTATTTATAAATTATATAATAAAACAGATATGTACTTTTTAGCTGTTGAATATGATGTGATATGTACTGAAAAATTAATATTGACCTCGGCTATCGCCTCGGTCAATATTAATTTTTCAGTACATATTACATCATATTCAACAGCTAAAAAGTCCATATTTGTATAATATTTAATCAGGAATATTGTCTTTTTACATCTGATTTAAACTTAACGACGCTAAAGATGTGCATCTTTCAGTCTGGAAAATTCCAGTCGAAAAATTCAAAATATATTCTATTTAGTGGACAGTGCTAAACATACGGTGGCGTAGAGGTGACTTTTGTGCGTTTTTATTTAGTTCGTGCGCACGAGATACTATGTCGTGACCACGAGTTAATAAGTCGTGCGCACGGGATGATTAAGTGGTGCATACGATATATTATGTCGTGCTCACGTGAACACGACTTAATTATCTCATGCGCACGACTTAGTTACTCGTGCGCACGACATAATAGATCGTGTGTACCACTTAATTATGGATTTAACTCAATACAGGATTGGAGCAGTACCTCTAGACGCTTGCAGAAATCATGATCATAAAATAGACAAATATCGTTTTTTTCGCCGATTTTTACATTTTTCATTCATCATCATACATAAATCGGTGTGAAAAGACGAATTAGACCTATTAAAGTTCATTCCGTTGGGTGAAAAGGCAAGATTTTAGCATTTTAACATTCAAGCGCCTTGTCCGGTATATACCGGAATTTAGTGTGGTGCTCCAATCCTTTTTTTTAGACTCACTCCTTAATTATCTAGTGCGTACGACTTAGTAACTTGTGACCACGACATAGTATCTCGTGCGCACAACTTATTTGTTTAAGGTGAAGTGGGAATCTTGATGTAGAGCCAACCACGTTAGTAGTGAACGTTCAGGAGCTCCACTGAAGTCCAAATTCCAGAAGCTTAATACTTTAAATTTGAATTTCTTACAAAGATCAGATAATGCAGAGAAAACAAAAAATGATAAGATAATAAAGAAATATTTTAAAATTTCAATTAAGAATATATATTGAGTGTGGTTTTATCCGGATTTGAGTAAAACACGTCCAAATGCTTATCAATTTTGACCTTTTTGCATGATCATTCTGAAAATTTAAAGAGAACGAATGAGATGAAACACAATGTATTGGTGTATCTCTACAATAAATGATTCACACTTCCATTCCCGCCATGACAAATGCCTCAGTGGTGTCCCTTGAAAGTGTATAAAGCTATATAATCTGCTGCAAAAATCATTGTTTGAATTTTGAAAAAGAATACACCGCTTGTATGAAATAAATATGGTAGTTAATTGCCTTAAAATTGAATGACGCATGCACAAATCATTGCTTAACGGATAAAACCCTACTAAAAGTAGCAAAATTATATTTTGTTTCGGAACATTTTATTCTGTTTATGTACATTATCCATGTGTATTAAATAACAGAACAACATTTTCAGAAATCAGCCGTATAATAATGAAACCAACATAATTTCACTGTTGATAAATTTGATGAAAATATCTTTATACCCTTTAATACATAGAAGATATTTGTGTTTTATTCTATAAATATAGGATTCATTTTCATCGAGTGATATGAAAATAGATATTTCATGAGTGGCGGTATTGGCTAAATTTAGAATAAAGTATTCCGGCAAGACACCAGTGTAAAATACGGAAAATGAAAATATTCATTTTATTTCATCAATATTTCATTTATAAGTATATAATAAATTAAAATATTTAACAATATTACACAAAAATCTAATGTTTAATTTCAGCTGGAAATCATTCCGCCTAGGTGATTGTTTGGCAACGATTTTCTTTTGTCTCTTCTCTTATTTATCATGTAAACAAAACTATGAGGTTATAATCTGGGATCTTTATTAACAAACATTTACATACCGATGTAACAATACTTCAGCAAACAAAAGGTATATGCTCCAACCAAACAACAAGACTTTTCATCTTATGCATATCATTAAACAACTTAAATTTTAGTCAGGGTATTTCTAAACATTTTTACATGTCAATTTATAGCGCATCCTGTGTTTTCCCCCGCAATGTTAGCGACGATATATTTTAAATTATTATACACTTACTAATGAAATATTGATGGAAAAAGCGTATTTTCATTTTCCGTACGTTCACTGTAAACATTTATTTTTCACTGAAGTGAAAAATATTTCCCGTATTTTCAATTGTCTTCGCTTTTCTTTTATACATGTACATAAGATTACTACAGCCATATCATGAAATATCTTATTTCATACCACTCAATGAAAATATATAAATCCGGTATTTATAGAATAGAACTTCTCCATTTATTATCCTACTAAGTGTTACTGAGTTTTGAACTAACTATTTTTTCTCATATATTATTCATTTTTAAACATGCTAAAACTCTCTAATGGACATGTAACCTGTGCATTATCAATTTTCGGTAAATCAAGATTATTGTCCGTTATACAGGTATTCCATCCATTCATGAACGTGTAACACGAACGTAAAGAGGAAACGTAAAAATCGAACAAACGACTTTTTATTGTCAGTTTTCCATATCGACGTCATCGCGACACCATGTGAGCGTGAAACATGCGCGTGACGTGGGTCGCAACATGTAGTGATTTTTCACGCTCACGGCCGGCATTCGGGGGGGGGGGAGCAAGATGAAAGGTCCTCTGTCCAAGCCTGAGGTGACTAAAAAGGTCATATAATTTATCAGAAACCCCCCTGTATTGTATGATAAGTCGCTAAATGAGTACAGGGGCACAGAGCCTGTAACTGGTAGGTTCCTGTTTTCTTTCTTTTTCCCTTTTTTGACAATATTTCGAATCCATCAACTATGTCTTCGTTTGTGCTTTTGTGCATGGAGAGAGCCGAAACTACCCAAAAGAGCCAGAAACGGCGAGCATTCATCCATACTTTGGACATGCGAGCTTGTCAAGTTTCAAACGCAAAATGACAAAGTGATTTGCTTTTTTACGCACGCTAGACAGATGTATGGAATAGTGTGTTCGTGAAAAATCAGGTCTCATGTTTAAGTGTCACGCTTACACATTACGTTCACGTCGCGCTCACGTATGAATGGAATACCGGCAGCTATTTCATTGGTACGCGATCCGTGCCAGGGACATGTCCATGAGTATTAATCCACGGACCACTCATTCTCAGTAGACCACGACACTTCATAAATTATAGCATTGAAAAATGAACTTTCTTGTATATTAAAATTCTATTACTTTTCAAAATTAATATACATGTATATAGTAGTATCTCGAAATGTAAAATATTACCAGTAAAGATGTCCTAGATTTTTTTCTTATAGAACCAGAAAATAAACATGGTCATTAAATGTGTGCATTTGGTATGGCGATTTTACTTTGTCTCTTAAAATAAAATTTCTAAAATTTTGATAGTGCCTACTTATTTATTATTCAACTGTCAAAAGTTAAATAATTTACGTCATCTCATATATTGGCAATTTATTAAGGACTCGTAAATGATAATTTATTAAGGACTCGTAAATGATTTTTTAATTGTCCCTAAATGATCCAATTTCCAGACAGAAAGAAATGTTAATACGGCCTCCTTGGAATATTTTTTTATAATGATATAAAATTAACTGATAACTACTGTGCATGTCAGATCAGAGACCGTAGAAAATATTTCATGATCAACCACAATGAAAGTGACCTGCACCGTCCGGGAATCGAACCTATGTCGCCCGATTAACAGTCCAACGCTCTACCTAGAGAGATAACCTGACGTAAAATGTAAACAGAGTATGTAAGGGGTTGTTAATATAAAAGGTAACAATGTTTAAATCAAATTTCAATTTTTTTAATTTCAATTGCACAAGTTTATCACATAAGAAATTGACACATTTCATTCTTCAACTATAAATTTATATCACCACTATACAACAGACTTCATTTCACAATCCTGCGAATAACACTGTCACATTATCAATGTTAAATAACAACCCAAACCAAAAATTTCAAAAGCAATATATGTATTATAACAAAATCTGAGTAAAACAATCATTTCAATGCTTTTGCTTTCATTCTCTTCAAAATATCACACGAAGCTTTCAAGTCCCTTTATTCTCAAAAACATTATATTTTCAGAACAAAAATAGAAACGAACCATTTAGGTCTAAATTGATTTAGGCCATACTTGTCAAAACTTGATCTGGAATTACTTTTTTAGCGAACAAGAATTATGTTTAGTATTCTAACAGTTATAGGTTCCAAATTATGTTCCGAATACATATGAGCCGCCCCATGACAAAACCAAAATAGTGTTTTTGCGACCAGTATGGATCCAGACCAGTCTGCGTATCTGCGCAGTCTGATCAGGATCCATGATGTTTGCTATCAGTTTCTCTACTTGTTATAAGGTTTGTAAGCGAACGGCATGGATCCTGATCATAATGGATAGTATTTATGTTTGTTTGTTTGTTTGTTTCATTTTACGCCTTTTTCCAACAGTATTTCAGTCATATAGGCGGGTAGTTTCCTAACCATCGTTCCTGGAGAGTTACACCAGTACTAGACAACCTTCCTCCGCGCTAAACTACCAAAGCATCTCCCGGGGATCGAACCCACGCCAGAGAGGTAACTGGATTAGAAGTCATCGACTCTAACCCCTCGACCACGGAGGCTAGTATTTATGTAGTAAGTCTACAATGTTTCATAAACATAAGGAGAATGATGTCTATTGTACATGTTCATCATGTACTAATGATTTCTATAGTACTGCATGTTTGTAGCATAGCTTTTCATTAGACAATGTGTGACATGAATTAAATTCATATTTTTCTATCTCAAAGTTTGCTGTATTATAAATTCGTTATAAATATTAGTGACAAGTTATATGGCAGTATGATATGAATGGTTGTTCACAATATATGTACATGCAAACAACAGTCCTTAAAAGTAACTAATATTATACTTATTCAAAACTGCCTTTTGCATTAATTTTCCCCCAAGATTTTATACATATTCAACAGGATTACCAACCTATAACAAATATATTACAGAAAAAAACAAAACATTATAATGTGGTTAAGAATGAATGTCCCTTTAATTAATTCAAGGGACATAATCATCTTCAACAGCATAAATGAGCAGGTATATAAACAGACTATATTCAATAATTGCGTTCAGACACCAGAGATATTTTTGTTTCTGGGTTTCTACCATACATGAGACCCTTACCCTATCATAATTTTAATAAATATGAACATCTATGACAGCTATGGCAACATAAATTTTGAAGAAAAAAACCCAAACAAAACTTATAAAACTGCTGACTTGGTTGGTGATAAGCCTGGTAGCTGACTGCAAAAATTATGGAATAAAGAGCCCAAATACCATTCTAGCATTAACATTATTGATGTTAAAAATGAATGAATGAATGAATCAATCAATCAATCAATCAAACAAACAAACAAACGATCAATCAATCAATCAATGACTTAATCAATCAATCAATCAATCAAATTCTAGTGTTGTTTTTATTTTTCAAGCATATAACCATATCCAGTTTCTATTTGTGCTCATAAGTTCATCATTTATGGATTTTATATCACAATTAAATATAATAAAACAAATAATCTTTTCAGTAAAATAAAATTTTTTTGGCCATATAAGGACAATAAAAACACATGCTTGGCCTTATTTCAATACATAACAACCTTGTAACAACGAATTGAGCAACATAACATTTTTTATGTTGAAAATATCTATATACTGTAAAATCATTATTATTTGTGGGGCACTATTTTTGTGGATAGGTCATTCCATGAATTTCATCAACTGTAAAATCATTACATTATTTGTATTTCCTTTGAAAAAACAGAAAATAGGTGTAATCGTAATCAATAATCCTAAGTGAACTACAATCAAATACAATTTGCCAAGAAATCAACAGTAATCTGTAACGGATTGCATTCAAATATAATTTTGCCAAGAAATCAACAGTAATCTGTAACTGATTGCATTCAAATATAATTTTTCAAGAAATCAACAGTAATCTGTAACTGATTGCATTCAAATATAATTTTTCCAAGAAATCGACAGTACAATTTGTCAATAAAGTGACAGTAATCTGTAATTATGGCCCTTTTGATTACTTGTGATCATAATTTAATCAACTGATGTAATTTGTGCTTTAAACTCTTTGAGTTCTGACTGATTGCATTAAAATATAATTTTTCAGGAAATCAACAGTAATCTGTAACTGACTGCAATCAAATATAATTAATCAAGAAATCAGCAGTAATTGGTAATTATGGCCCTTCTAGATTAACTGATGTGACTCCTGCCTTAAACTCTTTGAGTTATGACAGCAGACGCCGTTCTGTTACATGTCATTCTGTAAAATGTTCTTTGAACTTCAGAAGTAACATAAAATAATACATTCACTGGTGTTTTGTAACGCTTACTGGTGTTTCGTATGTCAGGAATTATCCGAGCTGGTTTTGCTGGTACTTGATGTATCCTCTGAGATTTTGTCTATAGAATTGAGCACCTGTGATAACAACTTCAGATTATCAACACCGGACAGGAGCTGCCTGAATAAAAATAAATCATTACCATTAAAAGATGACAAAAAATTGTACATATTATGAATTTGTATGTTTGTTTGGCTTTTCAGCACACCAACACAGTATAGGTCATATGATGCCCAAACAGAAAAGATGATGTTGGCTGACCTTGGGTGTTACTAAATTGAATACAACACCAGGGATCAAAACCACCTCACCTGCTGGGAGCTAAGAGCTGCATAGACTCCAGTCATTGGAACTCATTTAGTCGCCTCTTTTGATCAGGCAAAGACAAACAGTAGCTGCAATTGTTAAACCTCAACCATTAAAGGCAAACACACAGCCACAAAGGGCAATGAGCTTTAAACATAACATGTGTTTAGTTATAACATACCAACAAGCCAAATGAAAATAGTATCACTGAAATCCTTCAAAAATTATGCTGCGGAAACCAATTGTCTATGGACAGACAAAGCCACACCATAATATATCCCTAAGGTCTCAGGCAATATAATAATGTCAGGCCCATACCAAGTATAAAGCCACATCTGACACATTTTTCAGGACTCAGCCATCTGTAACTATGGTAACAAGATATAACCTTACCTCAAGGAAGTTTCAGCAGTTTTTGTAGCAGACGACAGTTGCTCGGCAACATAACTTGTTCTCTCCTTCACATCATTGAGATGTTGGTCACTGGACAACATTCCATTCTCCCCTCTTATTGCCTTAAGCTCTGTCTGAAATACAATATTTCAACATTTTCTTCAATAATTGTGATAGTTTCTTAGTTTGGCTGACACATGTTATTCAGAATGATTCCGTATATAATTATAATATACTACATAATTACTAACTGCAATAATTCAAAACACAGTTTAAAGGGAAAACGTCTAGGACCCTTTAAAGCTGAAATTTTTAGCCAAACGAAATTGTAAACCTGAAATACATTGTAATGTCAGTTTGGGCGAAAGAAAATTGTGCAATATAAAATATGTTTCATTTGTTATTGATATAGAATAAGCATGCAAAATCTTGTTCAGGAATTTTTTGAGTACCCAAAAGGGTATTATTTTTCAAAACTTTATGTTAAGAATCATAGGTCTTAGTAAGCTAATAATGGCTCAAAAGACATGTGTAAAGTATCAAGTGAATGCCTTTAGTGGTTCTTGATGCTTCTAATATTGCATTTGTTCCACACTGTACGTTTTATTGTTTCTAACTTTAAAGGCCCATTATGTCACAGAAACACATTCATTTTTATTCATCGATTCAAAAGCTTTTTTATTTTTAGTGTCCTGTTCTAGTTCATTGAACAATCTGTTGCTCTGTTGCCTTTTGGCAATTAGTAGTGATGGTGATTTAGTATTTTGTATGGTTTTCAAAATACTACTTTGTTTACATTTTGCTACTTTTATAACAAATAATTTCACATTCAGCACTACTTTCTTAAGGTGATAAGCATCTAACATGCTCTAAAACAATTATTTAAAAGTTATAAAACTTATGTTTGCCATTTCTAAAAAAGGAAATATTTTTTCGTTTCTGAGACATAATGCCCCTTTAAGATTTATCTACATTTAAATCTAAATGACATGTTCTTTGGCTTAGGACATAATTGTTTCTACCTATAAGAACTGCTTCCTGATTATATCATCAATCCAAAGTCATTTTAGGAATTTCTGCAGTTCACCTTTTGACTTTGGCACAGTTATTGGATTCTGAAGTTTATAGATCTTCTATTTTAAACTTTGTTAATGTCACTTGATTAAATTTCATCTAAAATTTTGTTTGCAAATGACTACAGTTTATTCAAACGCAGCAGCAGCCATCTTGAAAACACTGAGGGGTGTTTACATCATTTTGAAATAAGGGAGGTAAAAATGAAAAAGTACCATTTACTTACCTGCAGAGTTTTCACCTCTTGTTTCAACTTTGTAACAGTAGACTCGGCAAGCACTGCTCTTTTCTGGAAAAACAAAAACAAACAGCAAGTTTCAGCACTGAGAAAAATATGCTTTCCCTTGAACAGAACACAAACCCACAGAATACTATGTACTATGTCCAAGCTTTTTTAAGTGAGCTACCCAAGTGCTTCAACATTTTCTCCCAAATTTGTGAACAGTTCTATTCTGTCATATACTTCCCTGCTATATTTATTTGGTACAGAGACTATAGTGTAAATAGACTGATGTAACATTATCAAGACCAATATACATTCACCTACGTGGTTGCACTGCTGATCGTGTGTAATTTTCATGACCTTTGCTTGCTAAGTACCATGTTATTTAATGTTAAGTCAGATGATGGTTAAATATATGGTCAGGTAAAAAGCTAAGAACGGCAGTTCAAAAATGGCAAGCTTACAACACCTAGCTTCTGTTTTATTTATTAGATTTGATAATAAAACAATGTAGAGAGTTTAAACTCTGGGTTAGCATCATATTTAGCTTTAAAGTATTTAAACAGTGATGTTACACTGAGAGTTATATACTATAACAGTACAAAACTTTAGGCTGCAGAAATAACCGGGAGAGAAAATTATGCTATCTGACTAAGATGCAAACAAGCAACACTGAGATGGTTCCCGGCTCTTCTAAATTTGCTGGTTTTTTTTTTACTTCTCCCATATTATCATATACGTGTACTATCAAATTTGTTTGAAACAAAAGTTTTTGCCTGATCACTGGATACAAGTAGACTTATCAGTGGATACAATCATGTAGACCTTTCAACCTAACACAAAATTCTCAACATTTTAATCAAGGTAACAACTTACTGTTGTAGCTGATAGATTCTGTTCCACTTGCTCCATGGCATATTCCATAGCCTTCGTCTCTTCCACTTCCTTCTTCTTTTGTTCAACCATCTGACGTTGAAGCTCTGAAATTCTGAAAATTATCAATGAACAATCTAAATGGCTGTCATGAATTATTTTTTTGATATTAAAAATAAACAAATGGAAAATTGAACTGTACATATCATTTAAAGTTTAGACGACACATAAAAATGCAGATTAACCCTTACCAAACTTAATGTCATAAATGAGCTTGCCCATCTTGCAATCTGGACAAAATCATTCGTCATTTTAGTATGAAATTTCATTTCAAAATAAGTACTGACTGAATAGCAAACAGTGCAAACCATGGTCTTGGTCCACACCACTCACATGGGCAGATTTATAGCTGCTAGCAGGTTAAGATATACTATAGTAACTTTCAGTTGTGCACAAACTGCAGCTCTCAAAAGTGATTCTTAATCACAATATATATTTTCCAAGGTGATTTCAGTAAAACACCAGCAGACAGCATAATAATTATCACTACTTTACAAGTCATATGGCAACATTCCTTCTTTAACAGTGGAGTAAGAAGTAAGGTGTCCTTTAGTGAATTATAAAAGGAATAATTGGGCATGGAAGTAGATTCACTGATCTTCTTTAACCTTTTAAGCTAGCTAAAAGCAATTTGACATAAAAGAATTCATTCAAAGTTCCTTGAGAGATTCGAACCCAGACTGGTGATGGAAGTGTTTTGATGTTAGCAATACTAGGATCATGACTTATTATTGACACCAGTCTTGACCAGTATTAAAAGTCTAGAAATAAGATTTATATAACTAAAAAATCTACACAGTGCTTTTCCAATACATGTACAAAGATTTACATCAGTTGCCAGAAATATGAAAATGTACGGGTCTTGAAGAAATTTCCGGTTTCATGTGAAGATACAAAATGAATTATAATCAACAACAACAAAATCACTTAAAACAAGAGGGCCATGATGGCCCTGAGGTCGCTCACCTGTATATAGGCCCCCCACCCCCGGGCCAATTTTTACCCAAGGGCTTTTATTTGTTTATTTGAACAGACTTGGTAGACACCCATAAGAAGATGTTTCATGCTAAACATCTAAGTTCTAGCTCATTGGCATTTTTAAAAGAAGATTTTTAAAGTTTTTACTATACACATATAGTTAAAAACAATGTCACCCCTGGGGCAGGGCCAGTTTTGACCCCCAGGCGTTTATTTTAACAAACTTTGTAGATATTTACTTAAAGATGTTTCATGCTTAATATCTAAACTCTAGCTATTTGGGTTTTTCCAAAGAAGATTTTTAAGTTTTTGCTATACACATATAAGGAAAATCAATGACCCCCCCCCCCCCCGGGCGGGGCCAGTTTTGACCCCAGGGCTTTTATTTGAACATACTTGGTAGACACCCATTAGAACATGTTTCATGCTAAATATCTTAGCTCTAGCTCTTTGAGTTCTTTAAAAGAAGATTGTTTAAGTTTTTACTACATGCATATAGGGAAAATCAATGACCCCCTGGGGCGGGGCCAATTTTGACTTCAGAGCTTTTATTTGAACAAACTTGGTAGACACTCATTAGAAGATGTTTCATGCTAAATATCTTAGCTCTAGCTCTTTGGGTTCTTTAAAAGAAGATTTTTTAAGGTTTTTACTATATGCATATAGGGAAAATCTATGACCCCCTGGGGCAGGGTCAATTTTGACCCCAGGGCTTTTATTTGAACAAACTTGGTAGACATTCACTAGAAGATGTTTCATGCCAAATATCTAAGCTCTAGCTCTTATGGTTCTTTAAAAGAAGATTTTTTAAGTTTTTACCATATGCATATAGGGAAAATCAATGACCCCCGGGGCGGGGCCAATTTTGACCCCAGGGCTTTAATTTGAACAAACTTGGTAGACACTCACTAGAAGATGTTTCATGCTTAATATCTTAGCTCTAGCTCTTTGGGTTCTTTAAAAGAAGATTTTTTAAGTTTTTACTATATGCATATAGGGAAAATCTATGACCCCCTGGGGCGGGGTCAATTTTGACCCCAGGGCTTTTATTTGAACAAACTTGGTAGACACTCACTAGAAGATGTTTCATGCTTAATATCTTAGCTCTAGCTCTTTGGGTTCTTTAAAAGAAGATTTTTTAAGTTTTTACTATATGCATATAGGGAAAATCTATGACCCCCTGGGGCGGGGTCAATTTTGACCCCAGGGCTTTTATTTGAACAAACTTGGTAGACATTCACTAGAAGATGTTTCATGCCAAATATCTAAGCTCTAGCTCTTATGGTTCTTTAAAAGAAAATTTTGTAAGTTTTTACTATATGCATATAGGGAAAATCAATGACCCCCAGGGGCGGGGCCAATTTTGACCCCAGGGCTTTAATTTGAACAAACTTGGTAGACACTCACTAGAAGATGTTTCATGCTTAATATCTTAGCTCTAGCTCTTTGGATTCTTTAAAAGAAGATTTTTTAAGTTTTTACTATAGACCCTTTCATTTAAGACTGTATTCAAGTTGTCGCCCTTGGATGACGTCATTGGGGGATACGGTGGACAATGCCGATACGATTAAGTATAATAATAGAGGGATATAAAGATCTTAATCCTTTCTTTTTTAAGATTGGCAGATTGAAATTGCCAAAATTGTGTGTAATTAAATAAGATATTACATAAAAAGGATGGTGAAATGAATAAATATGTTTACTATATAATATGGTTAACGATTTGTTTTAATAGTAGACCATATTCCTGGGTAACTGATCATGATTACCATTTTCGTTAGATTCTTAATCCAGGCAGTTAAATCGTACTAACTTGCTAATACCAGAGATATAAATAATGTATCTAGGTCTCTGCTAATATAAAATACCCAAAATATATTTTGAGTTTCAAAAATGTAAGGATTCTGTAGTTTCGAAAAACGGCTGCGTAATAATTAATTGCAAGATACTGGTTTATTAAAATAATTTTGATTTAAGCATTACTAAGACAAAGAAAAGAAAACAATATAAATCTATGTAATTTAAAAAAAATGTAAAGGCATAAAAAATAAAAGTTCTTTTGAATGTACAGGACTGTATACTATTTAGTCGGCAAAAATGCACTCTTAAAAAATCGTACATCACACCAATATTAATTAAGCTGGTAAAGTAATATTTTCAACTTGATACTTTTTAATTCATACTCTGCTTTTCAAATATTTTAAAAAGCACAAAAAACAACAACAAAAAAACAAGAAAAACAAGTTGTTATTAACTGAATTATAATTTTACGTATTTTGACTGTGCCAGTTGGTAGGACTCTGGATCGAGTATCAATCAGTAAGGCGTGACCAATAAAGTCCCTAGGATAATCCATAACAAAATTCGGACCATAAATATTTTGACAACTAACAAAAGTGACGTAATCTGATGTAATGTTATAACTCTAAAAAATGCACCCTGGTGATTTATGATTTATGATGTCACAGCCAAGTGCCGCTTGTATTGCGACATATGTACCCTTTAATTAATAAGTTACGGCCCAGTGGCGCTTATATATACACATCTATTTATCTATAAAATAAGATGCTGGGAAAAGGTCTTTAAAGAATAGATTTTTAATATCAAAATTATCTTATTATCGTCTGAACATTGCGAATCTAAAATTATAAAAGTCAATGCCACATAATGGTTTTCGTTCTTTCCGGAATATTTATAAAATTATATCCTTCACTGGTTCTTTGAAATATTTTTTATACGGCATAATGAAAAAGAATGCATTCTGTTATTGTTCTATTAAAGCTTGAAAAACAATCATTAAAAGACATTGGCAATCTTATTTTCAACACGGATTTATATTACTAATCACGGATTTATATTACATAAATCCGTGTACTAATGTAATATAAATCCGTGTTTTCAGGTTTGTCACAAATATGCCAGAATTTTCTAAATGACAGAAAATAACACAGAAAACTAGAAAATGGCCATTTAAATTTATAATAGGCAATTTCGGTGTGTATAGGTGTTTGTAAAATATTAAAATTTGATTTAGTTACTAGCTTTTTATCCTGGCATTTGAGAAAATCTAGATCTAATAAAAATATTCACTTTGAAATTTCGCTGTTTCACTCCGTTGCGACACAGATTTATAAATCTGTGGTAGTGAGAATTAATCTCAATCTTTGCTTTTGTATTTTTTCTATTGTCTTGATATTGAATTTATGTATGCATGCGTAAATTTTTACATGTTATAATCATAATTGAACGATCAGTATTTACGCATTTAACTTTTCAATAAGCTAACTTTCTATGCGGCATGCATTGTTTTATCCCCCATTTACGTCACATCCGGTAAGGGAAGTAACTCTTCACTGACTGTTATCGCTTAAATGAAAGGGTCTATATGCATATAGGGAAATCAATGACCCCCTGGGTTGGGGCCAATTTTGACCCCAGGGCTTTTATTTGAACAAACTTGGTAGACATTCACTAGAAGATGTTTCATGCCAAATATCTAAGCTCTAGCTCTTACGGTTCTTTAAAAGAAGATTTTTTAAGTTTTTACTATATGCATATAGGGAAAATCAATGACCCCCAGGGGCGGGGCCAATTTTGATCCCAGGGCTTTTATTTGAACAAACTTGGTAGACACTCACTAGAAGATGTTTCATGCCAAATATCTAAGCTCTAGCTCTTATGGATTTTTAAAAGAAGATATTTAAAGTTTTTTCTTTTGGTTGCCATGGCAACCAGAGTTCTGCATGGAATTAAATTCTTTGAACAATTTTTAAAGGTGACCACCAAAGGAACATTCCTGTGAAGTTTGGATGAAATTGGCTCAGTGGTTTATGAGGAGATGTCATTTAAAGCAAAAGTTTACAGACGAACGGACGGACGACGGACGGACGGACGCCGGACGAAAAGCGATCACAAAAGCTCACCCTGTCACTTTGTGACAGATGAGCTAAAAAATGGATGTAAAAATACGGATGTCTGTACATGAAATGTTCCTAAAATCAAGATATAATACCTATCAGCATCCTGTAACTTTTTTCTTCTTAACTCCTCCAACTGTCTTTTTAATTGTAGATTTTCATCTTGTAACTGTAATGAAAAATGTTAAAATTACTACAATATAAGTTACTACAATCATGAATGTACATGTACTATCTAAAAGTATCCAAAGTTATATTATGCCGGCTCGCCACGGCGAGCCGGTATTACGGTAGGATTTTACTGAGAAACAACCTAAAACTCCGAAGCTATCCAAAAATTTAATCGAAGCTTGGCTTCCAGCTTTCTACAAAATTTATCTATCAGGGCTAGGATCCAAAATTATTTAGCCAATCAAATTTAATCTTACATAGCGTCAAAAAACCTTCAATTTTCACGCCATTTTTAAAAATCAGCAAGTATTGTTTTGAGCGCAAAGATATAATGATGATTAAAATGTTTGTCTTTATGAATTCTTTTCAATAAATCATATTTACACTGACTTCTGATTTAGCGATTTCACCTGTTTTCTCTGTAGTAAGTTTTTGTTTGGTTAATTAACATAAGTGTACATCTGGTTCTGTGCATTTTTTATTTTTCCTTTTTTCCGGTCATTTTATCCTTTCCGGTATTTAGTGTATGTATTTACTGGCCGGGATCCGGGACGCCCGGGATCCGGGATCGTATAAGATATGGAGGAAAAACCTAATGAACTATATTTGTGTTGATTGTTGTCGTAATAAAAGGCCATAAAACGTTAATTTTTTTTATTGTATACAATGAACGTTAAATTAATTTAACTTAGAATATAGATATATTTAGAGCTATTTATTAACAAACTTAAAATGCGGAAATCACAATACTTATAATTATATGCCTAATTAATTGGAAAAATCAAAGACTATTTTCTTGAATTGGTCAAATCCCGGGATCCCTATATGTTTTAAAACGATCCCAGCTTTTCTGAAAACTATATACTTGAACTGGCCAATCCGTGAGATATATTTACATTTTAATACGATCCCAGCTTTTCTGAAAACTATATTCTTGAACTGGTCAATTCCCGGGATCCCTATATGTTTTAATAGGATCCCGGCTTATCTGAAAAACATCTTCTTAGCCTGGTCAATTTCTGGGATCCCTATATTTTTTAATAGGATCCCGGCTTTTCTGGCTGAATTGATTGACAACTTGTGTTTACTTTAGGACTTGTGCCTCTCATTCCAATACTAAATAACATACATGTATTACAACTTAATTTTGTATAAAGAGACATCTTTATGAAATCTACCTATCTAACATTTTGTGGTCAAGGTCAACAGGCCATATAGTAAATGTGCATAGACATAGGTTCTTCATTCAACCTGTTTACATGCACCTTCATATATACTCATACTCATCTTGGTTAAACTGAGAGAACTTTATATGTCACTTTCAGTCAATGAGTTTAAGATTTTGAATTAACTGGCCCGAATTCCAGTTTTGAATTTATTCTACTAAATAATTAACAAAATTTTCTTAAATTTACACTGGCCTGAACTTATATACACTGGCCATCGGGCACCGGGCCAGTGTTGACTTCACTTTTATTTTGATGTTCGCTGAAGTCTCTTCAGCTAACAGAACTGTCATTTTTACATTTAAACACACCCCTTGAAAAAAATTACGAAGCGAGTCGCTACTAGCTTTTTTAAAAGCTAACCTTGTCTTGTATTATTATGGACAATCAGTATAAGAATTTTGTTGCAAAGAAATATGGTGATACAATAATTATGCAATATTTTCATTTTACAGACACTTGCTAACATATTCTTCAATGTGGAGTCTACAATGTCTTTGCTTTCTAGTATTGTCAGCAGAACATTGACAAACAAAGAACATTTCATTACATGTATTTTGTGAAAATATATAGATGTAATTCATATATAATATAAAAATGTTTTATGAGCGCCATTTTAATTAGAATTAAAAAATGCTTTACAAAATGCAGTAGTATATAAAATCTAAATTCTTCAATTTAGTTACCAATTAATGTAGAAAGTTTGAAAATAAATCATGAAAACATTCATTCTCTAGTAGTAACAACATCATATACCTTTTGAAGTTCAACATGATTGGTAACTGGAGTATCTACATGTCTTGAATTTCTTGAAACAATAGGAACACTGCCGTTAACATTGTCAGAATTTTTACTTGAGCTCACTGCAGCATCCGATAAAAAGTCCGGTAATCTATTAACTAAACTTCTGTGTGCCGGAACACTGTCTTCTGTGTCTGAATTTTCATCGAAGTCACTGTGAACATCGGCACTATTCCCTTGTCTACGATCTGAATCTTCTATACTTGAATAATCAGTGCTGTGAAAATTTGTATCACCAATATCGGGACCATTGTCCGTGATACCTCGGATGGTAAAATCTGGAAGTTCTAAACCTCTTGGTGAGGTTCCGATACCATCTGAATAATGATCTTGCACAAAATCTGGCAATTCACCAGTCACATGTAAGTTTGGCACACTATGTAAATTATCATCGTCATTATCATCATTCACTATAGGAACATGTTGTTGCTGTTGTAAAGGACTAGACCTTTCATTACTTTTACCACCACTTCCAGACAAAAACTTCTTGAATGAAAATGGGTTTGCTGATTTGCCTTTCTTCTTTTGTTGCCCTTGTTTACCTTCATCTGAAATAAATTATTCTAATTATATGTTTTGTCTGTTTGATTTACTTACAATTGCATCTGAATGAGCCTCGATTGTATAACATATGTCCTTTATTATAACATTAAATGGAAAAATGGCTTATGTGAAACAATCTTTGCTTAGGGAATAAGCTATTTTCATAAGCCTAATTTTAGTTAAGGTATTATGCATTATATGTTGATCAAATCCTTTTTAAAAGAATTTTTTTAAGCATTAAATTGTTGTTTAAGCATTAAATAGTCACTGTATAAAGAATATCAATAAATCAATAAATTCAACAATGTAATTTAAGCATTATATACTTTTCAAGAATAATCACTGTCATGCAACACCTAAAATGAAACCAACTGAATATATTTGAGCCGCGTCACGACAAATCCAACATAGTGCAATTGCGACCAGCATGGATCCAGACCAGCCTGCGGATCCACACAGTCTGATCAGGATCCATGCTGTTCGCTATCAGTTTCTCTACTTGTAATAGGGTTGGTAAGTGAACAGCATGGGATCTGATCAGACTGCGCGGATGTGCAGGCTGGTCTGGATCTATGCTGGTCGCAAACCCATTATGTTGGTTTTGTCATGGCACGGTTCATATATAAAATTTCCAATAAAATATGTTAACTGTGATACATAAACCATCATATGTTGATGTCCAATTGACACATGATCACCGGTTAAGCATAGTGTCAAAATCATATATTTATATGTTTAAATGATATAAAAACATACATAGATAAATTTTCATAAAACTATGTTACGACTATGTAATGCTATAATTGGACGAAAAGATATACATTGTAGTGCACATTATTTTCCAGTTGTGTGTCCCATTATATTATTTCCCAGGTGTTTAAAAAATAAGTCTCTGCTGCCAGGTGTATAAAAGATTGCAGAAATTACTTAATAGTTACAGCTGATAACAGAATCAGAAAACCTTGGCTCTTATTCATAATAACTTTGGACTTAATACAGATTGAAAGTAGTTCTACAACAAGATTTTAGGTGTTAACAAAGCAGACAATGTAATATTCTATAATGTATAACAAAATGTATATATTTGATATCCTAAGGAAAATAAAGTCTGTATCAGTAAAAATATGATTGAAAGTATGTCTGAGTTAAAAATGCCAACTGATGTACAATTATAACCAAATCCTAGTTAATGTCCACAGGAAGAAATTTTGTACTTTCGGTTTCTACACAGACTACAGCCATAATAATAAGTATATTGAAAATAATGCACTGTTTACTTTTATATCTATAATTTACTTAATTTAGGTGGACTTTTACTTGAATTATTAGATTAAAGCTAGCTTACATGTTTAGTTTAGTTTAGACCAAAATACCATATCCATTCTGTGTATTCTCACTATCACATTCATACCTGTGATTTTCTCACTTAATTGGGAAGTGGCCTTAGCCTCTTGATTTCGGGCAAAATTATCGCTAAAATTGCTGATTTGGGAAGTAAAAAAGCTGGTTTATGGTCAGATTTTTGGGAAAACTGCATGATTTTTTTGAGAAAATTTCAATTGGGAAGAGGCCTTTTATTTCGGGGTCTGATATATAAGTAGGAAAATCACTGCATACATGTGACAACTGAAATGGGTCAAAACTGGATATTCAGTTAGACTTAGCAGTGATTTTCCTGCTTATATAACAGACTCCGATAAAGGGCCTCTTCCCAATTGAAATTTTCTTTAAAATCATGCAGTTTTCCCAAAAATCTGAACTTAAACCTGCTTTTTTACTTCCCAAATTAGCAATTTTAGCGACATTTTTTCCCAAAACTAAGAGGCTAAGGCCTCTTCCAAATTAAGTGAGAAAAATCACTGTATAGATGCCTCAAAACGGTGAATAAAAAAGGGTGAACACCTGTACCTTGGAACTGTTTATTATGTCATTTTGCTGACAATTAGCATCATAATAATATTTAATCCATTATCATCCAGAATATGGACAGATAACAAATTTAAAGGCTGCAAAGATACATCAAGATTTCGATTCGATTTCGATTTAAGACACCCTGATTTCATTTTTTTTTATTTGATTCATGTGTGATAACTATTTAGTCTTTAGCTGACAAATCTGCTTATTTGCTGTAAAAGTCAGTGGCCCTTGACATTTTTTTTCATTTTTTTAGTTGTCTCAACTTATTCAAGTTATTGTCATGATGGTATTATAAATGTGTTCCGGAGATTATTTAACATAACACTATTTTTCACAGGATAAATGAGTGGAATGCCTGAGTTTATACTCGGTTTCACAAAAACATTTTTACTTTTCTAGTCAAGTTAGCTTCTAGACTAGTTAGCCAGGGGTTAGTATCTCGAAGCTATCGTTAGCATAACGACTATCGTATACCTCTCGTTAAGGTTTTCACCGCTATCTCGACGCTCTCGTAATTAACGAATAATCGTTAACATGTCCAATTATTAACGGATGCCTAGAGGGTGTCTTAAGGCTCTCGTTACTATCATTTTGACACAAAAGTAAGAAAGGTGCGATTTTAAAGTACATAAAAAATGAGAATTATATCATTTTATTGATAAACAAGAGCTGTCCGTAAGACAGCGCGCTCGACTTTTTTATTGCTTGCCAATAAAAAAAGTTTTTGCAGTAAAAGGCAATACAAGAACCAAGATTCTAAGTCGATAAAAGGCCTTAATTTTTAAAACAAATCCTTGACAGAGTTACCTTCTCTTGCGTACAGATGGGGGTAATGATGTGAAATAGCATTAAAAGTTTCAAAGCAATATCTCAAAGGGTTAAGGCAATAAGTGGATTTTACCCATATTCAATGTATTTTCTAAGTCAAAAAGGGGCATAATTCTGTCAAAAACCTTGACAGAGTTATGTCCTCTTGTCTGTTGATGAAGGTCGTGATGGTAAACAAGTATGGTCAGTTTCAAAGCAATACCTCCAATGGTTTTGAAATAAAGTGAGGTGGTACAAAAAACTTAACCAAGCTCAATACACTTTCTAAGTCAAAAAAGGGCCATAATTCTGTCAAAAACCTTGACAGAGTTATGTACTCTTGTCTGTAGATGGAGGTTATGATGGTGAACAAGTATGGTAAGTTTCAAAGCCATACTTGTAATACTTCTGAAATAAAGTGGGGTGGTACGAAAAACTTAACCAAGGTGTGACGCCAACGCCGACGCCGACGCCGACGCCGGGGCGAGTAGGATAGCTCCCCTTTTCATAGAAAAGTCGAGCTAAAAATGATGAACCGACATAAATATAGTATTGTATTTCTTTTTCTCATGACTTTTCACAGGCCCGTAATAGATTTTATTGTGTAAATTCACTTAAAGAACTCTTTAATACAATTCCAAAAAAATATCATTGATTATTTGAAAGAGATAAACTTGTATTCTTGGATCTAATTGGCTCATTTTTTATTGTCATTTACAAAGTTTTACATAACATGTTAAGCCTATTATAGCATTCGGCACGATATGGCCAGTTATGTGTTGACGACCCGTAAAAATCCAAACAAACAAAATTGTTCTCACATATCAAACATTATGGAAACTGTAAAGCCGTAAAGGCTCTTTAATTTAAGACTTATATTTGAATGCGGATGAAAAAAAAACATATCATAACTTAAACAGCGAAAGGAATAATCTCCGTAATGTGTAATTTTGCACAAGAAAATATAAATAAATATATGCATACATCATGCTGAAAATTCAACAAAATTCAAACTTGTTACAGAATTATGTTTCGAAAAGTAAACTGTGATGTATTATTTACATCATGAAGAAAAGTGCTTTACGTCAGCTGCAAAAATCGGTACCACAAAAAGGGATGTAATATATAGAAATGTTGTTTGTTTATCATTTCATAGTAACAAATATTTCACTCGCCAACCCCAGATGTTATATTTTCAACTCGTTATATTTTAATTTATAATACAACAAACATCCTTTGTTTAAAACAAAATGAAAATTTATCCACATTAATTAACAGCAGCCATGTATATATTTAGTAATACAGATTTTTGACAGGTTATATATATGGCCGTATATAAACGATAACCCGAGCCGCCAGGTGAGAGTTATATTGCAAACAAAATATATCGGCCATATATCCTGTTAAAAATCTTTATAACGAATTTACAATACTGCAGAAAAAAGAGAGATTTCTTGATAAATTGGCAGCAGCTGTGTATATAAACTATATTTATAAACGCCAATTAAAACTGACGTACCAAACTTGCAGTAACAAACGTGCAGTATTATAAAAGATTTTATAATACTCCACGTTTGTCACGTCACTTTTCATTGGAGAATCGTGACATTTTTATAGTTTTATATACACTGTTTCTGGCAATTTTCTAAGAAATCTTACTTTTTTTCTCAAAAAAAAGGGAAGTTCGCGGTTTTATAAATTCGTTATAAATTTTTCTGACATGTTAAATGGTTGTAGGCAATATAACCATCACCTAGCGGGTGGGGTTATATTTCCAAACAGTCGTTTATATAGGGCAATATAACCTGTCAAAAATCTTTATAACTAATAATATAAACGTCATGATTATCCATTGAAAATCGACTTTACATATTTAATATATATTTATGCTTATGAAGTAATTGTTTTGCTCATGGCGTCATTGTTAGGCGCATGACGTCTTTGCAGCTGTGTAGCAAGTGGGATTTCAGAAAGAGTTGCTGTACATATGTTTGTCTAAAGAGTAAAATTTTATTATGTTTCGTGAAAATATAGTCCACATTTCACTCAAACGGAGAGCAACAATGAAAGCAACATTTTCAAATTTGAATATTGACAGTATACTTACACCCTAAAACAACATGTTGCTATAGCCTGAAGAATGAGGGATGGTTATCTGCCCCCAGATTTTTTGACTGGTATTGAGAAGAAGCTCCACAGAATATTGGCTTTAACTAGGTAAAGTGTTTAAAATATCTGACTACACTGGCATCCTCTGCTGCTAAATCTTCAGTCTCTGCGGTTCTATATACAGTCGTTTTTCCTCTGTTTCTAGCAGTTTCTATGTTAAGTTCCCGCCCCGCCCCTCAATTTAAATCACGCCTGTTTCATTGGAACTTTCAACAGGAGCAGTTCCAATGACTGTTCTCTTTTTTTAAAGGAACCGTTTTCGTATGTTTACCACTATCACAATTGATATTATCAAAGCAATCGGGATTTTCATCGCAAAACAAGTCTATATTGCTAGACGACAGACCGGCGGATCCTGCACGTGTCATGTGATTGTGTTCCGGTTTAGCATGATCGTTACCTTATATTCACCTTCGTCTACGCAAAATAATGATTCGGTGAATATAAACAAGAGCTGCACACAATTTTCGCGGTACATGTATTCAAATGATAACGCAACGCAATCGTTAATAACTAACGAGTAAGCAACGAACGATTTCTTAACTACTGCTTTCGAGATACCCGCGCTAGTCTCTCGTTAACCAACCCTCCGTCAATCGTTAGCACGTTCGTAAACGCAAATATAACGATAGCTTCGAGATACTAACCCCAGGTTAGCTACAGCCTACCTTCGTCAACAACAACAATTTGCTTGGGTTTATCGCGTTTTCGCTGATTGCTAACATCAGGCAAATCAAATATGTCAAGATCATCATCAGCAGATGCTTTGCCATCCGTTGTCACCTTTTTATCTTTCTTAGTTACGAAACTTTTGAATGAAAATGGGTTGTCTCTGTCCGGATTTTGTCCACCTTCCGCCATACTTCCTGTTTTGGGGGAGAAGTTATTTATTCATTTATTTCATTTATTCTAAATATGGAGCAAATTTTGACACATTAAGAATATTTGTTATCCAATAAAATTTCTTGTTTTTTTTTGTGCCTCGAAACTGTTTAAGAATATAATAAAAAAGAGTATTAGTTCTATAAGGTAACAATATTAATTGTTGCTCCCACGATACAGCATTCGGGACACTTCGCGGACAGTTCTAATCGCAACTTTTCGGCACTTCGGTCATTGGCGGGAAAAAGTTGCGTAACACAAGAGTCAGATTCTTGGAGAAATGCCATTATGGTCCCTAATTCTACTTTAACATTAAGTTTTCATGATAAACTGGTAATTTTTCAAGCAGAATGAAGTGCCTGACACATAAAAATGATCTTGTCTTACGCTATGGTGGCTTTGTGCGTCGTGTTGTCGCTAGCGACAGCACGACAAACGTCAAACGGCTATTTGTCGGACTTTCGTCTTGTCGTCCTGTCGCTAATGATGCATGCCAAAGGGCGTGTTGTCGTGCGGCGTGTTGTCGCAATGTCACATTGTCGCTCGGCTCAAATCGAAGGATTGGCTTGTAAACCAAGCGACATCGCGACACACGCTGCACGACAACGCGCCGTTTGGCGTGCTTCGCTAGAGACACGACGACAAGGCGCCGTTTGGCGAGTTTTGCTAGCGACAAGACGATATAGGTTGTGTTGTCGTTATCGACAACGCAACGTGCAATATTTACCAAATCAGCCACCATAACTTACGAAGCTAACCATTTTAGTTTCAAAGAGGAAATATCCCCCTTCTTATCAAAATTTTCTGCTGATCACAGGACTGACATACACTTTTTTTAAATGCAAATATCCAAGTCATAAATTATGCTAGAGACTTATGAAATATTTCATTTTCTTCAGAAAACAATGCAGTGTTAGTTTCTTAATAATTATGCAGTTTTAGTTTCTAAATAAGTTTTCATACTTAATAACATCCCATTTTCATCCAATCACCTCCGGTCCCATTGAATCTTATCGTTTTCTTGCATTTTTTTTCAACCAATCGCTGGCCATGTTACAATGCGAAAGTCTGACTAAGAGCGATTGATAGCAAATTCAGCAGTTGTATTGAGGGGTGATTGGACAGTAAATTTGTTCCCTTTATGTTGCGGCTACTTGTAGTATGTGCAGATACCGTGGAGACACAAAATATTAAACAGGACAACACTCTTTTAAAATTATTCAAAGGCAATATCTCAGCTAAAAATCATTCAACTGGCAAACTCGTTAACTATGCGCGATGACTTAAGGTAGCGATCAATCCAATTAAGTTTCATTCGCATAAGTAGTATAAGAGAAATAGCCCGAACAAAACTTTTAAAAAAGTAAAGGACCATAACTCTGACAAAAATCATTAAACTGGAAAATGCCGACGATATGTACAACTAGACTTGGTACTGATCATTCGTGTAAAGTTTGAATGAAATTGCACCAATACGTTTTTAGGAGTAGTCCGGTACGTTAAACAGGTGGAGAAGTGATCCCTATACGTCACCACAGGTCTGTAGCTGGCGACACGAAAATAATTATCAGGACGATTTCCAGACATAAATTTGTAAATAAAAGCAAATTTAATTGCTAAAAAGAAACATATATTTAGTCATATAGACAGTCCTTTAGAAAGACGCCGTTCTTGATATGTATAATTCTTTTATATATTCCGACATATATTGAATATATCGCAATGACTTCAATAATTTGACAAAATTTTAAGTTCTTGATGTTAAACTCAATAATCAGAGTAGGAATTTCGAATTTACAACTTAATTAATAATGATCTTACAATGCGTTGTACTTAATGACGTCATTTTTGAGCGTGTGACTCAACTGCCCCAGCACTCGTCCCCATCCCCTCCCCACTCCTTCGAAATCAAATCAGTTGAAATTTCAAGTGTGGGTAAAACTAACGAGATAAGAGTCTTATATGCAAGAAATGCCGATTTGTACCAAATTCATATACGAGATGTCATGATTACATTTTCAATCATTGAATGTAGACCTTTTGTAAAATCAAGGTCAGGGGCACATGAAATACATTAAAACATGGTTTGTATGCATCCATGATCAAATCAAAGACATAAAATGACATATCAGTTAATGGCTTTAATAAATCATTAATCCAACAAATATAATGTTTCATCGTTAAATTTTAGAACAACAACAACAATTAAGAAACATCACATAATTTTGGGTAAAGTAATAATAGATATAATAAATGAATACATAATAATAATGTAAATAAATGTTGAGAAAAATCATAGTAATACAAACAGCTTTAAACGCAATAATATAGATCTACCTGTTTACTTTTTTAATTTATTCTAGTAAAAAAGGAATATCAATGCGTTTTACTCGGTTAATTTTTAAATATTGTTATTGTCATCCATGTTAACAGACAATTTATCTTATTGTTTTTATGACCCCAAAGGGCGACATATTAAAATCGTACCGTCTGCCCGTCTGTCTGTCTGTCCGTCCGTGTGTCCCCACTTACACAACATTCGTGTCCGAACTGTTACTTTATCATTCAATGAGGGATTTTAAAATAACTTGGCACAAATGACTTACACATCAGAACGATATGTTGCGACGGAGAACCACAAAGGTCAAGGTCGCACTTACAGTTTGAAGGTTCACATTATCACAATTAGAGTATAAAGGTACATGCTTTCGTGTTCGGACTGTAACTTTGTCATACATTGAAGGAATATAAAATAACTTGACATAAATGTCAACCACATCCACACGGGGGAGGAAGTGTTACACGAAGGATGGAGTTCTTATGATAACTTGTTTGGAGTTCTTATGATAACTGTCTCGGAGTTCCTGGAAAACGTTACGGATTTCTATGGAAAACCTTTTCATAGAGTTGGAGGAAACACATGAAAAATGGTAAGTTTTACCTTTAAATGGGGAGTTTGAGGTGCTAAATTAAACTTTGATAATTAAGCTTGCCCTACATATTGTATTATGTTTCAGAAAAACCTTTTAGTCCATTTTTTATCGCCTTTTTTAAAAAAAATCTGGTAGTTTTGAGTAAAATTTCCAAATTACTTGCTTATTTGTACATATTGACCTTTTCATTTGTGATCTTCTTCATTGCTAAACCTAATTACCTAATTATAATGGTGATTTGCAAACATAAAGTCAAGGTTAATTTTATATCCGATTTTTCAAATGTCACCGAGTTCTTGTGATAACTCAAAATATGTTCCGGAGTTCTTATGATAATTTTTGTTACTGCCAGTGTGTTTCTTGGCTTAATAACAGCACGTTCAAGCGTATTTTATTAGTCAATAAGTGTGTTAATCATAATGAAGCAAAGCACGCTTATCATTTGCACAAAAAAATGGTTATATAATGTTGGTTTAGAGTGTATTTCATTTCAAAAGATTTTTTTTTACCTCCGTTTCTTGTGTTTGTTTGGGTTTTTATGTGTTTCTTTGAGTTTTTTTTTTATTTTATTTTATTGGAATGTCTTTAAACATACTTGAATGTAGAGCATTGACTTACAGGATAAAAATACGCTTTGAATTTAAGCATGATTTCTTCATGTATATTTTATTCCTTGCAGTTTTAGAGAACATTAAGTAACTATGCTTTCGGTCTGCCGAAACAAAATATATGTAAATGGTTTGTAGCAAAATAGGAAGTAATATGCACTACCTTTATCTAAATTTAATGAAGTGGGTGTCATCTTTAGGTATTCAACGGATATTTTAATTTCTAAAAGGTATCATTTTTGTCATAGAAATGTATAAAGTTCTATGACAATGATATGACAATACAAAGAAAGTAAGTCTTTGATAACATATGTGAGTCACCGTTAGCTTCATGCCGTTCATCGACCTTGTACAGAAATCTCCATATTTCGGAAAATTTGTGCATACATTTTTCTTACCAAAGTTGAAGTCCTTCGGGTATTTCCCTATATAATCCTAGTTGTGGAAACTCTGCAACAAATTTTCTGTAATTGATAACACAAATATATCGTTCGAACCCGTAGGACATGTGCAAATCTGTAGAAGAGATCGGTAGTGATCGGTTGATTTTTTATGTATGAAAAGATCATACATTTTGGGCACACGGGTGTGAAGGATATCCGGTTATATACTTGTTGTTAATGGTATAAAATGATACAAATTACTTAGCCACTTCTTGCTTGAGTGAAACCCATATATATATCGTCTGCTTAAGAAAGGCGGTTGCTTAAAACATGTAACCAAGAAAAAAAGTGCAAGTTTTTAAGATTTTTGCCTGGCGGTTTAAGCCATGTTACTGCTAAATACAGTTGACCGCTGATTCAGGTTTTCCTGAAGATAGCTTATCACCTGCTTATCCTTTGTAGAATGTACACCAAAGCAGTTTCAAATAAAATATTTTGGGTTATTTACCGATATTTTTTTTGAGAAGTGTAAACTGTCGGCTGCTGTATGTTTCATTATACATCTGTATGCAACTTTTTTTTATAACTTTCGAAGGATGAAGTGATTGCTTACAATATCCTTCATCATACAAGTTAAGATTATGTTTCGTTCCAGGAACGATATATTCATGAAAGTTAAAGATCCTGTAACACATATTTTTCATGGTTTTATTTCTAGAAATGAAATACACTCTAAACCAACATTATATAACCAAATTTTTGTGCAAATGATAAGCGTGCTATGCTTCATTATGATTAACACACTTATTGACTAATAAAATACGCTTGAACGTGCTGTTATTAAGCCAAGAAACACACTGGCAGTAACAAAAGTTATCATAAGAACTCCGGAACATATTTTGAGTTATCACAAGAACTCGGTGACATTTGAAAAATCGGATATAAAATTAACCTTGACTTTATGTTTGCAAATCACCATTATAATTAGGTAATTAGGTTTAGCAATGAAGAAGATCACAAATGAAAAGGTCCATATGTACAAATACACAAGTAATTTAGAAATTTTACTCAAAACTACCAGATTTTTTTTTAAAAGGCGATAAAAAATGGACTAAAAGGTTTTTCTGAAACATAATACAATATGTAGGGCAAGCTTAATTATCAAAGTTTAATTTAGCACCTCAAACTCCCCATTTAAAGGTAAAACTTACCATTTTTCCTTTCGTTTCCTCGAACTCTATAGAAAGGTTTTCCATAGAAATCCGTAACGTTTGCCAGGAACTCCGAGACAGTTATCATAAGAACTCCAAACAAGTTATCATAAGAACTCCATCCTTCGTGTAACACTTCCTCCCCCGTGATCCAGACGACGCGTCGCGTCCAAGACCAATGTCCTTACCTACAAGGTCAAGGTTAAACCCATAGTTTAAAGGTACTTATTCTCACGAGAAGAGTATAAAGGTACACCTTCGTGTCCGGATTGTAACTTTGTCATGCATTGAAGAATCTTAAAATAACTTGGAACAAATATCTAGCAAATCAGGACGACGTGTCTCGAGCAAGGCCCATGTCCCTACCGCCAAGGTCAAGGTTAAACTTCTAGGTTTAAGGTATTTATGCTCATAAGAAGAGTATGAAGGTATACCTTCGTGTCCGGACTGTAGCTTTGTCATGCATTGAAGAATTTTAAAATAACTTGGCACGAATATCTACCGCATCAGGACCATGTGTCGCGAGCAAGGACAATATCCCTACCTCCAATGTCAAGGTCAAACTTATAGTTTGAAGGTACTCATGACATGCTCACAAGAAGAGTTTGAAGGTACACATTAGTGTACAGGCTGTTACATTGTCATACATTGAAATATTTTAAAATAACTTCGCCTAAATGTCTACCACATCAAGATGACGTGTCGCATCCCTACCTTCAAGGTCAAGGTTGTAAGTTTGCTATGAATAGCACTTTATTTCACAAGAACAAATATAAAGCAATAAGTTACTTTTATTCCCTTTTCTTAATACCTTTCTGCAATACTTAAGAAATCTTTTTGGGGGCTTTCGTCACTTTTGCGTGACAGCTCTTGTTAATTTTATTTTCTTTTTAATCCTATCTGCATGGTATATTTGCTCTCCAAATATGGAGGAAATAAAAGTATCTTCATTTACTATATGGTGTATGGTATATGGCTTTAAAACTGAACGTATTGCTCGAAAATGATTACCCGAATGTTTAATGAATATAGAATGGTTACACAACTCAAAAGCCAGGGACTTCAATATGAATACATATAGATCTATAAGATGTGTCCATAATATTACCACATGTTACTTTCATAAAATCCATAAAGCAGTTGCTGTGCATTTTTTCAAAGAGTAAATATATTTCTCATTAAACAAAAATAATACCTGTATACAAAACCAAAACAAGACTCAAAAACCAAAGAATGGAAGCAACCGATTTTCTGAATGATAGGCAAATGCGTGACAACAAATATAGCGTCTACGTAATAAAGCAGCAGCCTTCAGATTCATGTTAATTCTCAAAAAATAAATGAAAATGTAATTAAAAGTGAAATATTTTAAAAAGATCAAAGAGGTTAATTTACACATTGCAAACGACACTTTGAATCCAAATAGTTTACCAAATACAGGTCAAAATATGCAAAAATAGAATATACTGTGTAAGTCAAACGGTAGAAATACGGTAATAAATACTGCAAAATCAATCGACTGTAATAAATACACTTTGCAAATAACATGTAAATGAACAAATCATCGCTTGAATTGTAAATATTTATATTTTTCTTCAAACGTCATTTTTCTCAAAGTTGATTTTATTTTCTTGAACGTTAAAAGAGTCAATATATTTCTTATTAATTTAAAAAACTTAAATAATAATAATAAAAAAAACAGACAAAAACCCGAATAAATCGAAGCCTATGATTTCCTCTATGATAGACAAAGTCACAACTTAGTCAGTTTCTATATACGTGTTAATTCATATATGTATAGTTATACATATACATGTTTATTACACGTTTAGTTCACATATGGCAGAATCCGACATATTTGCAGCGTTTCGTAAATTCACGCATGCGCGGATTTATATATTTTTGTGAAACTTGCAAGTCATTAACTTATTTTCCAGACAACGATTTTATTGAAAGTGCTCCTTTCACACGTAACATCCGTCATAATTTTTACATTTAAACGTATTCATTTAAATAAGTTGATTCAATATAAATTTGTAATTCATTTCGTCTCATACTAAGATAGATATATATTATTTTAAATAATGGTGGACTATCATGCACGAGGTTGTGATACTATGCAGTCTTTAAAGGACATGGCAAACAAACTTAGAATCGATTGCATCGACGCTACTCAAGCAAGTGAGTCTGGGTAAGTGATTGCATCAAACCTATACATGTATATATATGTATCAAATCAATGTATTCGGTGTCTTGTCTCGTACGAATTCGGTGTCTTGTCTCGAACGCATGCGGTGTCCTGTCTCGTACGTATTCGGGGGTCTTGTCTCGTGTGAATTCGATATCTTGTCTCGTGCGAATTCGATGTCTTGTCTCGTACGCATTCGCTGTTTTGATTCGTACGTATTCGGTGTCCTGTCTCGTACGAATTCGATATCTTGTCTCGTACGAATTCGGTGTCTTGTCTCGTACGTATTCAGTGTATTGTCTCCTACGAATTCGGTGTCTTGCCTTGTGCGTATTCAGAGTCTTGTCTCGTACGCATTCAGTGTCTTGTCTCGTACGAATTCTGTGTCTTGTCTAGTACGTAAACGGTGCCATGTCTCGTGTTAATTCGGTGTCTTGTCTCGTACACATTGGGTACCATGTGTCGTTCGTATTCGTTGCCTGTCTCGTACGAATTCGGTGTCTTTTCATGTTCGTAAACAGTGTCTTGTCTTGTACGAATTCAATGTTTTGTCTTGCACGTTTTCAGTGTCTGGTCTCGAATGTATTCAGTGTCTTGTCCCGTATGTATGTGGTGTCTGGTATCGTACCAAGCTGTGTGCAAAGACTTATATGATGGCTTTCAGGGATACACTGAGAGACACCGGCCACGATCAGTCATTGCCGCCAGCAGATGATTTTTTTTTTAATTTAGACAAAACAGATAAACAGACAATATATTGTCGTAAACCATACAGTTTTTGTGAAACATTTCACATATACACATAAAACACATTACCCGATTTACACGAATAACACATTTTGTGGTGGCGGAAACACATGTTTAAATATCATACACAGAGCAAAGAAATTGAAGAAAATATAACGTAAACGTGTGTTGCTTATTCATTTATAGCGAAAACTTCATAACCATAATGACGTTGTCGACAATATTTTTAATGTCGCAAGATTTCGTATCTGTTAAACACTTAATTTATTTTAATCATTTTTATATAAAAGTATATGTTAAAGTACTATTTTCAGATATTTTCGTACAAAAAGTGGTATACTCATTACTTCTAAATTCCTGATTTGACATACATGTAGATAAGAAGTCCTTGCAAAACATTTTAATATCTAGTACAAATTCAATCCACTTCACTTAATTGGTTGGAGAAAAATTTTAGTACATTTTAAATGTTTTAATGTGCGTATTTAAAAAAAAGAAAGATTTTTTTTAAAGATTTCAGAATAAAAAGGTTAATTTAATTGGAGATACGCACGTTCATGTAAAATAAAACACCTCAGTTGTTTTTTTATGTCTAGGTAATATGAAAATCAATGAAGCTTCAAGGCGAAAATATCAAAATATAAATTACATCTTATTTTATATAAAAAACACCTTTAGTTATCTATGATGTATCTAGACCGATTTATGAGCTGTCATTATTAAGACTTAGTGTGTGACAAAATTAAATTTGTAAAATATGCATTAAATCAAGCAGATATAATCGCATTCCAACGTGGTTGACTTTCTTAATTTTGTTATGGTTTTGGTTTATTTATATATTCATCCATTCATTATTTTGATCGGGGCGATGCCGAAAAAGTGGTCACGTTTTTAAACGAAAAACAGTGGGGGGACTAAATAGGGCTTTTTGTCACTGTTTGAGGCCTCAAAAGGGGGGGTTATGAGGGAAAACGAGGATTTTGAAGCAATTCAACAAAATAGTAGATTGATTTCCCAATAAATCAATTATATTATGTTCATGATATAATCAAAGCACTGAAAGTACCGGAAACCTCCAGTGCATATTCGATTTGCATAAGGACGCACCTAAAGCGCATCTTCGGGACTATTGTTTAAAAGACTACGGGAGGGAAACAGATTACTTCAAAAAGGGTTGGCGGGTTGGTGTGGCTTCTCATCCTGGTAGTTGTTTGCTCAAGCCAAACTGATTACATTTTCGTCAAATAAAAAAATATTTGCTCGCCATAATTATTATGATATACAAAAACAAATATTTTACAATACATCAATACATCATTTACTGCATACACCAGTAAATAGTATATCATCATCTATGGTATGGAAAACCGAAAGTACAAATTGTATACCTCTTGGGTATACTAGTAGTTCGGATTTGGTTACTGGGCATTCTGTCCGACTTTCAATTATTATTTACCGAAATTGACTTTATTTCCCATTGTCTGTCAAATAAAATATATATATATAGTCCTGTTTTGGTAACATCTGAAGTCACGTGATAAAACTACTATCAATTCATTAAATAACAAGTACTTCCGGGATGATTATGAATAAACGTCGAGATGTTCCGATTGTTACAACTCTCTGAATGAAATTCGGTCGGAATACCTCGCCAATTACAAACAAATGATCAAATACGAAGTTTGAAATTACATTCACTTATAGACTGAACTGAGCAAATTTACGGCATTTTTGTTAATGGATGTGATATTTTCTTCATGTTGAGAGTTTGCCATATAAAATCACCTGGTTTCCGACTGTATGTTTGTTGTTGTTGGTGTTTTGGTTTTGTAATTAATTTTGGTTTTCTGGTTAATTTTTTTCTCCAGTTCGTTTAAATAAATATAGTTTCGGTTTATTGGAGACTTGTATAGGTGTTATATTAATAAGCAACTTCTATGATTTTATGTTATATTTCAGACATGTGACATCATGCTCATCTTCCGCTGAGATCATGTCCGTATTGTACTTCAATACGTTAAGATATGATTTGAAATTCCCGAAAGACCCAAGGAGTGACCGGTTTGTCTTGTCAAAGGTAATCTATTAAGGGATGGAGGACTTGTTTTCATTGGAGGGTGAAAAACTATTTTATATGGTGGCTGATTTGAAACACTTTTGTTCGTTGTATTGTCGCTAGCGAGAGCACGACAAAGCGCCAAACGGCGCATTTTCGCACTGATGTCTTGTCGTCCTGTCGCTAACGAAGCACACAAAACGGTGCGTTTTCGTGCGGCGTGTTGTCGCAATATCACATTGATGCTCGGCTCAAATCGAAAAACTGGCGACATCACGACAACGCGCCGCACGACAACGCGCCGTTTGGCGTGCTTCGCTTGCGACAGGACGACAAGACGATAGTGCGACAACGCGCCGTATGGTGCATTTTGCTAGCGATAAGGCGATAACGATATAGGTTTTGTTGTCGCTATATAGTAGTGGTAGTGGTAGTAGTTGTAGAAATGGTAGTTGTAGTAGTAGTAGAAGTGGTAGTAGTAGGTGGTGGTGGTGGTGGTGGTAGTAGTAGTAGTAGTAGAAGTAGTAGTTAGTAGTAGTTAGTAGTAGTTAGTAGTAGTAGTAGTAGTAGAAGTAGTAGTAGTAGTAGTAGTAGTAGTAGTAGTAGTAGTAGTAGTAGTAGTAGTAGTAGTAGTAGTAGTAGTAGAAGTAGTAGTAGTAGTAGTAGTTGTAGCAGTAGTAGTAGCAGTAGCAGTAGCAGTAGCAGCAGCAGCAGCAGAAGTAGTAGGTTTCGAAGTTTTGAATCTTCTTGAATCTTTGAGGAGTGATTGTGTTAAAAATCTAATTTGAAAAACTCATCTATTTATTTATTTGTAGGGGCATGCAGCCCCCATTTTGTATGCGGTTTGGGCTGAAGCGGGGTTATTTCCTGTGAAAGATCTCCTGAAACTAAGGACAATAGATTCGGATCTGGAAGGTCATCCCACCCCAGTAAGTGTTCTAATTTTATAATGATGTGTCGTTTGATTTTCTCACAAAGCTAGTCTAATAAAGAAGTTATATTAAATGAAAAAGTGACTTTACAAAATTGTCATAATAGCTTTATGACAAAAAACAAGAGCGATCAGTGATCACGTGTGTCGCCTGATGATTGCCAATGAAATTATTGCATGTTGCAGCAACTGTGTAGCAGGAGAAAAAGCCAAAACGCAACTTTTATTCAAGGGCCGCTACTCTGTAGCAGGCGACACAAAAATGCCTTATTTACGTATACAGACATTTCCTCCTTTAAAAACAAAGAAAGGCATGGAAAAATTCAAATTGTCAATTTTTTGGCACAAGAAGAAATATATATTCTCTCATTATTGATCTTGAAACGTCTAAATTTTCTTTTTACCAAACCAGCATAAATTATTTTGATTCAATACATCTGTATGTTATGTCAACGAATGTTCGATGTATAATGCATTTCTTCATTGTAATAATATAACAATTTATTTGAATTTAAATATAAAATATACAATGTTCCAACATTTTATTCTTTCAACAAAAGCAAATATATGTCATTTAGTCATCTACATATTTGTAACTTTCATAACGATTACAAATACATGTAGATGAACTAGTTAATATCTATTTTCTATCTATTCGTTCTTGTAAAGTCATATGTCTATTGTAGCGTTAAAGTTTAAAAGGAGAAAACAGAAAACACATTCTAAAGCCGATAATATGTATTGTGCTACATTTATACTTGTTTGAAATCTGCATATAGACATGTGATTTGTTTTTGTTTTCAGTGATCAACGATATATGAGCCGTGTCACGACAAAACCAATATATTGAGTTTGCGACCAGCATATTACAAGTAAAGAAACTGATAGCGAACAGCATGTATCCTGATCAGACTGCGCGGAAGCGCAGGCTGGTCTGGGTCCATGCTGGTCGCAAACGCACTATGTTGGTTTTGTCGTGACGCGGCTCTTATGTATTTGAAGCAGATGGCTTACATTCAGCCAATAAGTCATTGACAAGTTTACTTTTTTATATCAAAAACATCATTATTATGATGCTATGGTGTTTTGATTCCTATGATGGCTGATTTCTGCCATGTCTTATATGACAGTAATATATGCTATGGTGGCTAATTTGTGCCATGTCGTATTTTCGCTCCACTCGGCTGCATGTGAGGTGAAAGTTTTTTTCGCCTGGCGTTATGCGGGCGGAAAATTTGACATGGCACAAATCAGCCACCATGGATTTCTGTTATGTTCTACGAGTATGTTTTGGGCATAAAGGCGAAATATTGACACAACGAACCATAACGCTGTCGTATTATCGTATTTTCGACAGTTTGCGCTTACACAGACATTGTTGTGCCGCAATTTTGCCTACCAAGGATTTTAAGCACGAATTCGCTCGTTTTCTGATAGATATTTCATGAACGGGTAGGGCTAGAGACTTTGGGTTGGTCTCATTTTGAAGCTTAATACAAACGTGAAATAGCGATAAAAGTTTTTTTTAATTGTCTGGCCAATTGTTTTCACAACGGCCCGGGAAATGAATCCCTTGCTCGTAAGCTCGAATCTGGAGTTTCCGACCTTCTCTTAACTTATAGTTTATTTTTAAAGGGGGTCATTATTTACATTATTTTTTTTTGTTTTTTGACACTTTCAAGATGAACACAGGTTTTATTATCAATCTGGTCATATTTTTTCTTCCCAGGTCCGATACTCGTGCCTGTGCTTTTGGGGGCAAAAGATCTGAATCACGACGAATTGTTAGTTTGCCTTGTTTTGTACCGTTTGCACTTTTTGGTATTAAAATGCGAAATGACTCCATCGGCAAAATTGACTTCCGTGAAGTTGTTGAGAATGAAAAAAATAACCAGAAAAAAACGCCTAGACAAATTCATAATATTTATCGTTATGACCTTTGCCCGACCAAGGTGTCAAAGCAAAGACACGCCATACCGAAGGGGAAAATATCACACTTCCAAATGGTTCAACTTCAATGTTACTGATTTGTAAAGTTCAATGTTCCTTTTTATACTCTCAACAGCTGTTACGTAATTCCGTGCTACCATATTCTTGGAAAAAAGGCTTAAAAAAGACTCAAATCAATACAGTACTGTCTAGACGTTCTGCTTTTGAGACAGACATTCCGTTCTTACGACTATGAATGTAGCTTAATGTTTTAATGAAGAAAATATATTTTATGTAACATACTGCTACATTTTTGCAATGCATTGATTTGTGTTTTCTCGACCAGATATGATCTTGCTTTTTTAGGAATCCTTTAAAGTGGCCTTCAGCTATTTTTTGTTTTTTTTTGTTGGAAAAACAATTCTTCGATCGTTGTTTCAAACTAAGTATTTCGGTAATTATATCTCGGAAAAGTGCAATTTATCTAAAAATAGAATATCTAATAAACCCTTTACAAAAGCTGAAGGCCGTTTTAATTTAAGCAGTTAAATTATTAATTAATTAATTAATTTTAGGATTATTTATTCATTAATTATTGACTGATTTATTTATTTCAAGTACAGTTGGTTTTTGAACACTACTAATGTGTAAATATGGTTAAGCTCTGTTAAAAAGAAGAAAAAATCATTAAATTGTAATTTTATATAGATGTTATATATTAAAACGTAGCTTACCGAATCTTGTTTGATTTCAGCGGCTGAACTTTGTTGATGTAGCAACTGGGTCTCTTGGTCAGGGTATTAGTATTGCTGCCGGCATGGCCTATACGGGGAAATACTTCGACAAGTCAGAGTGAGTGGATATTTGAGTCACGATCGAAATATAAGAAATAAAACGCACAGAAATGTCCGCTTTAAAGCCGTATGATGCCTCAAAGTTCACGCTAAGTTTCTTGAAAATTTTGATAATGTATTTAAAAGTATAATATTGCGAAGTGAACAAAGAAAATAATTTACACATTGCAATCGGCGCTAAAAATCCACGTAAATAACCAAAATGAAGTCAAAATATGCAATCCAAAAAACAACATTACTGCGCTAGTAACGTAGTAGAAAAATGGTTATTTATACAACCAAAATCAATCCTTTATCACACAAAATATGTAAATTATAACTAATTGTATCTTGGAACTTTTTTCTTTTCTGAAAATCTTGGTACATTTTTTCTCAATCATAATTTTCTTGAAATATTTTGACTCGTCTGGAGACGTGCAGCTTTAATCAAAACATTGTACAGTACAATATATTTCGTTAAAGGGTTTTTAACATGGCGTAACTAGAAATACGAACCGATAACTTTTGTTAAAAAAAATCATGTACTGACCGATAACTTTTGTTTAAAAAAAAATCATTATCGCACAAAATCATAATCGCACATTCCGTATTTCTAAGATACTAATTTCAATTGTAAAAATTGACTAAAAATTAAAAAAAGCGTTGAAACGCTTTTTTACTCAAATTGGGCTAAGACTCCGATTTATAATTTAATTTCGACTATATACCGTTATTATCTTTTCCATCTCAACATTCTAAGTGTTTAGTTGGCCTATGTAAGAATTTCGAGTATTTCAATTTACAAATTGTGTATTGTTTTCTTCATCTCACTTGTTCCACTTATTAATTCTAATCAAAGACTTTATATTTTCTTTACGTCACGCACAGCATATAATTATTGTGTTTCGCATTCGTCAAAACATAAATGTCGCACCAAAATATTGTTTCATACGTGTAAAAACGTTTAATGGCAAAATATTAGTGTCGCACGAAAATATCGTTTTGTACGTGTAAAACTTCTAATGGCAAAATATTACTGTCGAACCACAAAATCAATTTGTATACGCGTATCAATTTTTAATGGCAAAACATTAGTGTCGTACCATAATATCGTTTTGTACGTGAATAAACTTTTAATGGAAAAATGTTAGTGTCTCTCCAACTTATATGATCTACTCCCTGGTTTATTTTAGGTACCGTGTCTACTGTCTACTAGGAGATGGCGAGAGTGCAGAGGGTTCTGTCTGGGAGGCATTGGCGTTTTCTAGTTTTTATAAGCTAGATAATCTAGTTGCCATATTTGATATAAACAGATTGGGACAGTGCGGACCAACCATGTTACAACATGACGTGGATGTTTTCAAAAACAGACTGGAGTCATTTGGGTAAAATAGACGATTTTCAATAATGATTTGAATATAAAAAAAACAAGAACGTGTTTGTTAAACACAAATGCCCCCGGCTCCGATTCTTGTCAGTAGCAATATTTCAAAAAATGTTTACCCATTCATCCAGTAATGGACAGAAACATTGCAAAAAAAATGTAAACAAAAGTTATATAGCTTGACAGAGTCATGGTATTTTGTAATTGTGAAATATATAAGTTGCCAAGTCATTGCTATGACTTGTGAAGTGATAAATATTCAACTTTATCAAATATATATAAATGTAAGAAATCTATACTTGGCACCCTTGACCCACTGACACTTATAGGATATCATGCAAGTTATCTTCCTACCAAATATGAAATACACCTGTCAATAAATAAAGGCTGTATGGGCAAAAATGTTAAAATCTATTTTGAGCATTGATGACCTTGATCAAACTGACCCCTAACTCCATCCAAAGGAAGAATACCATGCAAGTTATCTTCCAACAAAATATAAAATAAATCTGTCAATAAATAAAGGCTGTATGGGCAAAAGTGTAAAAATCTATTTTTAGCACTTGTGACCTTGACCCAACTGACCCATAACTCCGTCCAAAGTAAGAATAACATGCAAGTTATCTTCCTACCAAATATGAAATATATCTGTCAATAAATAAAGGCTGTATGAGCAAAAGTGTAAAAATCTATTTTTAGCACTAGTGACCTTGACACACTGATCCCTAACTCCATCCAAAGGAAGAATACCATGCAAGTTATCTTCCTATCAATTATGAAATACACCTGTCAATAAATAAAGCCTGTATGGGCAAAAGTGTAAAAATCTATTTTTAGCACAAGTGACTTTGACCCAACTGATCACTAACTCCATCAAAGTTTATGTTCCTATCAATTAAAAATGACATCTGTCTATAGAATATGGTTAATACACCTGTAAAAATCTATTTTTAACATTGGTAACCTTGACATTGGTGACATTGACCTTGACCCAAATGACCCCTTACTACACCCAAAGAAGGAGGACCTCCCTTGACATGTTTGTATTAAACATAAAAGACATCAACCAAAAAATAAAGGCTGTATGAGCAAAAATGTTTAAATTTATTTTCTAAACCAGTGACCTTGACCCTAAAGACCACTTACACCACAAAAAATTAGAGGACCATTCAAGGTATCCAACCTACCAAATATGCAAGATATCATTAAATAAATCAAGCAATTAAGAGAAATTTAGGATAAATCCAACTTGCCGGAATAGGTTAACCAGACAATGCCCTATTTTCAAAATTAAAAAAGGGAAATAACTGGGAAATATGGATGACACATTTATATAACTTGGCAATATCATGTACTTTGTATTGATAAGTAAGTGTGGGAATTATGAAGCAATTAGTATAGATAGAACTTAAGATATTTCTAACTTGCCGTTTTAGGTTAACCATTATTCATTTTCTTAGTGCTGAAAAGGGCAATAACTTGGTTAATATGGAAGTCATAGTTATGTAACTTGATCAGATCAAGTACTTTGTATTGATTAGTAAGTGTGTAAACTAAGAAGCCATTGGTACAGGTAGAACTTAAGAAAAATCCAACTTGCCGTTCTTTGTTTACCTCGTACGGACAGACGGACGGACGGACGGTTCAATTACTATATGCCCGGGGGGCATAAAAATCCTAATAACTGTAACATTATCAGCTTAAAACATATATGACTATACGTGTATTTTACTTGGTGCAATAAAGAATAATTAGAAATGAACCCCAATCTGATTAAAATCAGCTCCTTAGTAACGCTATGCATTAATGCATTAGGATCTGACGACCACCAATAGGTTTCCACCTTCACGTGTTCTTTCTAACAGATATTTGATAAGTTATTTTGTTTGTTTTTTAATACAGTATAACAATATTCTATACTGTTGACTGACTAACTGTAAGGTTAATTTTGATATCCCTAAAAATGACTTCATGAGACTATTTAAGAAAATTCTGCAGGTCAAGGGTTATTGACCTGTAAAAGAGATCCAGCTATAACAAAATGTGTAATATAAACAAGAGCCATACCATTTTTAGCTTTTTGGTTTTTTTGTACATTTCGCTGGGGAGTTTTATTTTAGTGACACAGAGTGAGAAAAATGTGCAGTCCAATCGGGACTCGAACCCGGGAACTTCTAAATACCCGACCAGCGACTCTACCGACTGAGCTATCTGGACGCTTACACATCTTCTCCCCTACAGTTGTGAGCAGGTCTGAACCGTGATATTTATATTACATTTTTATAGATGGAACACATATGTGGTAGATGGCCATGATGTAAAGGCGTTGTGCAAAGCCTTCCATGATGCTAAATCTGTCAAAGAGAAGCCGACATGTATTCTAGCGAAGACACTCAAAGGAAAGGGATTCCCAGGTACATCGTTCACAATTCAACACTTTATTTCATGCTTTCCAGTGTTTTACTGTAATATATCAGATGATTATATTCTGATAAACCACTTGTGAAATTTATAAAATATATTATTTTCACTGTAGCCGGACTAGATCTGAATGCGGATGAAAAGAATATCATAACTAAATGGAATAACATAATTACAATCTCGTGGCCACGAGATAAATAAAAACACACACATGTCACCTTTGTGCCACCGTATATATTTGCTGCACACACGAGTTATGTTTTTTTTCCGACCGTAGACTGTTTCTTAAATTTCGTTTGACTTCCGGTAAATTTACGGGCTATTTTCTGACTTTTTATTTGAATGTAGATAGATTTAACCACAAACATTGGCATGTTCTTATTTGTTAACAGATATTCTGTGGTGAAATTCTCAGTGTAACAACTAATCTGATAATAAGAATTTGACATGTTAGGGATCTATATATTTGCATTCCCATACAGATTATCCGTGTACTGTGTCATTTATATTTTACATTTGTGATCTTTGTGGCCTTAATGGAATAATTTTGATCCAATTGGATAGACATCATTTTCACGGGAGGACTTTTGACCGGCTTGTTATATTCGGGCGGGGTTTTTTCCGGGAGGACTTTTGCCTGCCTTGTCATATTTGGGCAGGAGAGTTTTTGTCCGGAAGGACTTTTGTCAGCTTTGTCATATTCGGGCGAAAGGGCAAAAGGGGTTTTGTCCGCCCTGTCATATTCGGGCGGAAGGTTTTTTTGTCCGGTAGAACTTTTGTTCGCCTTGTCATATTCCGACGGGATGGCTTTTGTCCGAGAGGGCCTTAGTCCTCCTTGTCATATTCCGACGGGAGTGGTTTTGTCTGAGAGAGCTTTGTCCGCCTTGTCATATTCGGGGGGATGTTGTCCGGGAAGATTTGTCGTGCACACGACTTACGACAAGTACAATGTAAACATACAACTAAATTATTATAATGCAATTGCACAGCAGACGACTAATTACATATAATACCAATATACCGATGGTAACACAAAAAGATGGTATTTAGCAATTTTGTATTTATTTTAGTCCTTAAATCATACTTGTACGTATACATTTGTTTACACACATTTAGGCATTGAGGACTCGCCGGGATGGCACAGTAAAATCCTTGGACCAAGGGCGGAGTCTGTTATAAAGATTATAAAGGGAAGAATGAACAGCCAGGGACCATGGAATCTGGGACCACAATGCATTACGGCAACTGTACCTGATGTAGATATTACAAATGTTATGTTAGCTGAACCGCCAAACTATTTGATGGAACAAGAGGTAAAAAATAAAACTTAAATGTAATGATCTTACCGGACTCGTATTGCAAAAACGATGGTCGCAAAAATTTAAACTAAAATATATTTTATTTACTTTTTCTACTTTTTATAATGCACTTTAATTGATATACATGTATACAATGACTTTTACTATCAATAAACTTTTGCATGAAAAATTAGATAAAAGATATTTTAGGTCGAATCATTACGACCGGCACCTTTGTCCTATTGTTCATGCATACATTGAAATTTATAAGGTCTAAAGGGGCGATTTTAAAGGCCCATCATGCTTTAAAAACGCAATATATTTCTTTATTCCTCAAAAACTTTCTAACTTTGGCATATCTTGTCAAAATTTAAAAAGATAGCGATTTGGGATAAATATTAACTATCTTTTGCTTATTTTACTCTGTTTGCAAATGAAATATTAAGTGAATTAGTATTGTGCATGGAAGTCAAAATACTATATATGTACTTTGTTTACGTTTTGCTTCCTTTACAACACATCATTATTAGTTCAGCGCTATTTTTTTCAGTTGTTGAATGTGTTACATGCTCTTTAATATTCCTATATCAATTACATGTTTGGCATTAAAAAAGAAATTAAAAATTTAAATAAAAAATATTTAAAAGAAATGAAACAAAAAAGGTGAATTTCTGAGGCATTATGTGCCTTTAATTGTATAGATCTTTGCTGGTGGGCGGCAAATGATTATTTTATGCTCCAGTACAGACAAAGATCAACCATGGTCTACACTACTGCTATTCTATCAGAATCTATTTTAAAGTGCGACATGATTGTGTCTAAAGATAAGTCCATTTAAAATATTTAGCGTGGCCATGTTAGATCTACATAGTTATGTATCTCTTCATTGCATATAAAATATTTCTAAACATTTTCAATTGAAAAATAATTCACAATGTAATCTTATGTTAAAAATACTACTTAAAATACTACTTACACTTAAACTGAAAATTATCTCTTGATTTTTCTTATCTGTTTTTTTTTTTCAGGTTGCGATCAGAGTAGCCTACAATGATGCCGTGGTCAAACTCTCTAAAAACAATCCTAGGGTGATAGCACTGGACGGCGAAACAAACACTTCTACATATTCATATATATTCAAAGTCAGTTTTCGTTAATCCTCTTACATATAAGTGGCGAATCCACGTGACATTTGCACGTGAAAAATTCTAATTGTTGTATTATGGGGGATGTATTCAATGTTCCGCAGCTGTTGTTTCTATATAGTAATACTCGTTATTGCAGTTATGACATCAAAAGCAAAGGTCAATTTGGCTGCTCCATTAAACAGGCTTTTGATCAGTAAATATAACCCTAAAGATTCGATAACAAGCCTGACCAAAAAAAAAGCCACAACTACTAAATAACCGATGCATGAATTCAACGTATTATCAGATGCACACTCTGTGAACATCCAAAATTCATTGTTTACCGGCATCTGACAAATTATAACTATTGTAATCGGATTTACCTCGAGAGGGGGACCCTTATGCATGATTACACATCAGCTGTTTCCTGCATATCAGACAGGATTATCTCCTGTTTGCGTTGGTGCTAGACAAATCTTTCTTGCATTTCAGACTCACAGGATTATCACATGTTTATACCAGTGCTAGAAAAAAAACTTTCTTGTATATCAGCCATAATTATAATAATTCAATTTAATTATTATTTGACATACACACTGTTCTGTTGCGGCAATCAACATAAGGAGAAGACCACTGTAATATAGAGACACATAAAATAAATAGTTAACAAAACAACCCTAGATATGTACAATACATTTGCTTCAGTTCTCTTAGTGTGTATAGCTTTTTACACATTGATAAACGAGAAATTCATGTATAAGTATTACAACAATTGAACATACTTTTGTATTTGTGTAAAAGCTAGAATTGTGTTCGTATGTGCAGGATGCTTATCCAGACCGTTATATAGAAGGTTACATAGCGGAACAGAATCTTGTCGGGGTAGCAATTGGCTGTGCTGCAAGGGACAGAAATATTGTGTTCTGCAATGGTTTTGCTGCTTTCCTCACACGGGCATTTGACCAAATCAGAATGGGGGCAATTTCATTCACAAATGTAAACTTTGTCGGTTCCCATGCTGGTGTATGCATAGGTGAGACTTTTTGTATTATTCCCCAACTTAGAGGGCGGCCATGGGGGGGGGCATCTTTTCCGTCCGTCCGTCCGTCACGCCGTGACGTCCATACGCAGACTGACACAACAGTGGAATGCGGGGGCGTCTGAGTGCTATATGGTCACAATTCTAGTTATATATCATGTACATGTTTAAAGGTCCAGTCTGTAAATCAACAGAAACGCATCGTTACATTTTCAATCGACTTAAATTTTAAAATACAATTGTATATAACTTAAATACACACCAACAAAACAACTACTAGTAGTACTTTGAATACATGTACGTATGTTATACATACTCAACATCACTAATTCTGCGTCATCTCTTATTTAATTCACGTTAATGACATATTTTTATGTGACCAGTGTTAAAATTCGTCAGAATTGACATATTTTATTCAAACACCTAAACAACAAAGTTTTTGTGTAAAATATTTTCAATCTCTAGATTTTGCGTAAAACGAAACAACATTTTACAAACTTCTGCAAAAAACAACAATATAGTATTTTAAATTTGTACATACGTCTGAAACAAGCATCATTTTCAAAATGTTCTTGTTTGTTAAAAATAAATGTTGAGTTACAATGTAAAGATACTTTTAATATTTAAAATTGTGCAAAACAACATGTAGAAATTTTTAACTGACACATGAAAAAAAATGAAATAAAACACCATTACCGCGTTTTAAATGATGACATACCGTTTTCAAAGTGGCTGACATATGGTATACGTCTGACTCATTAAAACTGATTTTGACTAAAAATATTGTTGTTTCCTTGTGTCATACAGCAGAAAATACCTATATGTTACAGCTTATGACAATTTTTGTGCCATATGTTTTATGTGTTGTTTTCTTTCTTGCTTCAAAGCGTTAAGTACCGTGAACTAAGAGGAGCACAGTATTTACCTACTAAACGTCTGAAGTATTTTGTTGCAACTTTGTATAACTTTTCACTTTTTATTATTGCAGGAAAAGATGGTGCTTCACAAATGGCGATGGAAGATATCGCAATGTTTCGATCCCTGCCAGGCTCGACTGTGTTCTGTCCAAGTGATGCAGTTTCTATGCAAAGAGCTACGGAGTTGGCCGCTGGTACGAAGGGAATTTGCTATATCCGGTCAAGCCGTACCGTAATACCGGTTATGTATCGTAATGATGAATTGTTTGAGATTGGAAAAGCTAAGGTATTTTTCATGGCTTTCCACTTCCTTTATTAAGGTAGTTACAAGGTCATAAACGCTACGTCAAGTTATAAATATATTTGTAAAAAAAAAAAAAACCCAGGTTCAATCGGACTAAAGGTCGCGCACATTTTGTATCAGACACAAAGAAATATTTCCTTTTTTAAAAAGGGCAAACATGAATTTTATAAAGGTTCACATAATGGTTTAAAAGCATGTTTGATACTTATCACCTAAAGAAAGAAGCGCTGAATGTGAAATAATTTGTTAAAAGAGGTAGTCAAATGTATACAAAGTAGTATTTCGACTTCCAGACAAAATACTATATCACTATACACGTATAACTCTACTATAATTACCAAAAGGCAACATCCGGGTAACTGGCCAATGAATTATTTTTGGAAACTGTAACAGACACAAAATGAAAAAGCTTTTGAGAAATCAAAATTAAAGTATTTCCGGAACATGATGGACCTTTAAACATAAATAATTCATATATACAAACATAACACAACTGTAAGCCTGGGATTCAGGCGTTGATATTTTTGCTTATTCATAACATACGTGCAATTTCATACTCGATCGTGTTTTGATAATATTAATTCGATTTGCCGAACAGAAGGCAGCACATAAAAATCAACAGACTGGAACCCAGGCTAGTCAACTGTATATATAATTACAATTGCGAGTGGATTTTAATCAGCATGCATTTAAGGTTTTGCTAAGATTCGTTTGTTCTAAGAATTGTAATGGTGAACTCAGATCCATATATTTTAACACTGTTGTAAATAGGACTATATAATAACAAAGCATAATTACTAGCATTCACATTTTATCTTATTCTGTGTGTGATAAAACGTCTGTATTTATCCGTCAGACCATTGGAAATATTAGAAAACAGAGATGGAGTATTGCAATGCAATATTATGTAATGTATTATTATAGTACCTTATTTATAACAAGTATACGGAATCTGTATTTTGTCATGTAATATAATACATTATTGAAACACATATTCGAATTTTTGTTCCGCAGGTCGTTAGAAAAAGCGACACTGACAAGGTTACGGTTATTGGGTCTTGTGTAACATTAGTCGAGGCCATGAAAGCTGCCGATGAGCTTGCTAGTAAAGGGGTCAATATCAGAGTTATAGACCCTTTCACCCTGAAACCTCTCGATACCGAAACAATACTAACTAATGCACGAGAAACTGGTGGTAACATTATCACTGTAGAGGACCACTACATATGGGGTTTGCGTTATTTTATTTCATAGTTTTCTGGGCATTTAAGATCGTAACTTTTACGCGAAATGCACGAGAAAGTATTATTACTACACTGGGCCATTATATAGAGCTATTAATTATGCAAATAAGTTTGTGTGAGTCATTTTGTCAGATTAACATTTATCTGGAATTTGAGATATAAAAAATCGAAACATTAATTTATGTGAAATATAACTATCATTACTTTATCATTATACATGTACTATATTGTTTTATTAACACTATGTAAGACCGGGATTGCTTTTTAGTCCCCTACCGGTTTACCGGAGGGGACTTTAGGTTTACCCTCCGTCCGTCTGTCTGTCCGTCCGCCTGTCCGTCCGTCAGTCGACAAATCTGGATCCCGCGATAACGCAAAAAGTACTGGAAATATTTTAATGAAACTTGATATATGGATAGATGGCAGTATGAAGATTATGCACGTCTTTTTCTTTTCTTCCTATGCTGAAAATTCTGGTTGCTATGGCAACAAATAGACTGACAATATGGCAAATTTTACACATAACCTGGATCCCGCGATAACGCAAAAAAGTACTGAAAATATTTTTATGAAACTTAATATATGGATAGATGGCATTATGGAGATTATGCACGTCTTTTTCTTTTTTTCATATACTGAAAATTGTGGTTGCTATGGCAACAAATAGACTGAAAATATGGCAAATTTTACACATAACCTGGATCCAGTGATAACGCAAAAAGTATTGAAAATATTTTTATGAAACTTGACATACGGGTAGATGGCAGTATGGAAATTATGAACATCTTTTTCTTATCTTCCTTTGTTGAAAATTCTGGTTGCTATGGCAACAAATAGACTGAATTTCAAGATTTCTGATTCTAGTTTTTAAGTTTTTTCACTATAAGTTCTTTATTTCTTAAGGTATTTTCTTCAAACTTTAAATATAAGTTGCTAGTCATCAACCACATCATATGTGACAAGGTTGACAACTCTAGGACAAAATTTATCAGAATTACCTCCCTTGAACTTAAAATTTTCATGAAAAAAATATTGTTTTTTTTAATAACTTCTTTTTTTCTGAATGTATCTACTTCAAACTTCATATAAATGTTTCTTATTAACACTCAACATTTGTGAGAAAGTTCAATACTCTAGCAAGACTATTTCCAGAATTATGCCCCTTTTGAACTTAAGACTTTTTTTTGAGAAATTGGTAATTTTTACTCTAACTTCTTCAATCATGATAGGATTTTCTTCAAACTCCCACATCATAATATTAATTATGACAGGGTTTATAAATCTAGCATCCATATTTCCAGAAAAATCTCCTCCTTAAACTTTTAATTCTTCCTATTTGTTCTTTTAACTTTCATTTACTTCAAATTCAAAATAAACATTCATTATTCATACCTTCATTACTAATTGTTCTTTGTTACACTCACATCATGTATGACATCTTGCATCTTTATTTCAAGAGTTATCTCCTTTTTAAAAATTTTACTTTTAAAAATGTTATATTTTGATAACAAGGATGTTTGAAAAATAACTTTAGAGTGTCCTTCAGTCCGTCTGTCTGTACATAAAAACTGTTTCCTGTGATCACTTTTAAAGAACTTTTTCAACAAATTTACTTAAAATAGAAACATAAGTGAATGGCCAATGGCCCTTCAGAATGTTGCTGGGGTTCTAACCGGTAGGGGACTTGTGGATTGCTTGCAATACTATGATAATTGCTTGTTATTTAAGTTATTGTAAAAAACCGCACATTATAAGATCAAGAACTGCGTGTTTAAATGTAAAAGCAAACTAACGGCAAGATTGAGGTTTGCTATTTAAAAGCTAAGTAAATGTAATATAAAAACAGTTGATTATTTGTAAAAAGAAATCTACGTAGAAAATGTAAAAAATAATGTTCGGCAAGAGTTAACCATGCTAATCTAAAAATATATGGCAATTTAATACGGATTGCTTTTTGATACCAAGTAAATAATAGCGTTTGCCAAGAACTTGGATTTCTTTTAAAAACCCGACGTGTTAATGCAAAACATATTACATTGTACTTGATTTTATCAAACAGGAGGTCTAGGCGATACTGTTGCTGGTTGCCTGAGTGAGGAAAGGGATCTGTGTATCAAGAAGCTTGCAGTCACAAGTGTGCCTCATAGCGGGAAACCAGATGAACTAATGAAGAAATACGGAATCAATGCACAGTGTATTGTAAACGCTGTGTACAGCATGTTAAAATAAGGAACCATAATCTTTTGTTATTTAAATAATAATCAAGCGCGCGTTGTGTTCGTTATATATAAAAGTAAGCATGTTATAATACCACAAAAAAACTTTTAAAGTTTTTTAAATAAATGTATGAATATGTAACGACGACCATAACTTTGAAATGTTATAATAATACGTCGGATTAAATACACACATAATAACCAATAATGCGTGTGTAATATTTAGAAATAAAGTGATAAAATTTTCGCCATATTTTGATGTTGTTGCCTTTTTAAATTGATATCTGCAATAAACTACAAACAAATTCAAAGGATTGTTTGTTATGTCCATATTTGAGTTAGTGACCTTTCATAGTTACATCTTATTATGCTCTCAAATAAGTTGTGAAGTTTAAACCCATTCCCTTTAGTAGTTTTGGAGATACCAACTTGCACTCAAAAAATTAACCAAAATGTGATGCTGGTGCGGTGGTGAGTCAGTCTGATTTTAATCAGCTCTCAACAAGAACTATCACTAAATGTGATTAATATCCCCGCAAGATAAAAATTAAAGATAGTTCTGGTACATTGCATTTCCTTTCACTGTGGTTGACCATTGATAACGTTTTATTGAATTACTCTGTACTAAGCCCAGAAAAAGTTACACTTCTTGAGTTTTGCACTACCACTCATTGTGCTTGACCATTGTATGAAGTTGCAGTGAATTCCAAACATTAGTTTTTAAGTTATGCACCGGAAAAGGAATAAAGGGCAATAACTCTAGAAAATAATGAAGATGGAGTTATGGTTATTGTACACTACACTTCCTCTCATTGTGCTTGACCATTGTATGAAGTTTCATTGAATTCCAATGTTATGCATTGGACAAAAAAGTAACAAATGGCAAAAAATCTTAAATGAGTCAAGAAAGAGTTATGGTTTCTGTGCACTGATCTTCCTCTTAATATACTTGGCCATTGTATGAAATTGTTTTGAATGCCAACCAGTAGATTTCATGTTATGATTTGCAACAAGGAAAAGAATCAAAGGGCAATCACTATATAATTACTCTGGGTAGGGTTATGATTCTTCTGCACTGCACTTCCTCTTATTGTGCTTGACCATTGTATAAAGTTGAATATCTAAGCATTGAATTCAAACCATTTATTTTCAAGTTATGCACTGGACAAGAAAAAGTATCAAAGGCCAGTAACTCTGTGATTAGTCAAGATGGAGTTATGTTTCTTGTGCACTACATTTTCTCTCAATGTGCTTGACCTTTGTATGAAGTTGTAGAGAATTCTAACCAGTTGTTTTCAAGTTATGCTCTGGACAAGAAAAAAACCAATGAAAAAGAAACAAAGGGCAATAACTCTGTAATTACTCTAGATAGTTCTGGTTCATGTGCACTTTCTTGACCATTGTATGAAGTTGTATTGAATTCCAACCATTAATTTTCGATTTATTAACTGGACAAGAAAAAGTATCAAATGTCAATAACTGTCATTAATTAAGATGGAGTTATGATTCATGTGCACTGCACTTCCTCTCAATGTGCTTGACTATTGTATTCAAGTTATGCTCTGGACAAGAAAAAATCGATGGAAAAATAACAAAGGGCAATAACTCTATAATTACTCTGGATAGAGTTATGGTTCTTGTGCATTGCACTTCTTATTATGCTTGACCATTGCATGAAGTTGTTTTGAATTCCAAACAGTTGTATTCAAGTTATGCCCCAGACAAGGAAAAGTATCAAAGGGCAATAACTGTAATTTGTCAAGATGGAGTTATGGTTCTTGTGCACTGCACTTCACTTCATCTCAATGTGCTTGACCATTGTATTAAGTTGTATTGAATTCTAACCATTAGTCTTCAAGTTATGCTCTGGACAAGGAAAATGCAAAGACCACATGGGGGGGAGGGTATAATAACACTCCACTTTTAGATCCGAGCATGACCGTATATAAATTATTTCTGGTGACTATTCACACAGCTAATCAGCCCCAAGCTTTCATAATTTTGAAAGCGATGTGGTTTCTAACTTTAATCCTGGGTAAACCAATATTGAGTAGGTAATTTTCACAATTTCGAAAACAAACAAGGCATTGTCAATATAGCTGACAGGTAGACTGGAAAAACAATCTTTCTCATTAAAAATTGACCCTATTTTTTTCAAGTAATTTGTTAAAAGTTATTTCAAACATTTTTTTTTCAAACAAAAATCAACAATTTGTTTAACTTCCACGTATAACAGTATTTTGATACTTCTTATACCTATACCTATGTAAAAACTGGTTTGATTGCATCGCTAAAAATAGTTTTCTTGGGAAATCAGAATTATAAAGAAGGCAAAACATAAACCATTGTCTTCAGATTTACATAAAACAAATAAGTAGATCTGAACTTTAGTCAGATTGGGTCGTGACTACAATAGCTCTCTCTATTCTTCGTATAGTCGAGGGTGGAATTCTGATCTCTACCTGAGGTTTACAGCTCTCAATTAACTTTCTGCAGTCTGGGATAAAAAGGTTATTAAAGGTACAAAAATAAAAATACGTAAAACAATCTTATACGTAAATCAATCTTATTTCCTTATATTTGAATTTCAACTACATTATATATCCATTGTACATCAACTTTTTTCCATCAATCTGTATTGTTTCCTTTTTTCCTTCTTCAACTCTCGTTTTTTGGTAAATTCTTCGTTAAATTTCTTAACTTTTATTATGTCTGTTGTAAACTTCCTCACCCTCTCCTGAAATAGAGAAATAAATGAGAAAGCTTATTGCACTATATATTTACCATACATGTGAACTCTCCCACTTTTAGTGGGAGACTCCCTACAGTATTTCTGCAATCATATTTTCAAAGATTTTTCATAAAATAAAGCGAATTTTCACAAATTAAAGTAATTTCCCTATTTTTGATGTCAGAACTTCCTTCTTTGTTCATTGCAAATTCTAAAATCTCTCTTTTTGAAGAAAAATCTCCCACTTGATCATCAAAAAAAGTTGACATGTATGTATTTACATGTGACTAAAAAGTCATATAGCAGGAGGAACACAAATGATTGCAATTGTAAAGTATGATCTTTAGGAGTATTTGAAAATGAATTTCATTTTCTACTAGTCTGTCCGGGTTGTGCAGATATAAAATCAAAATATATTGCTAAGATATATTACACTTATGCAACAGTCCACAAACTGAGTACATTATTACCATGTAAAAATGAAAATGTTGCAAAAAAAATCTTGTCAATTATGTTTACCATGCAACAATTTGAAAGACAAGATGATAATGCAGTTTTTATTAAGCTATAACTACATTGTATATTACATGTATTATACCTTCAGTAATTTAATGTGTGTGAATTGTTATGATACATTGATGTGAGTGTATCCACATAAATTGTATCTTTCTGAATGTAACAATTGTTAATGTTATGGGCTGGTGTCCTACACCAACTAGTCCAATCACTGATGGTGATTAATATCTCAACCAGTAACTTTGACTTTTTGAAAAATAATGATCCGAAGAAAAATTTGAACTCAACATATAGTAAATGAAGTATCAACTGTTACATAGAATTATTTGAATTAATTGCCATCCCAACCAGTGTCTTCATACAAGCTTGCTATACACCAAGTTTGATTAAAAATTCTCATTCATAAATCTAGTTATTGTCCGAAAACCATTTTTCTACCTTTTAAGTAACTGTGACCTGAACCTTGACCCCAAAGGGTCCAAATGCAATACCTAAACCGGGGGCTCCACATAAGGTTTTATAAACCAAGTTTTGATTACAATACCCCATTCCAAACTCTAGTTATTGTCCAGAAACCATGATGTTGACCGACCGACAGACCAACGGACTGACGACCAACAAGCTGTCTCCTATATACTCCCCTAAACTTCGTTTGTGGGTGTATAATAAAGTATGTTCTGTTCTGTAACATGTATATATCTCTACAATATGATAGGTTCTGGTCTAGAAAAGACCACAAAAAATCTCTGTCTGCTTTAATTCAGACATAAATTACATTGATAATATAGGAAATTCTAATGTTGTAATCATCAGAAAATTGGGAAAAATTGAACAGAGACTTCTCTATTTTTCATATAAAAATTCACCTATGCATTTAAACCTATTTATGCCTTAAAATCAAAGCTAGTTGGTGGGGGAAAAAATAATGTTTAAAGTGACATTATGCTCATATTTTCATAGTCAAGTTGAACTAAATTGACTTTATATTTCAAAAGATTGACTGTCAAAATGGTGTTTGACCAACAGTTGATGTTGGAAAATGTTTAGGATAAAATTATAAATTTGTTTAAAATTTAAAAAGACTGCCCCACTCTTTTTTAAAAACTAAGCGTTATAGGTAAATTCAAATGGATATTTACAGGAATTTCGTTTGGATCTGTGCGTTATTTATTGTTTATGTGAACTTTATTATTAAATCAAAAGGAATTACAGCAAAATGAAAATTTATTTTGATCTTCACCTGCTCACATACTATATACCATTCGATGGGCATAAGGTCACTTTAACACATGTTCCATTATGATGTCACTTCTGGTAACTTTATTATGTTTGTTCGTTTGTTTTGGGTTTTACGTCACATCGACACAGTATAGGTATAGGAGTATAAGAGGAAGACCTCAGGTGCCCTTCCGTGCATTATGTCAGGCACAAACGGGCACCTGAGTAGAACCACCAACGTTCCGTAAGCTACCTGGATAGCTTCCTCACATGAAAGAATCCAAAGTCCCTGTCCGGATTCGAACCCACAGCGGCGAGGGGAAAGTGGTTTGAAGTTAACGACCTTAACCACTCGGCATATAGCCAAAACATATGAGTAAATAATTAATGAATATTCATGTTTGTGTGGCTTGTCTGTTAAAGATAAAATTGGGAAATTTCAACAGTCTTGCCATTTAGGGTAAGGCCAATAATTCTGTCTTCATTTTATGCCAAAAAGACCCCCAAACTAAAATGGGCACTTGCTAAACCACACGATTGATCAATATAGGAAAGGCAGGAGCATCATAAATGCTCAACCAAGATCCATTTCTAAATTTTCCAACAAAGAAGTAGGTCATTTGAGCAAGGCTTCTTTTGACCCTATGGCCAAGACTTGTATGATTTTCACAATGCTACATGCCAAGCATCTAAGATCTATACTGTGTACCTTTATATTAGAAAATTTTGTTTTTTGAAATGTGTATTCCTAAACAAGTATATGTTCAAGGAAAGAACTTA